ATCATTGACATGCAACATGAGATCCATCTCCAAGCTATACACTATGCCAACAACCTAGCAGCAAAAGCCCACAAGCAGAAAGAGGAGAAAATGTCTGAAGAGATGGTGCCAGAGTGGGCACAGGACTTCAGGAACCTCTTCGAGAAAGAGAGTTTTGATGAACTCCCACAATCCAAGCCTTGGAATCATGCTATTAAGCTAATCTCAAATGCTAATGCCAATCTTGACTGCAAAATATACTCTCTTAGACATAATAAACAACAAGAGCTTGACAAGTTTCTTGATAAAAACTTGTTCAGTGAGAGGATACAACCATTAAAGTCCTTTATAGCATTCCCCTTCTTCTTCATTAAAAAAAAGGACAGCAAACTCCAACCTGTCTAGGACTACTAAAAACTCAATGAAATGATCATCAAAAACCATTATTCTCTACCATTAATCTCAGAATTAATGGACAAGCTCAGAGGTGCCAAATACTACACAAAGCTTGATGTCTGGTAAGGGTATAACAATATATGAATCAAAGAAGGGGCTGAATGGAAAGCCATATTCTGAACCAATCATAGACTGTTCAAGCTGACAGTTATGTTTTATGAACTCACCAACTCACCCACAACTTTTCAGTAGATGCTGAATGACATTTTTAAAGACCTCATCACAACTGAAAAAGTAACCATTTACCTCAATGATATCCTGATCATGTCCAAAATGAAGGAGAAGCACTGGAGGTGGGTTTGACAAGTGTTGATTCTGATGAGAAAGCATAAATTATTCCTCAAGACAGAGAAGTGTGAGTTCAAAGTCCTTGAAACCAAATACCTAGAGGTCATCATCAGTGAAGGAAGTATATGGATGGACTCCATCAAAGTGACTGAGATAACTGAGTGGCTGGAACCCACTAAGAAAAAAGAACTTCAATTTTTCCTAGGGTTCACAAACTTTTATTGATGATTTATTTATGACTACAGTAAGATCCTTCATCCTATGACTCAGCTTACAGGAAATGCCCCATGGACATGGGGACCTTTCCAACAAGCAGCCTTTAATGATCTTAAATAATAGCTCACTAAGAATGTTGTACTTGCCATTTCAACACAGGAAGAAAGGTTTCAGGTTGAAGCCAACTCTAATGAAAAAGCTATCAGCATGGTGCTCTCACAAGAACAGGATAGAAGGTGGTAACCTGTAGCATTTCTCTCCAAAGCCCTATCAGTCACAGAAAGGAACTATGAAATCTACAATAAAGAACTTCTGGCCATAATGCTAGCTCTCAAAGAATGGAGGCATTATCTGATCAGGGCAGTCCAAACATTCAAAGTCTGAACTGATCACCAAAATCTATACTACTTCTGACAACTACAAAAACTAAACTGTTGGCAGGCATGTTGGATCACTGAGCTGAGCCAATACCAATACACCCTGCATCATAAGGCAGGGATGGTAAACAAGAAGACAGATTTGCTTAGCTGATAGGCTGATCACAACCAAGGGGAGCACAACAATGAAGGTATAGTGCTCTTGCATTCAGAACACTTCAGAGCAATAATCATGCTCACAGAAGAAGAGATCCATGAATAGATCAAAGCACTATCAGAGACACCAGCAAATGAGATCAATGTATAGCCCTATCTCTGAATCATGAGCAGAGAATGATGAAGGAAGAGAGATTGATCTAATATAACAAAAGGATCTATATTCCTCAAGATTATATACTATATGGCCAGATCATCACCATCTGTCATAATCATGTAACTACAGGACACCCTGGAATCACCAAACCAAAGAATTGGTACTGCAGGAGTATTGATGGCCAAAACTGAAGCAGGATATTGAGTAATATGTGAAAGCCTGCAAGATCTACTAATGAGAAAAATCCTCAATCCAAGCCCAAACTGCACTTCTACACTCCAATGAGATTCCATATGCACTCTGGACTCATATCTCAGTAGATGTGATTACCAGATTGCTCAACTGCAATGGCTATGATGTGATCATCATCATAGTTGATTGCTTTTCAAAGGCAATCATTCCAATTACCTGCTCCATAGAGCTTACATTGGATGGGTGAAAATACTCCACAATGAAGTATATGCTAAGTATGACATGCCTCAGGTCATCATCTCTGACCGAGGACCTCAATTCATCTTAAAATTCCTTAATGACTTGTACTGACTCCTACACACAAAATGAAATGCATCCACTGCCTACCACCCTCAAATGGATGAGCAGACAGAATGAGCAAATCAGAAGGTGGAGAAATACCTCTATCTCTTCATCAACTATCATCAAGATGACTGAGCAGAATGGCTGGCACTAGCTGCATTCCAACACAACAATCAAATCCACTCCTCCATCAACAAAACCCCCTTTTTTATCAATTTCAGCTGACACTCCAATATTACCAAGACCAAATGGACATATATGATGACACCTGCCTCTGCCAACTTCACCACCACTATGAAAAAAATTCATAATGAAACAAAAGCAGCCCTTAAAAAGGTGGCTATAGCAATAAAAAAACAATATAACAAATATCACTGTCCAGCATATGAATACTCCACCAATGATAAAGTGTGGCTAGACACAATGAATCTTCATCTCTCTTGACCCAAACAGAAGCTCTCTGATAAATGGACAGGCCTCTTTTCTGTCATTGCCAAAGTTGGTGCTTCTGCATATAAACTCAAATTACCAACAAACTGGAAGGTTCATAATGTCTTTAATGAGGTGTTGTTGACATCTTATATTGCTCCAGCATTTTCAAACCAGAAATGACCTCTTTCACTTCTGCTGGACCTGATCAACAATAAAGAACATTATGAAATTGATCAAATACTACACTACAAACTTTAAAAAGTTAAAGCAAAAAACAGTGGCATGACAACAATAGTGGACTATCTGGTCAGCTGGAAGAAGTATGGCCTAGAATCTAACCAATGGGTAAACAAGAAACAAATGAATGCAGACAATGCCATTCATGAATATGAATTATCCCTAAATTAAGCTATTGGGATGATGGTCTTAAAGAGGGGGTAATATTATGATTTTTCCCATTCTTTATTCCTTTTCTATGATTAACCCCTATTTATGCTTAGTCAGAGTGTCAGAACAAATGCTTAAGACTGTGGGATGAAGCTTAATCATCACAACTAGGCCAAGTTGGTCATTATCTTTCAACACAACAGTGTTGTCCAACAATACACAATCAGTCTTTTATGTATAGTAATGATGCTCAAGGACAAAGAGCACAATGGACATGACCACACACAGTAGGCAGCAGTATAATTAGTGCAGACTTGTACAGTATTTAAGGAGGCTGGCTCTCACTGGTAATCCCCAGCTTTGAGCTAAAGTTTATCTTCACACCATTCTATACTCAAGCCATTCTTAAAGTCTTGTGACACACTGATCAGAATACACATCAAGTGAACTCAGTCAATCTCCTGAAGTGTGAGGAGACTTCTGTTTATCATATGTTTCTGTTCATATGACACTTGGGTCAAACAATTTACTTGTTATACTGCAACCACATTGAATCCCATCAGCCTAGAATTCAAGAAGATTGAGATTCATAATATACAAATTTCTCTGAATGAATGTTATATTATCAATAACCTCATGCTAGACAGCAATAGCATGTAATAGCTGTGTAAGATAGCTATTGTTGTCTAGACTTAGACTATGGCATTGTTCCACATCTTCAGTGAGTTGAATCAAAAATCCAGATTGTAATTGTAGCTTAAGAGCACACAATCAGTATCTGTACAAGATGTCAGCATGCAGAGGAATATACATTGTGTGGGCAATGTCAACTTCAAAACATCCAGGCATTTTGGAGGGAATAGAGCAGAGAATATAAGTGAGTATTCATATGTGACAAGATTTCATTGCAGAGGACAAGGGCAGACTGATTGGAGCTTCTGACCAAGTTGCCAGATGCTTCAGTGAGTGTTTTGAAGTGCTAAAGTTGACCTTAGAAGGTATCTACCTACAATATTATGTTGGTAGTAAGGTTAGTAGTAAATGAGATACTTCAGTCCATCAAATATAAGTAAAAACATGCAAAGTAACAATACCATTTTGTAGCAGCATATTATAAATGTAAGTACATCATAAGTGATCAAGTAAGAGAAGGAGACAAAGAGTTAATACCATAGTGTGAAAGAAGCCACATCACATCCAGTATGAGACCAAGTGCTGTATGAAGGAAGTATCTAGTATCTAATCTAACTGACAACAAGTCCATAGATAAAGAAGAGTGAAGAGTAAAAAAAAACAAGGTTGTAGAAGAAAAAACAGGTGGGAAGATAGGAAAAGAGAGAAGGACAAGAAAAAGTCATAGAACAACTTGAAGAGAGGAAGAAATGAGCCAGCTTCAGGATCTGAAGAGCAGATGGCATTTAAGCATTGAGAGAGGAGGAGAGGTTAGTCTTGAGACCATGCTTCAACATACACTTGTGAAGGAAGTTGATGAAGGTAAGATAGATGCAGTCAGATACTTCAGTGACTCCAGCACTGTCAGTGAACTCCTTGAAGGCTCTGATTGCCTCTCTTGTCTCCTCCAACTGGGGCAGGACTTGCTTCTGCTCTGCTGTAGTGTCCTCCTCATCTATCTGCTCAGCATCCTTCAACCAGCTCTCAAGCTGCACAATGATGATATGCTTGTCACTGATCTCAGACTTGATGATCTTGATATGCTTCTCAATAGTGGTGTCACCAAACAGCAAGATGTCTCTGCAGGGCAGGCTAGAGTTGCAGTGCTGGTAGAGCTCATTGGGATTCCTATCAGGGTGGAAGTCAATGTGTCTGACTGTGACAAAATAGATCTTACCAGGGTTGCAAGAGTCAGAGTTGAAGAATCCATCAATTTCCTCAATGGTTGGGGAAACTTCAGCACAGGTGGGGAGACCAAGGGCAGTGGAGAAAGGCTCTTGGGCCTGGACAGTAGCATTGTAGATGGGAACAAGCCTGTACATCTTGGATCTGGCAGAGTGGATGAACTGTGACTCATAAATTTCAACATGGACATCCTCAATATTATGATCGTAAAGGATACTCTTGCAGTTATCCACAACCTCGAAGCCATCCTCAGCAGAGAGGGAGCCAGGAACAACTCCTATCCATATGATAATAGGAGGAGAAGACTCGCCAGGATACCCCATGCGAACTGAATCCAGACCTGTCATCTTCACCCCCTTGGAGTCCAAATAGTCAATCATGGCAGGTCTGACTTTGGTCTCCCAGATCTCTCTGAGAGGGTGCAAGCCGACAGGACTAGACTCCTTGAGAAGAAGGTATGCTTCAGGGTGTGTCCGCTTGAACCAGACATTGGAGCTAGCAGTGAAAGCCGGCTGAGAGGGTGTGCTGTAATAGAAATACTGGGTCTTTACAGACGAAGGATGGTACGGAGCAGTCGGAACTGGGTCAAGGACAGTGTAGTCGGGGTCGTTGGTAGCAGCCATGGTGACAAACGTGGTGGTACTAGACAAGTTGCGAGGTTAGACTCCTAGAGCCTAGACCCGTTCCCACTCGAACCACGTCAACCCCTTTCATCCCAGACTTGACTCGGGATGCAGTCTCATCCCACGCACTGCCTGTAGGCTGTACATCTAAGTAAAGTTATTCCCCCCAGCGCCCAAACGTCTAAACACCTTATTATCTGGTCGTCCTATTAACATGAAGGCGATACTCAGAGAGGCCCACTCGTCACGATGCTATTGTCGCTCTTACCCTACCGGATACAAAAAGCAGTCCTTCTTTATGATAGCTCTACCCACATACAATGGTGCCAGGAATCATTATTTAAGACGGGACGCCAGTGCGCAAAGGTAATTCCTCTGCGTCCTAGACTTGGTCCACCGCTCACCTACTTCTTCAGACGCAATCACACACCAAGAGAATGGAATACCAAGACCTCTCCTTAGCCGTTACCGTCCCATCACATCAGTTCTATCGCCCGGCGACAGGGAAGGATCGACACAGTCGCGTCGAGCGGTACCAGCTCGAAACCCATCTTCTCACTGCTCAAATTGAAACTCTGCAATCTCACGTCACGGCCTACATCAACGACCAACCTCCTAACGACCTAAACTACACCCCTAACCCACTTTCTATTATCGCGGCCGGACACAGCAGCGAACGAGACGAGATCAAGTCCTCCTGGGACCTGGCAAAAGAGGTTCAGAAACTGAGGATGACAATGGAAGAACTCTTAGCTGTGATGGGACGGATGAAGACTGAATATGAACAACGTCAACTCTCAAGGCGAATCAGATATCCACCTCGGATGGACAGAGTTCCTCGGTGATCATGTAATTCCGGTATGTTTCCTCCGATCTTCTTGACCAAGCGATGCTTACTGGCAGCTACAGCATCGTCACGTATTGGCGTAGCTCAATGCGCGATATCGAATTCTGCACGGGGACGGTAGCGTACAGGCTGTTGACCGAAATTGACATTATGGAGATATCCTGCGAGATATGGGATGTTAGTTGTGCATTAAAAGCATTAATCGTCCATGCTTACCTGTACTTCAGAGATATCCAATGTGAAATTTACATCTCCCGAGGATGTCCTTGACAAGTGAAGAGCGTTGATACGAGAAAGGTTGCCGTATGAGAGGCGTGCAGTGTCGCCCGTTACCTGAGAATATAACTGTGAGCTGCCATGGGCTAGAACATCACATATGGAAGGCACTCACACAACCAGTGCTACGCTCTATGCAATCTGGTACAGTAATATCCACCGACTTGACCTCGCCTTGGTCAATTCCGATTTCCTGAGCGTGACTTCTCTCCAACATCGGCAACGCAGCGAAAACAGCTTCCAGTAAGGCCCCGAAAGCGACGTATTCGCACAAGTCCCTCAAGAGGAGTAGGAGGATGTCACCAGCAGCCTCAGCTTTGTCAGAGGCAAGGATGAAGAGACTTATGGCAAGGACAAGTCCAAAGACGACGGAAAAGAATAAGAACCCATTGCATGCGTTTGAGCAAGCGACGGGACAAGGCGGTGGGGGAGTCGAAACCAACGCCATTACCATCGAGATTGCATAGAGAAAGGTATTGGATTCCGCCTAGGCGGGCGAACGATGAAGTTGGCGCCGGATGCAGTGAGCAATGTTTGCTCGAAAATGGACACAGGCGGGATAATGTCGACGGTGACATCCTCGACAACCGAAACGGATACGACCTTCTTCACGGCTGAGGAGATGCCCGACTCCGTTGTGTCGGTGGTTACCGAGGCGAAGGTGTCGACGAGTAAAGGCGTCTTTCCCGAGACGACATCGACTCGATCAACGGATATGGCGGCGAATTCGTCAGCGTGGAAGGACGATGCTTTACACCCCCGGGCCTCGAACGAGGTGATGGCTGCCAGTACAAGGCGAAGATGCATATAACCGTGACCAGCGAGAGGCGGGAACAAGATACCACGGTGGTGGTTATATGTCAAGAGCGATATGTTGGCTTTCCCGATCTGTGGTTGGTTATATACCCACCGTTCTTTCCTCGATTGTCGGCTGGTACGTGACCAACGCGTCGAGGGAACACGCGTCCTAGAGGCCATAGCAGCGACATGGGGCAAGGCGGGCAACTAAAGGGTATGTTGGATAATGATTTGAACGATAGGCATGCGTTGGACATGTCGTCGATATAATTATCATTAGGACAGCTCAGATACGGCCCAATCACATCCTGAATTTGTGCCAAGGCATGCCAGGCGAACTGGAGGAGTATGTTACTAGTGCGGTCGACGTGCTGAATATAGTCAGGCAGCGCGTTCGTCGTCTATGGAAGGAGACGGGACCGGTTCAGCATCGGCGCCGTACTGATAATAATCCTTCCCAATAACGCCATGTACATAGTTCACGGTCATTTTGAAAGGACTGCTGCCTAACGAGGTCGTGTATGAGGCTGCGAAGACAAGGTCCCAGACGTCGTCATTATGCTCATCCAGAAACGGTTCTGAAGGATCTGCACCATTTATCAGCCATTCAGTCCCTTAAAACAGCGCAATTAAAATATACACATACTCTAGTATCAGATATCCTTATTGTTGTCAAGGATGGCTCTCGCAACCGAGGCCCTCTAATCAAAGGTTGGTATGACTATCGTGTTTCTCACCTTTGTAAGACGTTGCATCGACACCGCGCCACTAACGCCAAATTACGTAGATATTGAAAAACTTGAAACTGAGTGCTCAGCAAAGGACATCGGTTCGATTCCCAAGCATATAATGAAGAGATACAATCCTTAAATATTGCCCTGCTCTCCCTGTAGCATAATAAACCCGACTGAGCATTTCAGCATGGGAGTGTCATGTAGGCACCGCAGCACCTGTAAAAACAAAAGAACAGGCGGTCCAATGTTCAGTCAGCGTTGAGCCCAGATAAATCATTTTGCAGCAATAGTCCCAGAGGAACAAAAATGAGTTTCTTCGTCCTTAGCATTCGTCTAGTAGCCAGTGAAATGAGTGACGAGCGAAGAAAAAATAGTCAGTGGCTGTGCGTACTTCCCGGCCCGGGCACCAGTGTCAGACCACAAACTCACACCGGGAAGATGAGAATTTGAGGGCAACCAGAATCTGTGCAAACAAGATGACATTTTGGGAGATAGATCTCGTACAGATTTTACATGAAATTTCCGTGCTCCCAGAATGTATCCCTGGCAGGCAGCCATGGGATTTAGATTCCTCCAAAATGCAAAGTTCAATGACCTCCAAACGATGCTCCCAAAACATAACAATTGTGCTCAAATTCAGGTTCGTCAAAAATGTTCATCTTCCCGGTGCGATTCTATCCCTCTGTTCTTATAAACGCTCTCAAATGGAGTCATGATGGATCAACAAGCAAGTCGACTAGTGCAAATGCAGAATTCACTCAGAACAAATCATGAGAATACGAGCTTCTGCTGGTCATACTGAGCACCACCTGTTGGTTCACAAGCATAGCAATAATAACATTTGGAGATCTTCCCGCAACACAAGTAAAAGTAGAGGTTTGTTGCATTCTTCCTATGCGACCGCAGCTTCTTGCGCCAGAGCAGGGATCACCTTCTTCCTCGCCTCCGCGCATTCCTCTGGAGTCGCCAAAATGAAATCTCGTTTCAATTCCGCATGAGGTTCAGCCCGTTCGAAGCCACGAGCCAACGTCAACGACGTATCGTTGATCGTCTCCGTTTCCTAATTTTCAAAGTTATAAACCAGAAAATAAGAGCAGTGAGAACGTACAACAATGAGAGAAGTTCTGACACCGAACACCGCATCACTCGTAATATATGGATCGCCTTTAAAATAAAGCGACGTGATTAGCTTCTCGTACCCAGGAGCCTGGAAGAGTGATGGTTCAGTCAGCAGAGGGGGTAAACGGGATTGATGACACACTTCAATCTGGAAATGCAGATGGGCCGGGCGGAAGACGTGTCTGCCCAACGTTTCAATGAGTTTGCCAACGGGGCCGTCACTGGGGATTGCGTATGGAACAGGTCTACGAGGGTCAGATGATCGAGCACAGTCGGTCAGCAGTCGAGACTTACATGACCGCTCGGAAAGAGTAGGTTCCGTCGGCGGCGCTGGTAACCTTTCCTCTGCAGTCGGGTCCATCACGATTGGTGTACTTTGTCATAAGGTCATTAGTTCCGACCGAGCAAGCGATCCAGTGTGAAACGATCTGCTTACTTGAGTATCATACAGACCCGTCTCGTCGGTCTCCCAGGTCTCTATGACGGCTCCTGCAATCGGATTTCCTTTGACGTCCAGCACTTTCCCGGTAACGAACATGTAGTCGCCCTTGCCCTCCGATGCGATGGTGGCGCCATTTTCCACTTGATGGTAATCGTTAGTTAGTGGGGGGGGGGGAAACATGAGATCTTCCCAACTTACAGTCTTTCGCGTCTTCAGTGTGGAAAGGCCCCAAGACGGTGGTTTCAGTTGCATTCGGAGGTTTGATGTTGTTCAGTGTGTCAACGAGCGTAGAGACACCAACAATGTCAGAGAATAGGATGAACTCTGTAGAGGGCTCATTAGTCGATGCATGGAGAATGACGATGAGGTTTGAGCTCGCCTTGGCGTATGTCTGAACACATCTTTCCTGTCGCAGTTAGGAATGCTATCGCGGTCCTTCACAGTCTGACGTCAGCCAGTGTCCAAAGTTAGAGTAGCATAAGCTACTCACAACCATTCCTCCGTGGTGATGGCGGTTTCCCGTACAAAATCGTGAAGGTGATCGACCTTTCGAATGTGAGACAAATAGAGATAACGCACTACACATGACACCTACCATGTTCTTGAAAATAAATTTCAGCCTTTCGTCAGGACCTGCAACGATACAAATCAGCACGACGCCTACGCACGATGGCTGGACGCACAGTTCGCGTTGATCGCATGGACGTTTGGCGTTATGGAGTCGGCTGACATATCCAAGATCTTTGGCAACTTGGAGAGATCAACGCCATGCTGCTCGGCGATGCGTCTAGCAATAAGCGCAGGCTCGACGAATTTCTCGTTGGACATTGTAGTGGTAGGAGACATGAGAACAATGAGAGGAGGAAGGCAGGATATTTATTCTGGTTGGCGTGTCCCCAAGAAGGAAGTTAACCAGAGTCGGTTACCCACACATGATCGTGCTACATTACTGAACGAGGATCGTGGCATGATGGCGGTAAAAAGAGAAAAAAAGTTGCCTTTGAGTATTATCAAATCAACTCGTCGTTGACCGTTCCTCCGGTTAAACGGCCGAAGAAGCGGTCCTCCGCAATGAAAAGGTACCCATATTTGGCAAGTATTGAAGATATTAAGAGGCTAGAGCTGCGCCGGTTTATATTCCCCCGCAAATCGTGCACTTGTCCCCGTGGACCGCGTGTAATCCTCCATAGTATCAAACCCCGTGAGCCATGTTGGCACCTGGTCGATATATCAGCACGGCACTCTGAGACTTTTCTTACCACCGTTACGAAATGAACAAATGCCCGGCGTTCCTTACTGGGACCATATACCGGTTTTCTAAACTCTAATCTCTAGATAATATGATTTACCCCATGTGTTACCCCGCACCCCCACAATCCAGACAGCTCTCGATTCAATTTTTGTGCACTAGCAAATGTCGAACAAATTCAATTTCAAGCAGCTACATAGCTATGTCTTTCCCCTACCTATATTCCTTTCCACTTTTTATCACCAAGACCTGCCTTGGACGTTCGGCCTGCGGACCTACCAGATATTGATGGTTTCATCTCCCAAACGCGTGATTCGTCGTAGGTAGGGGCTGTGGTCACCCTGCCTTACAAACGGACCGTTATTCCTCTTCTGGATGACGCAGACGCATATGTGAAGGCGCATACTACGGCTTGTAACGGTATTTGGAAGACCAAGGAAAGGACTGTAAGGTCGTGGGCACCACCACTGTCTGGCGGGGTGTAGTCTGATTGCAGCCAAAAAAAAATCAGCAGATCTGTTATCATTTTTATTTTGGCATTTCCTCTACGTCTGTGTCCTAAACCCTACCATGATCTCTGTAGTGCAACCGTTAGTACTTTACATCACATCTCGGGTTCGATCCCCCAAAAGATCATCTTGAAGAACTTTGTAGTGCTTTTGTGTCTCCACTGTCGTTTCTGCTAGGGCCCGCAATTCTGATTTTCGAGCAAAACACATAGGTGATTCATTACTTTACAATGAGCGTATCAACGACTATATCTCGATCCAGCCCGAGAGTTGAAAGGACTAGTAGCGCTGATAGGACTTTAGGTGCAAGACTCATCTCTTACGGAAGAACATAAATAAGTAATCTATTTCGTTCCGCCACGGACCAAGGTGGGGAAGGGAAAACCTGCTATGACGGATTTCGTGCATCCGCGTATGCCTTTGCAGTTCACCTAAACACAGTGATTGTCTAAAACGTTGAAGCCCTGAGGTTTATTTGTCCAAAGTTATTTCTCGTCCTTCTATCAATTCAGATCAACCGCGAAGCGCAACAAGTCGCCGACCTAGAAGGACGTCACCGAGGGCTATATCTCTGCTGGCCTAGCCGCCAGTGTTCCCTCCAGTGTATGCCATCTCCGTCGGCGGGCAAGCCCCTTCCCTCGCTACGCCTTGATTGTCAGGACCGGCGTTCCAGACTTCTTCCCGTGTCACCTGCGGAAACTAGCCCACCACGAGGGCACAAAATACCATACATGTCCGTTACTCTACTCCACACTACACGCCAAAACACCCGGGGAACTCAGAAGGAAGAACGGAGGGACTGGAACAAGAGGGAAAGAGGATCCTGAGGCCCTGTACCTCCACCGCGTCTTAGTAGTTAGCTTACTTGTTGCGGTTAATCAAATGCTGAGGACAAAAAAAAAAAAACCTGCGGAAACTACCGCCCACTGGACATCCTCGTCAGCTTGCTTCAACGGCGACCCGAGAAGGGAGTTTTGCTCGATATGTGAACAGAATGCAGTATTTGCGTTCGAGTAGCTGAAAAATCACAATGAATCATCGCTAGCTGACTGGACGCACGGGGGTACGTCATCGAACACACCTAACGTAGCTTACTCATCGCGTGATGGCGCTCGTCGTGGGCGACTGACTTCTTAAAAAGGAAATGTAAGCGGATAAGCAGCCCCCTCTTCTCGCAATGTCTATGATGTGATCCGCTGGTGTCTCTAATGCTGCCTAAATCCAGTCTATTTCTTCTCATCACCTGCATCCCCCTTTATATAGCCCTCGGATCCGTCGTCTTTCCTTCACTATCCATTCCAACCCTGTCTCAGTTACTCAGACTCGCTAAAGCCAATTTGCGAAACAAGTTTTTTTCTCAGTCGCTGTCTACTTCCATTGAACACCAATCCACTATGTCATCTACAAAGGTTATTCCCCGTCGCAGCGAGCAGCGTGGACACGCAGACCACGAATGGCTCAAGACGTTTCACACATTCTCATTCGCCATGTATGTTCCATCTACTAGTAGTAGTAAAACAACATCTAATTCCCGGTCATCCAGGTATCAGGACTCTCAACACCAAAAATTCGGTGCCCTACGAGTTATGAACGAAGACCGTGTCGAGGCCAAAACCGGCTTCGGAACACATTCTCACCGCGAATTCGAGATATTCTCATACGTAGTCGCTGGAGAACTGGAGCAGTGAGTAATAAAGTTCTCCTCATCACGTACTCGTTGCTCATTCCCGACTTTAGTAAAGATTCCATGGGAAACATCGAGGTCCTGAAACGCGGCGACCTCCAGCTCACGTCCGCAGGAACAGGCATTTCGCACTCGGAAAAGGCTCACGGATCACAACAAGTGCACTTCCTGCAGATCTGGTCGCTGCCTTCCATCCCACGCCTACCACCAAAGTATTTCACTCGTCATTTCACCGACGCCCAGAAAACGGACAACTTTGTTCGAATTGTTGCACCTGTCAATGCCGAAGGAGTGCAGAAGGACAGGAGGGAGGGCGATGGGCCGGCACCGGTCAACAGCCCGCTGACGCTCTATGCGACACTTTTGTCGCAGGGAAAGACGTTGACGCAGGCTATGAACGGAAGGAAGGGGTACGTCCATGTGGTGCAGACAGGCGGGTACAATCCTGGCCAGGCCACTGGTGCTACTATAAAGGTTGGCGGCGCAGCGGGTCCGGAGGAAACGTTGAAGGAGGGTGACGGTGCTTACCTCTTCATCGGAGACGGCCAAATCAAGGTTGAGAACATTGGCGACAAGACGGCAGAAATCCTATTATTCGATCTAGAGTAATTTGTACATTTTTAATCCTGACAGCATTCCACGATACTTTTCCTGAGCTCCTTGATGCCGAAGGGAGGGATCATTTTTGCGCTCGTGATGATGGGAGGTAGGCAAAACGGCGCAGCGTCGAAGATGTCCTTCCGCAGCTGAGTGATAACGTCCTTCACATCGTCTGGAAGTATGGCGTCAGATTTGGTGATTACAGCCTGTATGGAATATCGTTGAACGCCATCTTCTGAGGTGTGTAGATTTTTGGTGAGATGTTCCAGCATCTGGACGTCGTATTCGTTCAGTCGGTGCTTGCCGTTGAAGGTGACATATACCCGGCGTAGTCTGGACGTCTGAATAAGTGCTGTTAATGTGGAAAAAGAAAACACAATGATGGCTCACTCTTTACGCGTCTGCAAGTATTGATCGAACAAATCCCCCCACTCGGACCTTCCCCTCCGTCCGTACCCTGGCGCATCAACGAGGACCAACCGTCCTGGCTCTGGTCCAACACGGAAGAAGTTGAGCTGTCGTGTACGGCCCTAAAACGGAAATTAAAACGAATAGAAATGATAAGTTCCATGACAGACCGCCTTGGAACTGGTGACAAGCAAATTTTTGCGCCCTAGAACTGCGTTGAACAGGGATGATTTGCCCGAGTTGGCCCGCCCTGTGAAGATGACAGTTAATACGCGTAAATGAAAGTGATACATGAACACGTTCACCTGTAACAATCACCTGCTCGTCACTTCAATATACAAAGACAAGACTTTGCGGGTGCAAATACCTCGGGCAAGCCTAGAAGATTTGGGAAAGTGATTTGCGAGCCAGCCTCCTTGGATGCGCCTGCAGCCGAGGCGAACTCGGCCGTTCTGGCATCTGAAAAAACATCCTGCACAGTGAAGCTGTTGCGGGCACGGGCGGAAAGATAACGTCGTGTGGGGAAAGATGAAGAAGCAGCAAGTGGTGGTCTCATTCCAAGGCACGCTCCCTCGGGAGAAGCCGATCACGCCGCCTGAAATCTTCACGAAGTTTTACAATGTTCAGCAATGTTTATGCGTCAGTTTTTTTTTTAAAAGTAGAACAGTCCTCATGTTTTCATGTTATTAGTATAACATTCATGCCAAAGAGCTGTCAACAATACGCGACCTTGCGGGTGCGAGTTTTAAAATAACGACTTCGGCTACAATACGTCTAACCTTTATAGAGTCTGAACATACTATAGTGGAAACACCCTTCTACGCAAACCTGAAGCTTGGATGAATTGGCAATTTGTTCCTGACTCTGCACCCACGAAAGTTGAATGCTTCCGAACCTTGGAGTAATTATTTGAGAGTCGTAAAATAAAAGGGAGCACTAGGCCAGATGGAACAGATCCGTTTAAAAAGGACTAGGCTCGAACCATAATTAACGACAGTCGATTAACTCTAGTAACAGATGTAGGGACTAGAGCTATACCCGTATATCGTCCTTTCCGCTGGAATGGTGGCGCCCAAACGTAGTCATCTTTCTTCATTCGGATTGACGTATTCTAGGCAGATTTAGCGAGTAAGTGAACAAACTAGTATTACCTGTTTAGATTTCGACTGGTTTCACCCATTTTCCTGGAATGCAGGGTCAGCGGTATCGTAGCAGGAGCATATGACCACCAGCACTTATCTCGGTGATGTACGGACATTGTACTAGGCGGTGTGAAGTAACCACCACCCGACAGGCTGGATCCACATCTATATCTCCTTGGTAGCAGTAGATAACGGTGGTTCATTGAACTTGTGACTCGTGAATTAATGAAGTAGTGAAGAAATCCCTTGTTCCTCGACCGTTTGTCCGATCAAGAACCTCATGTTCTGTTTTAAATTTGTCAAATCAACTTTGCCTGACCAGTGAAACTGTTCTCATCACCTCACTTGACTGCCTTGATGAAAGCAATCCCTGGAGTTTTTGCGAGTTCTAGGCTCCTGGGTTAACAAAGTGCGGAACGCCCGAACACATTTTCCTTGAACATCGGTCTGAGTTTTGATTTCTATGGCCTAAGATCTGGAGAGATCGGTGCCTTTCCACCCCCAATCCCTTTCATTGGCGCCTCGAGGTTGCATTGGCAAGCCGTTAGCAAGGCACGGTCCCTTTGCTCGGTCACATATTTCTAGACAATCCATCGATTGTTTATGAGCCAACTTTCAAACTTACCTGCGTTCGAATACGACCAGCCACTGCAGATTCCTTCGGACGTTTTCCATCATTATTCCATTTAGTCAAAGTTGTGTTCTTGTTGAGGTCGCGTGTCGGTGTATGGCGTAAATCATGACGACATTCTCGCTTTTGATACCATAAATCTGCGGAGAAACAACCGATACACGATGGTCGTTGGTCCGTCAAAAGTGAGATGAATAAGTCAACGCGAAGTTCAAGTCGACCGCGAGGACTGCGGCTGGCCGGCTTCAAGCGCGGAGATGCGGTCCGATGTTGCCGACCCTTCTTTCCCTCTTACAATCCTTATCATACCCTGAATGAACCATCTAGTCAGTAACCGGATTCATTTCGTTCTTGGCAACCGCCATCAGCCCTCTATGACATGGACCTGACCCCCAATATTGCAAAAAGAGGATATAAGATTGAAGCCGGACATGCATTTACGTGTTGCCGTTAGTAAGTATGCATCAGCAATCCATCATTTCTTGGATCTTCTAACTGGCGGGATATTTTTGTGGACCTAGTACGCCCATGCGAAGGCATCGCTGCTTAGAATCACTCGCTTATCCCGAACGCGTACCTACTTGCCCACTTATGTTCGGTTCCGAGGGAAGGCTGATTGCCGGAAGGAAACCTTCTTGACCATCCTTTTGGAATTAACGCCCCGCAGCGACGTATATATACATTGAGGATCCTTTCTGTGGGTCAGGAGCTCCTAGGTCCTCAACATCCTCTCCTCATACTCATGACTTTCTCCAGATCTTCGACAGGCAGTGTTAAGACCGTTGCGTCTACTGCGGTCAGTGAAGTTGCGAGCAATGCAGCTGAATCTGAACCTGTCAAGTTCCTTGAATCAAAGTTTGAGCGCGATACTATGTCAGTAATTGCTCTGTGGCAAACCCTTAGCGCCTTCGCATCGTACTGACTGCTTTCGTGTAGGCGTCGCGTCGACTGGCGAATGCTACCGCTCCTCGGCCTCTTGTACTCTGTGACTATCATAGACAGGTATGCCATTGAGTTATTGACATGTGTAATGTTCTGAGACTAATTCTTTAGATCCAATATGGGTATAGCACGTACCGCAGGAATGGGAACTGACTTGGTATGTCTCAGGAAGACCATGTGTACATTGTCATTCTGACGCACGACGCTAGTCTCTCAATGTCGGGAATAGGTTCAGTATTGCCTCCTGTGTCTATTTTGTGCCATATATTCTATTGTAGGTCACCGCTATATATAGCCCCAACATCTAGTGCTAATGCCTCTGTTTTGCCTACAGGCAGCTTCCGACCAACCTAGTGCTGCGATACTTCGGCGCGCGTTATTGCCTTACGTTCTATATCTTTGGCTGGGGGTGTGTTGAGTTGGCCACCGGTTTCGTCAAGAATTGGAAAGACCTCGTCTTGTGCAGGGTTCTTCTTGGCACTCTGGAGGTAAGTTCCTGATGATCTTTCATTTTCGATTCTAATCGATAGTGTAGGCGGGATTTTTCCCCGCTTTGGCCTATATCGTATCGACATGGTGAGTGACATTACACGGCTATACCCAACGAGCGCTTATGCTCGTTTCAACAGGTACACGCGGCAAGAAGTGCAGACCAGGTAAAATTGACTCTTCCATCCGGAACAGATGTTAAATTAGTGGCCTTTCCCAGAATCGCTGCTTTCTTCCAAACGGCGATCGCACTGAGTGGTTTCGGCGCGATTCTGTGTGAGGGCTCTTCGGCTTTTTTGTCGTGTTCAAATCAGCTGACGATCAATCTATAGCCTATGTCATCACTCTGCTGAAAGGCCACGGGGGCCTGAGTGGCTGGTCTTGGATCTTCGTGAGTGGCATATTGCTCAAGGCCGTCATAGGTCATTAACATATACCGGTCATCAGATCATCGAAGGCCTTTTTACAGTGTTTTGTGCTCTTCTGGCGTTCTTGTTCTTGCCGGATTTCCCTGACAAGAATAGGTTTTTGACTCCTGAACAAACGGACCTCGTGCTGAAGCGCGTCGAGCTCGACCGTGGTGACTCCGTTCCCGACGAAATCACATTCGTCAAAGTTAAACAAGTTCTTGGAGACTGGATAATCTGGGCACATGGTACGTCTAATAGAGTAAGAATCAATGGTATTGCTAATCGTCCGCTTAGCACTGATGTTTATGAGCTCGGCAATGCCTGGATACGCAGCGAGTATGTTATCCTCCAGCTTGTTATCACGGGATGACCAAGTCTTCTTCCCAGGCTATTTTACCCCAATCATTCTGTCGGGCATGGGGTACAGCTTATCTGACTCATTGCTATTGTCAGCACCTCCGATAGTCTTCGCGGTATGACATTTTTATGCTTATCTATTCTTCTCACGCCAAACGTTGCTTAGGCTTTATGCTCCTTCATTTTCGCCTGGATATCGGACAAAGCAGGCCGTAGGGCCATTTTTATTGCCATGCAGAGCCTTCTAAATGTAGTCGGTCTCTTTCTAACCGGCTATGCCAACGGTCAGGCAGCACGATACATTGGTTCCGTTATTTTCCTGTTTCTGACTTGCCACGACTAACCGCCATTTTCGTAACAGGCATATTTTTGTTTTCTGCGGGTTCTTCAGGTTGTATGTCTGCTGTGATATCCTACGTAAGTTCATGGACCTTTTATGACTGCGCAGCTTGCTCTAAATATTCTGGTCTCTGGATAGAACGCGAACAATATCGTTGGACAGACAAAGGTGCCTAGATATCCGCTTCAGTGTCTCCTGTCTCACGTTCTTGTCGTGACCTAGCGATCGGTGTGTTCCGCACTCATCATTTCCTTCGGAGGTATTGGTGGAATTCTGGGAACCACAGTGTAGGTGGACTGCTGCTGTACCGTTTAACCTATCTGATATCACTCTGATGACAGATTCCGACAACAGGATTATCCACGGTGAGAGATTTCTTCCCTTTATAACAGAACCGGTGTCTGACAACGAAATTAAAATTCTCTGCAGATACATTCCAGGGACATGGGCAACCGTTGGAGCGCAGATTTTGACGTTGACACTTTTAACGCTTACGACTGCAACGTATGCCCATCGCAACAAGCAGTCGGCTACACGCGGTGATGTTCTAGAGGGGCAACCTGGTTTTCGATACATTCTATAAGGTTCAGAAACTGTCTGCCATTTCGTCTTAAAAATGTCTCGAATTACAATTATCTCAAGATGTACATTACAGGGAATCAATAACCCATATCTTCTGATGAAGGTCCAAATTAGACCCGAACCAATTCTCTCGAGTCATACAAGAGGCCCTGGCATGTGTTAACGGTTGAATGCCGGACGGTCCACACTTCAGCCCGTGCCTCATCTTACTCACGCAAACATCGCTATTGACAATCTAGGTCTGATACAACCAATACGTGCACCTTTTTGTGCTATTCATGGAGAGATCGCTGTTTAACGGACCGTCCCCGTACCACGCTCAATGATACTCTTCTACCCGGATCATGAGAACGGTTGGTTGGCGTGGTCTATACCACAAACGTGAAGGGCGAAACTAAATGTACACAAGGATTGGGGGAGGGGGAGTGCCATCGAGAACATACACCTGTCAACTCTATCATGGCTAGAGCATGGAATTCAACTGCGATCTGATCGAACACCAGAAATTGGTGCCCGGTGCTACGAAAGAAAAATTTACTATGAAACAACGGAAACATACCGCCATCATCAGATCCCGAAGATACTCCGGCTCTCAGCAAGGTTTAAGGAATGTCCTTCATCAGGTCCTTCACATGTATGCACCTACTAATACAACTAAAAATATATCAAGAAAGCGTGTTGAACGCGGTTATGTATCACTGGACGCTTCTCAATACTCATCACTCCTGGCAGGCGACTATGCAACCCGCGGCGGTCTAAACGCAAACACTTGACAAGTGACATTTTAACCCAGCTACAGAAAAATGAGTCGGGATTCCCATCAGATGTCGAAAGCTTGATCAGAATTTGATCTGTGACCCATCCACTTTCCCTGCATTTTGTCCGACCCAAATCAGTCGCTTACCAGGAGGGCGAGTGCTCTGCTATTCCTAGGCTCCCCTCATTTCCTTCAGACATACCTCAGAACTCTGTCGTTGAGAAATTTATATCGGCGGGGATACGGCGCCAGATTGAATATTCTCGTAAATCAGCTCTGCACCGACGAAGCGTCAGAGCGTAGGCGACCCACCATATCTCGTGGTGTCGTTCAGTGTGAAAAGGCAGAGATCGACCGACTTGGTACATGGGAGGTTCCCCAGGATCAACACGGAAGTGCCATCGAGGGAAATTACACTCGAGAGTCAGATACTTTGTTTTGAAAGCATCATGACACGCTTTTCATTGCTGTAAGGGTGAGGGAAGTTGTATAGCAGGCCATGGCCAACGTAGTGACAGTGAGCAAAATTCCAAGTACACGCAACTAACGCTGACAGGCACTAGGCGTTTAAGCCGGGAGTTGCATATCTTTCGCAGTACCTCCTGCTAAGCTGTTAATAGCTTACCGCAAAATATGGCGGAAAACCATAGGTTACGACGCACATTACAGCTTTGAACGCGGTTTATTTACATGGAGCTTTCTCAGACCTTCTTCTAAGCCTTTCTGCTGGTTTATCGGAGCGCTCTTCTGCGATTTCGACTCGACAAAAACATGTGTATAGCCGCCGACCGCGGCTGGGTGTGGCTTGGATTCCTCGAAAACACCAACTTCATACGTGACAGAGCTTCGTCCGAGGCTATTAACCCGAAGACCGAGCTCCAGCACTTGGGGAAAGGAGAGCGGGGAGAAGAACTAGGAGGATAGGTTGGAATGTCAATCGCATGACGTTTGCAGGTATTAGGGAGCAACCCACCTGGCAGGCCGAAGATACAACTAATCCAATAAGGGGCGATTCTGCGGGGTTGATACCACAGTGATTGATAAGGTAGTCGTTGACTATTGAGTCAAAGAGATGGTAATATATCGAGTTGTTCATATGAGAATACTGGTCATTGTCGCTCCTGCAGCAAGACAGTTAGATTATGAATCCAATGTTCAAGGACTGCCACGCACCATCGAGTCCGATACGTCAAATAGTAAAGATAATCTGACTTTGTTCTATTCCTAAGAGATTCGCTCACGTGCGACGACATTGCTGCCACGACGGGACCGATCCCGTACTTTACAGGCCGTGCGATAATATCCAGGAACGGGCACCGGCAAAGTACGTTCTAGCCGTGTCTCTGGGATGAACACGGAGTTGAACTTGAGCGTGATGAACGACACAAGCAAGGATCGAGCGTGGAAATTATACTGCCTGTACTGATTAGGACATCAACGCCTAACCAAACTCATCGAAAATCGGTTCGTGCTTCAAGCTTGTCATTAAAGGTTGATTGATACTCAAATCCTTCAGATGCTTTAGTCTACATAACAAAATAGCTGGAATGGCCGAGTCGTTAAGGCGAGTGATTTGAATCATTCTCTTGCTTATTTAGGCATTTAAACATCACTTGGTGTTTCACCGCGTAGGTTCAAATCCTGCTTCCAGCGTTCTTTTTCGATTTATCCTTGGAACCTTTGTTCCTGGAATCTGGATGTTTCTAGATGTTCCCCTAGCCTTGGCTGGAAACTGTACATTGAGGCCTCAGGCCGACTCCGTGCTACAGATTCGGGCACCTGGGCATTTCGCGAAACAGAGAGCATAGCCAGGACCGCCATCGCCTTGATTGTGATTGTATTCAAGAGCAGCCATCGTTTCATCGCGTTCTGGTCTTCTGTCATTTGCTTCGGATCTATTACACGTCTTCCTGATACCCCGCATCCAGCAAAGGAAATCAAGGGCCAGTCGCGTAATTCTCCATCTGGCCCTGACTTTCCTTCATTGAAGACTAACAAGTCCAAACATGGTCTCTCTCTCATTCCTTCCACCATGACGGAGTACGATTTCAGTCCCGCTGCGATTCATCGATACCGCGAGAAACAGCGCAGCATTCACAGATGGGTCTCCGAGACTAAAAAACACTCCCCGTCCAATCCGTTCGTTCCGGAGCTACCTCAGCGGGCACAGACATTCCAGGTCATGCCCCCACCTCCGGAGCGACGGGTATCATCGTCCTCATCGCGTCCGACAACGAACTCGCGACCCAAACACACTAGATCGAGGACAGAAGTATATATCCCCCAGTCGTCTCACAATCATTCCCGACATCGACAACCTTCGAAGTCCGCGGCAACCCTCGTGTACCCCACGCGACCTCCAGTGTATCAGCAACAATCGATGCCGCAGTACTCGTCGAACTATTACTACATGCATCCCCAGATGGGTCAGATGACGACAGTACGTATTTTTCTTACCGCTACTCGGAGGCTATTATTTATTTCTTTGCAGGCCCCCTACCAACAGCCCCAGCCACCCCAATACCAATACCCTATTCAGCCCTACTCCGCACCACCCGTGGCGAAGAAGGGTGTTTTCTCCCGTTTCGTCAACTTTATGAGCGGGAAGAGCACCAATTCTCCCCCCTCTCGCCAGCCAAGCAGGCATTCAAGTAAGAAAAGGCGGAACAAGGGGTATTCCTATTGGTGGGTACCCATAGCTTTTCGGTCCCGATCGCCATGATCGATCGTGCTCACCGCTTCCATACAGACCACCCTTTCCACCGCCACTCATTTATGCAACGAATTTGAGGACTTTCATTCCTTAATCCCTTACGAAGCGAAACGACCCTCATACTACCGCATACACATGACTCTACGTAGTCACGCCATCTTCACGGAGGAACTATACCACTCATCATGATATATCTGTAGACTTAAATCCAGTTTTAATGCGATTTGTTTACATCCGAAGGACTTCTATAGAGGGGCACGTCACCGAATCTTTCACGCCCCCTCCATGCTGATTATTGCATCATAGATATGAGCGAAGCCCTGTGGTTCTCCAGGGCAACGCGTGGCTGCAACGTTTCGTGGCGTCACCACCGACTACAGTAACACGTAGTGCCTTTGTGGCTGGACCCTGTTCCAATCGATGAACCACGCGCTTCAGGAGCTAGCCTTGCCTCGAGGCTTTTCATGATAACTGGGAAATTCTTGAACCATGACTAGAGCTCTCTCCTGGCCCCACGTACAGACTCTGAGCCGCCGTCGGACTTTGGGCGGCACCAGCGCTGGGGTCTCTATAGATCATTCCTAGCTGAACGTGACCCTTCGAGAGAATAAGGAAACCTTAAACCATTCCGTCATACGTATTCATTCGTTCGGTGTCTCTGCGCACCACCGCACCACCCGGACTCCTATCGTATCATGTTATTTTTGGGGTGGATGGGAATGAAGGTGAGTCAGGACGAACAAATTGTTGTGTTGAGCTCTCATGGATGGCGGTCATGAGATGCACAGACCATATCTGATTTAAATTACCCTTATGCGTTCACAGGATCAGCGGATACTTTATGCCTTTCATTGGCTGTCGAATAGAGAGCACGGTACATATGGCTCTGCGGGGCACTTCACAATTAAGCGCCCAATACGCTGGTCCCTTTATCACAAAAGGTCGTGAGACCACATCCAAAAAATCACAACATCGATTGGCTTCCAGGGGATGGCCATGATCCGTATCTTCCAGACGTCTGTCATAGGACCTGTACCCTGTACAGCAATGAGAACTCCGCACCCCCCTTCTAACTGGCCGAGAAACACGAACTCTACGTCGACGTAATAGACATAGTCATGGACATTGATGCATTTCTTTAACAGGATACAATACAGAAAGAAGAAACGGAGATAAATGATTGTGAACGCATTCTACTACATAAGAGGATGCCTTGTCTCGTAAATAAATTCAGTCGAGGCAGTCATGGATGCGCAGTTATCGTGATTGAACTCATACCATCTCCCCCGACATATCAATCGATAATCTAGTGTCGGGTTTCCATGGGTTGATATCCACGATCATTCGCCCGTCGAGAAAAATCCGAACTGAAAAGATACCATCCATTGGTGGAGAGAGGGTCAACACGAACACTAGCTGATACGTCGGATAAAGACTCCATATCGATGTCCGAATCCACATCAGAGAACATGTCAAAGTCAGAAGGGGCTCGGCTAGTGATGAACGAGGAGGAGAAGTCGACAGTCGGGAGAATGAACGATCCGGTTGGCTCCTCGAATTGAAGCGGCCCCTCCATCTGATCCTCACACTCTCCTGATATGCCGGAGAAAACGGAAGAGGTATCAGAGAAAGCATCATCCTCGTCCTCTTCTGGTATCGTTCGGAGTTCCTCTAATACGCACCAACCGCTTCCGCTTTCCCCTATGACGCTCCTCACTTCGGCTTTAGTCCAGCCGACGAACTCGACTTTGAGAATAGTGCAGACGCCATTGGCGTCGGCGCGGTTGGCATACGCAGAGCATTGTACGCCCCGCTCCCAGACATTGGCCACGTCGAGTCGGGCGAATAAGGACGAAACTCGCAGCGAATGTAGTTCGTGAGAGGTATGGATAGACGACAACTTCGGTAAGGGAAGAAGGGACTGATGAGGGGACGTATCTGGGGGGAGAGGGGTGCGCTCAGTAGGAGTAGGCGCTAGGGGAATAAGAAGAGAAGTCGTAACTCCGTTGCTGGGAGGAGCGGGGAAGTAATGCTCGATCTCAGCTTCAACAGTAGGTTCTAAAGCAGGAGTGGAAGGCAGGACAAACTTGTTCTCCTTCGCCTTCAAGGAGAGCTTTCCCCCAGCTTTCTTCTTGTCATGCTTGATGGTCTTTTTCATTGCCTCCTTTTCCCTCCTCATTTTGATCTCCCAGTCAACCTCGCAGAATGCACGGCCAGTTACAGGTACGTTCTGTGCAAAGTTCTCAAAGAGAACACGGCCTGAGGAAAAGTTCCTTGCTGTCCCGAGACCGACTTGGGTAATGGTTCGAGGAACGACCGGGCCGCGGGGAATGAAGTAGTGCTGCAGAGGCCTAGATAGATTGTATCGAACTGAGTGCGACATGCGCTGCTGAATGGATGGAATGCGCCCTGGAAGTCCTCCTCCATGGATAGATCGAGCAACTGACGACGGTCGATGAACACCCAATCCAGGAGCAGTGAGATGAGCATAGAATCGGGACGCAATTTGTCTGGCTGTGGATAGTATCCGCCGCGCGGTGTTTCCAGTAGAAGTGCCGGGAGGTAGTAAGTTTGGGTGCGCAGAAACATGGATGGATCTGGCTGCCGCCGTCCGTAATTTGGGAACGAAGAAGGCGGAGACATCGCGGGCTGCCGCCCGTGCTCCATGAGACGCTATCTGCATCTCTGCAAGGCTGAACGACGCACTTCAGTAAGGATTATGTTCAACGATGGCAGGAGAAGCTGTTGGTCCAAAGCCAAGGAGCGGTTCAGGAGCCGAGACATCCGCGTCAGTGGTAGCTGTACTTCGGCATGACACATCGGTCTCACGTCACCTCCTGGGCAAAAGTAATCATTGCCAAGTTACTCTTTGCTACTAGCTACCATGAAAAGCCAGTGATAGTGACAAGACAGAGAGGTACAGTTTTATGATATATATACCTGGCCCTGTTATCGCTGAACTGAATGAGCGCAAGTTGTGTCCCTTGTCTGCCAGTGGCCTCTTCTCTCCATCATTCTCTGGGTTTCAGAGGCATTCGTAAAAGAGAATAATCTCAGCCAGCCTAACCCGTAGCACCTCAGTTCTAGTCAGATGTTTGAGCTACATTTAAATTTGCGTCGGTAGATACAACTGGCATTCGATACGTAATTAGTAGTCTATTTCTTCGGCACGATGATAGCTTCTTTTCCTGCGGCCCTATCTACCTCCTTGTCGTGAACGGTGATTTCCTTCATTTCTTCTGCAAATCGCCTGGCAGAGTCTTCAATCTCCTTGCTCAGTATCGTCGTATCACTGCCTGCTTCTACTGTGGCAATGCCGCTGTACCACATACGCTGCTGGGCAAGTCCTTGCTCAATCATCGCCTGTCCAAAGGATTCAGGCTACATTAATGACGGAAAAGAGATGTTCCGTACCTGAATACCGTTGATGACATGCCAGCCGGTAGCTTCTGCAATTTGAAGCATGGGTGTCCTGCGCGGCTTGTACTAATAGCGTGTTTGATCAGTATAGATCGAAAGTGTCTGATGAGGGGGAAGACCTACGGGCATTTCTAAGAAGATGCGCTTTATAGGTAAAGGGAGACCGGACTCCGTGGTTGGTTGTTTGTAGGGGATAGTTGACGCGGACATGACAGTTGTATATACCATACGTTCTGCGTAGGTGACAGGTGCGATGGCAGCTATAGAAAAGAGGATGTAATTCATGTCTTTCTGGTAACGTTGGCTGACATACGGATAGCACCAACAGCCATCAAGAGGGTGCAAGCATTCGGGCCGACAAGGTACTTCTCCACATCATCCGGATTCTTGAGATGAATCAACCCTCCCTTCTCCGAAAGATGGGGCATCGCTTCCATAACAACGCGTACTTCCTCTGGGTCCCGGTTAATCAGGAAAATCGGGCTGAGTCCCAGCAAAGTAAGGGCATGTGCAGCGGATCGCGTCGTCGCTCCTCCTCCTATCACAAGACCGGCACCTTTGACGGACGGACAGAAGGACGACTGCGAAGATAAGTTTTTTCCGGGATACTGATCACGAAGAGCGTTGAGCAGTGCGTTTCGTACACCAAGGACTAGAGGAAAAGGTCAGCCTGTTTCGCGGTATGACCGGGTAGGGACATACTGTCGGTATTCTGCCCGACGAATTTGAACCCATTCTCAGTTCGAACCTTCACTATCGTGTTGCACGCGTCCGTAACCTGGGTCTCGGGTGATACTTCGTCTAGGTGGGGTATGATAGCCGCCTTGTTGGGCATCGTTACTCTACATTTCCAAGGTCAGACTCGTCTGACCGAAACACGGGACGTGGCTTACGCGCATCCGCCAAACTCATCGCTCTTGATAAACTCCAGTACATCCTCTGTTATTTTCGACGTCGGCCACAGTTCGTATCTGTTACCCGACTTCAAGGCGTCGAAGCAGGTATTATGCAGGCCAGGGGCAGACGAATGGGCAATGGGGTATCCGAATAAAGGGAATCGCTTGTTCTGGGGTGCGACTGGGGAAGCCATTGCGAGACAGTAACTGGGGTATATGCGGGGAACGTTTCATTTTATATGTCGGAGGAAAGTTTTTGCACCAGGAGAGATTAGTAGACAAACGAAGAATCGGACCAAAAGCTGGCATTGCCTTTCTTGGTAGTAGTTTAAACTCAGCTCATCATTTGTTTCTTTTGGCATCGTTCGCCGTATCACCCCATGATAAAAAGTCAGCGTGTCTAAATAGATGTGCAAGTCTTCGCGTCCGTAGAACGAGGCCCCGGCGTCGTCGAATTGACAAAGAGCATATCTAATAAAACTTCCTTCCATCTTTCGGCAGCTACGAATCCCCCTGATTGAAAATCGACCAATAGTTCGGTTTATCTACAGAGACATACAGAAAACTACCCGAGTCCAACTCGCAATACTATCAATACTATCAAGCCTTGGGTGTTGGCTTGATGAGGTCCTGCTCCCTGACAAGCACAAAGTCTCGCTCAAGTTCATGGTGCGGCTTTGCTTCTTTGAAACCCCGAGCCAGAGTAATAGACGTGTCTGTAATCAACTTCGGATCCTGGAGGTGCCATAAGTACACGCCCAATTAATTCCAGCACAAAATAAACCAAACCCACCACAATGAGGGACTGCCTGACGGCAAATGCAGTGTCGATCTCTAAGTATTGATCATCCTTGAAGTACAGCTGAGTGACGAGTTCCATGTAGTCGGGTGCCTGCATAAGACATATTTTTTAGGGATCATATGAGAATAATCGGACAATGTGACTTACGACAATCTTGAAATGAAGATGTGCTGGTCTGTACTTTGTACTGTGAAGAGCATCCAGCAGATCTTTAGCAGGTCCATTGTCAGTGAAAGGGTACGCCAATGGCCTATGTTACCGTACAAATCAGCGCGAGGCACCTAACGACAAACATCAAAGAACTGACTTCACGGCTCTGAATGCGAACACGCCGTCCTCTCCAGTCGTGAAGCGTCCTCGACAATCAGGTTTGTCGTTGTAGTCCGGATACTACAGGTTTTGTTAGCACACAGTATGCCATGGTGACAAGCTATATACCTCTATATCATAAACTCCATGTTGATCTGCCTCCCAAACATCCATTATCGCGCCAGCGATGGGATTTCCTTGGACGTCCAGGATACGTCCGGACATATAGAAGTAGTCACCTTTCCCCTCAGAAGCGATGGAATCGCCATTTTTCACTGTTGCAGAAAGTCAGCTGTGGCATTTGAGAACAGTCTGATTTCAAACCCACAGATTTGAGTATTCTCGGTATAGAGGGGACCCAAAATTGTATTCTCCGTGGCGTTGAGAGGCTTCTTGTTGCTCACCATATCAACGAGAGTCGACACACCAAAAATATCAGACAGGACCATAATATCTACATAGGGTGTGAGTTAGAGAGTTAGTCCTGCGCTCGCGGCTGAGTGCATGCCACTCACAATGATCCTCCTGACGGAATCTGTCCAGAAAATTGATCGATGCCCTGAAAAATAACTCAGCATTAACTATCACGTAAATGCTCCCACTCACAACCACTCTTCATGGGTCAAAGACGTCTCTCGGACGAAATTGTGGAGATGATCTATCTAAGCAAATGGTCACGCCGAACTGGTGATAAGCAGGCGTCGAGGATACTATACCAAGTTCTTGAAAAGGAATTTCGTCCTTTCATCGGGGCCTGTCCGTGTAATGTCGTCAGAAACGGCGAATATATCGACAATATTAGAACACACAGTTGGAAAAGCTGAGATGAACCATCTCCGTGATAGCTTGGACCTCATTGAGTGAAGAGATCTTTTCAGTAGCTTGTGCAGATGTGACGATCATGCTAGTGGTTGTTTCGAGGCGAGAATAGCAAGAGAGGAGAAAAGAGTGGCCATTTAAAGGTCACCCATTGAGCCATGGAAACCAGTGCAAAGGTTGTGAGATGGAGCCTATGCAGCGCAAGTGACTAAGCTCCCGCCCTAGCACCGCACTAGAGACGGAGACTTAGTAAGTATATACTCTTGTCCGATGGTGCGTGAGTGAAATGGACAATATTTAGCCCAAATTGTACACGAACTGTCGGTGACAATGATGAACATACCTAATGGGTAGAGAAGAAGCATGCAGAGCCATCCAATCATGTTCACGAAGAGATGAAGAGGCGCCTAGAACCGGATATAGGAGGGCTTTGCTTTGTGATTTGCCATGGATCCTCAAATCCTGATTGCATAGTCGACGGACAAGAGGTCCCGTTTTGGTGTTACATATAATCAGCATTAGTTTATGTATCCTCCTACCCAATGTGCCTCTACTTTATGTCCTCTCCGATTTACCGAACTTGGGGCTCGTAGCGACAAAATCAATAGCGTACTCTGAGAATGTCATTAATGTTAGGATGGAAGGGGAATTGAAGGACATACCATATCCCTTAACGCCGAAGCCGACAATAATGGCTGCCGCCTTGTCCGAAAAGTATGAATGATGCCTGAACGGCTCTCGCGAATGAACATTCGTTACGTGGAGTTCAATAAATGGTATTGCAACGCCAAGTAGCGCGTCACGGACGACCACAGATGTATGAGTAAGACCACCTTGGAACTAATCAGACCGCTGGATAAATACGAAAGCCACCTGGGCCGATGACCCACCTGGGTTGATGATGATCCCATCAACACCCTCATCTCTAGCCTGGTGGATCCTGTCCACGATGGCGCCTTCGTGATTGCTCTGAAAATCGTAGAGCGTCGCATCGTACTTGTCCGCTATGGCCTTCGTATTCAACACCACGTCGGCAAGGGTATCGGATCCGTAGATATGAGGCTCACGGGTACCCAAAAGATTGAGGTTGGGCCCGTTAATGAGCAGGATGGTGCGTTTCAATGACATGGGGGTTCCCGTTCTACCTTCCCCACCTACGTATGTATGGGGAAGACTGGGGAAATAAAAGTGTGGGAAACTGCTTCGCACCGGAGCCCCGTGTCGTGATCTATCGGACCTGATTTAATCCTTTGACCGGTCCGGTGGAAATAATTTGTTCCAACCTAATTCCGGCCTTTTTTTGCTCTGTCTCGACTGTAAAGAACCAGGTAAGCATCTCTTCAAAGCTCATGACCGTTTCTAAGTAACTTTTATGATAGTTTGATTGCTGAGATTCTATGGATTCTGTCTCTCTTTCTGATTATATCCAACACTGCTTGAGGGAGGCGCTTCCCGTGACCAAGTCTCGCATCTTCTGACGGGCAGCATGAGCAGGTAGTGCTGCGTTTAAACCAAGACATAATCTCCATTGTTCCAGAAGTTGCAGCCCGAGGAGTTCAACACTATCGATTGTCACCCATCCTCGAGGCCCTGGCGACAGGTCCATAGCGTTTCGCGACAACAAAAGAGAGTAGAATTTACCTCCGCGATATCCATTAACTGTGTTATGCGGGGCTTGAAGCACCGGAAATGCGCTCAATCGACCGTCAGCTTGCAGTAACGGCCACTCGCATATCGGGGATTATACAACTAAAATCTGGCGAGTTTCCATACTGATCTTTGCTCCCAGGCGCTTACCCCGTGACGTAGAATGATGCTTCCACGGTCTCCACGACGATAAACTTCTCCTTGCCACCATTTATGCAATGACCTGCTTGGCCTTTACAGGATCCCGATTCATCATATACAATGCTGTACAGTCCAAAAGCCCAATTACGCGTACACAGCAGCGTGCGAAGCCCCTCCAGGCCCGGATACTTCTCTCAAGGCGTCACGGATGCCTGAAGAGCGTGAGTTCAAAGTGATGAAAGAGTGGTCTTACGGAGATGCCGATGTGAACACAGTCACGTACTCGCTGTCGATCCGCTTTCAGATCGGACGGTCGACATAGCAGCCACGGGGTGTGAGAGTTCACTGCGACGTCTGTAAAAGATGGAGTGTCGTCTCATCATGATATCCCAGACCACGTCCCAAGTTCGAATCATGCCAGACCTCCACTCCCTACCCGCTGGAACACGCCCTGACCACGCAATACGTAACAATGGACCAGATGATCTGGCACTGGAGCGATTCAAGCTTAGGGAACTCGCCGAAGGATGGCCTATGTATCGGTGCGTATATCTTGAACTATTCGCTCGTCGCTCACGTTTGATTGGTGCTATAGCGACGCTCGCGAGTGGGCGAACTTCCGCTCGCTATTCCATCCTGGTGCTATCGTCTATACTACGTGGAGTGGTCGCACGTCTATAGAAGACTTCATCAAGGCGTCGCAGGACGGGATGGATAAGGGTGCGAGTATCATGCATCGCATTCACGGTTCTTCCGTGGATCTTGCCGGCACGCGGGCAGTTGTAAAGATGAAGGCCACGATTACTCAGCGATTTGAGCTCCCTCCCAATGGGTGCGAGCTTTTCCTATCGCTTGTTATGTGTACAATACTGACTCGGCGTTCTGCAGCGCCCTGGTAGATGCGGAATCCGACTGTCGGTCAGTAAAACCTTCCCCGCATCCCATCAGAGCGCAGCTAACAGCGTTATTATAGTTTTTGCATGTTCTTCGAAAAGGATACCTCTGGGAAGTGGGGCGCGCGCTACGTTAGGCACTTCTACGAGAAGGACAAGCTGATTGCTGTTGACCCGCGACACATACCCGAGATCGATGACGAGAAACTGAAGGTTTTTCCGGTTGGATACCAGTACTTGGCCTATTGCCAAGAGGCTTGTATGCCAGGGATTAAGGTCAAGAGGGACATGCCAGGCGCACGCGGCGAGGAACATGACCAATTGTTGAGGCAGGTGAAAGACTGGCTAGATGGAAAGGAAATAGAAGTGTAATCTGTAAGTAGATTGATCTATTGATCATATTTCGCGTCTACCGTTTGCAGCGGCTGCTTCCAGAATGCTGAAGATAACGTACCTTTGGAGTTTCATCCTGGAGAGTCGCATGGTTGAATTGATGAATGATCCTTGCAGTAGTCATGAGATCGAGGAACAGACAGGAACCACGAACGGGCCTTGCCCTCCCTTGTCCCACATACCCCATTCCGAGGAAGAACTCAAAGCGCATTTCAAACGGATCAACAATAAATAAAATTGTGGCTGGGGGAGCATGTGGCGAACTGGCGTAGCGTCTTTTCTTGAACTGGAAATAGCCTTGACCGGTATGGACCGCCGCAAATAATTGCTACAGACGTACATTAATAATTGTACTGTCCGATGGAGACCAAAGACAGATTCCGCGATGGAACACCGCGACTTGTGCTCAGGACGTCCATACTGAAGGGGAAACAGAGTTCGTATTATTGCGTGTCGCATATATTGCCGAGTATAGACGTGGTCGGTGACGTTCTACGACGCTTGTGGATGCGCCACGAAAAGTCTACCGTAGGTAGATCTGACGGGAAAAAAAAAAAGAGGAATTCAAATGATAAGTCAAATATTTCGCGGCTCCGTGTAGGTAAGAAATTTTCTTTCTTAGCGGAAGAAGGCTAATACGGCAGACATATAGGGACAACGACGTTGCGTGCGAACTCAGTCCGATGACCTTATTCGCCTTAAAGTTGTATAAAATCCTGCTGAGGACGTAGGTTGGAGTTCCTTCTACTTTCCGGCCCACTTCGTCTGGCAGCAAACCTATTTGCTGAGCTCGCGGCATGAGTTTCTCCTATTTGGTACCTATTTGGACCTGCAGTGGCGTCGGTTCTGGAGCAAAAAAAATCATCCTGGTGACCACACCTATTTCTCTGACCCCTCACCGCAGCTAAATCATTTTCACTAGGTCGTAACCCAGACATTCCCAGTCCATTCTCGACAACACCTTGACCAAATCCGTAACGTTTTTCGCGGGGCTCCATACAGTGGTTACATCAGCGGCGTCATGGCGGATTTGGACTCTTCCATGATCTACACGGTGTTAAAAATTTTACCACTGGCACCTTAACGGCCTTCACCCCCAGGCAGGAATATGCCATCTCGCAGTCATTGGTTCCCTGGTGCGTCGGAAGGGAACTGTATTTCATTGCTCTAACAATAACCGAAGTCCGATAGGCAATCTCTAACATCAAATGAAGGTCCTCCAATCACATTGCGTTCTTTTAGGAAAAACCGTTTCCCGTTTCTGCATCATCAACCCCACCCCCGTCTTTGCGGGGTGCGTAACACGTGGAAGGCATCAGCCAGCTACAAAAAGAACCAACAGCCGAGTCACCGTGTTTTTCTTCATCCCGCATCCCATCCGTTCTCTTCAGCTATGGCCAATCTCGCTCGCATCGAAGACAGACCAACCCCGCCACAGGTTTATTCCTGGCGAGTGTATGTCAATGCTCTGATTGCAACCTTTGCGGCTATTATGATTGGGTTGGTCCTCATCGTTTTTCCGGCGTCGTTGAATCTGACTTTTTTTTTTCTTTTCCTTCGCTGTAGATACGACTCAGCCTTCATTGGAACGTCCATATCGCTGACCTCGTTCAAGACGGAATTCGACCTCCTCGAAAAGTCGACCTCTGAACTAGACTTGATTTCCGCCAACATCGTCTCTATGTATCAAGCAGGGTATGTCAGAATTTATCGGACCATTTTTCCGAAGTTCTGACCTTTTTTTAATCCAGGTGCTTTTTCGGCTCTATCTTCGGCTATCCTATTGGCTACTTTTATGGGCGCAAATTTGGGTTGATGATCGCCGGGGCGGTCTTCTGCGTCGGTGCGGCCCTGCAAGTCTCTGCGTCGTAAGTGTAATCCTCTCCCTTCATCTACTGCTCTCTTATGTATTACACAGATCTCATACCGGACTTGGAATTATGTATGGTGGGCGAGTCATCGTCGGTCTGGGTATTGGAGTGGCATCTAATCTGGCGGTACGTGTACTCCTGTTGAACGTATCGAATATTCTCTTATAACAATGTTACAGCCCATCTACGTGGCCGAAATTGCTCCTCCTGCTATTCGTGGACGTCTTGTCGGTATGTATGAGATGTGCTGGCAAATTGGAGGTGTCATTGGTATGTTTCGATTATTTGAAAGTTATGTCTTCTGTGGTTAACCCAATTACTCCAGGCTTCTGGATTAATTATGGTGTCACGGAGCACATTGCCTCCAGCCACAAGCAGTGGATCATTGCATTTGCTGTGCAGCTCATTGTAAGTCACACATGATCCAAAGCTATGCATGGACTAAGTTTACCTGATAGCCCGGAGGATTGTTGTTGATTGGGACTCCCTTGATGACTGAATCGCCTCGCTTCCTCGTGACTCGCGATCGCAACGGACAGGCCTTAAGAAACCTCAGCTATCTGCGCAATCTCCCTCATGATGCACCCTACATCGTCCAGGAGTTCAGCGAGATAGAAGCAGCAGTCGCACATGAACGAAGTCTGGCTGGAGCAGGGTTCTTCGGACCAGTCAAGACCGTAATGGCAGACACGAAGTTGATTCAGCGACTTCTCCTTGGAATCAGTTTGTTTGCATGGCAGAACGCCACTGGTATCAATGCTATCAACTATTATTCGTACGTGTCTTTCATTCCTGCATGAAACCTTGCGCTGACTTGATATCTGATACCAGCCCTACTGTCTTCAAATCAATCGGAATTACTGGATCAAGTACCTCGCTTCTGACCACTGGTGTCTTCGGTCTCAGTACGTCTTTATTGTTTCTTATTATGCTTGGTTTTGACCACGAATTACAGTCAAACTTGTTTGTGCAATGGTCTGGCTGCTTTACCTTGTTGACCAGTTGGGCCGCCGTAACCTGCTAATGATCGGTTCTGCTGGCGGTGCGGTATGCATGTACTATATCGGAGCGTATATTGCTGTTGCCGACCCAGCATCGCATTCGACTAAGACTGTTGATGCTGGAGGAAAAAGTGCCGGTGAGCCAAAGATCTCCAGTAACGAGTTTCCGTCTCATCGTTTCTCTCCAGTTGCCTTCTTTTACCTTTGGACCATCTTCTATTCTCCGAGCTGGAACGGTACTCCTTGGGTTGTTGGCGCTGAAATCTTCCCCCAACATGTTCGCACATTCACTCAAGCGTGCATGGCTGCAGGGAATTGGCTGTTTGCGTGAGTATTACCCCCGCTGTGTAAGCAAGTGAAAAGCTGATGCATATCGTCAGTTTCCTCATTGCGCGATTCACGCCTCAAATGTTCACATCGATGGGCTACGGTGTATACCTCTTCTTCGCAAGCTTGATGGTAGTATCCGTCTTCTTTGTTTTCGTAAGTACACTTTCCTTCTACCGTCTGGCTTGTCGGACTGACAGGACTATAGTTCTTCGTACCTGAGACGAAGCAAGTACCTCTCGAACGTATGGACGAATTATTCGCACCGGATGTCAAGGCATGGAACGCCCATGCTATTGTTACCGGGCGTATGAAAGACCACTACCAGGATGCGGAGCAAGGAAAAGTAGTCCGGGACCGATCCCCGGAATTAAAGAGCGAGGAGGAGCAGGTGGAAAGGGTGACGTACTCCGAATGATCACCTCACGACCATCTTAGTCTACCTAACCAATCGATCTAATAACTTCAAATGTAGTATTATCATTATTGTAAAAATGCAATCAGCACGCTCCACTTTTGTGATGTCTGAGAACGCAAAGAATATTAATCTACTATGTTCGTCTGTCACTTTATTTAATTCGTGGTTCCTTGCGATTGTCGTGTGTGAATCCTTGAGATCGGAACATTAGCCTTCATGGATCTCCTTTCTTTCGACGATGATCGCTACTTTGTATAACTAGAGCGACCTTATAATAGCTCATTCCGCAGAAATGGCTGGCTTGACGTGAGAAAACAATGAGAAGGGAAGAGTACGCGCAGTCCACGCGGGGCCCCAGAACGTCAGCTGATAATTTTGAAGCCCTGCTTTGAAGGGTCATTTGCCTCGACTAAGCTAAGCAGACGTAGACGCAACAAATACACATTCCATTGTAATTTTTTAGGCATGAAGTTTAACAGCATATGATGGACGGACAAATTTCTTTGAGAAATTCGCAGCCTTCAGAGGTCGGGAGCCTTTCTTCGCGGAAAATAGTATCCACAAACCTGAAATAGATAGTCATCTCGCTGGGTTGTGTACTTGTTATAGGCGAGGTAAACAGTCTGCTTTCCGTTGATCCGAAGGAGACGTCGTCGGTGTTGCTGGTCAGAGTGAGATTATCGGTCGGATCTTGGAGCAATCATAACTTGGTCTGCCGACCTAAGGTTGTATTAGTTGATATCGGGGTTGTGGCGAGCGTGGAATAAACCTTTCGCTGAAGCCGTCGTGAGAATGATAAGTTGGTGTTCTAAAACAAGATCTGCTGATAATATTACTTATACCTCAATTTATCTCCGGCTGCCAGAAAAGCAAAGCATCTGTTCGATACAGCTGTGGCTATGGTTACGTATCAGCTTCTAAACTGCAATCACATACAGTTTAGTACTGTGAAAAATAAGCGCATGTCTAGAGGAACAGACGCTGAGGTTAGAAGAGATAAAGAAAAAATGAAAGCCAATGTGAAGCTCGACGAGGGGATGAAGGCTTTTGTCTACTGAAAATATTATTGTAACTCGGTATCGGCATTTTTGGTAAATTAGCATGACGGAGAGCCGTACTACTAAGCACTATTCATGTTAGCCGTTTGTCAAATATAGAATTGTTATGCCAATCGTCTACGTAAGACTAGGCGTTCTAGTGAAAGGGACAAGAAGAAAAGGTACCCACGCCGGCACCGGACCAAACTTTGTGCTCTGTCAAACTTAGCAACCTACAGAGGTGAGAAGGAAACAAGGCTATTTGAAATATCGTACATTTGTGCAAGTGCCCCTCAGCTTTTGTCGCAGCTCTCTCTCCCTGCCGCTTTTTGCTGAGTACACGTATGTCACGCAAGGTAACGTCACAACCTTACTCGCCGCTCTTTGACACCGACCTCTGCCTATCACACTGATACCCTTCCTCACTCTTTCCGATGTCTTCACGCAGCAAAAAGTCAAAATTAGAGGCTTTGGCTGAACTAAAGCGTGCCAGAGCCGGTGGAACACGTAGACTGAAGGTGGGCTAAATCCACGATGCCAGACGCGTCTAACACCAAACTTGTAACAGGAGGAAGACGTTCAAATTTATGACGAGGTCTCAGAAGACCAGTACAACCGCATTGTTAAGGGGCGCTTACAGAGAGATGACTTTGTTGTCGATGATGGCGTAGACGGTTACATGGACAATGGCATGGACGATTGGGCGGAGGCGGATGCATATGACTCGGACGAGGACATGGAACTGGACAGAAAAGGTCTGTCTGTTGCTTAATGCTCAGCGTTCCGCGTTTGACGTGTGTCTGTACAGCGACAAAGAAATCATCCAAGCCGGATAACAAGAAAAGCAAAGCCAGACCTAGGCCACCGTCCCCGACTCCCATTGCACCAACAATCAGCGCGTACCGGCCGAAAGTTTCGAAGGATGACGAGGACAGTTTCATGGCTTCTCTTTTGGGGGACATGGACGCAGCGCCTATCCCTGCCGTTCCAAAATCGCGGAAACGCAAGACATCTCCTCCATATGACTATGAAAACTCTTCTCCCATACCCTATCGCGATCACATGTCCTACGCCGACACTTCTTCGGACGGTCCCATGGATAGCCCTTTCCCTGATACCCCGAGCGAAGACCTAATTTTCAGCCCCAAGAAAAAAGTCAAGACCGACGTCACAGGAATGACACCGGCCACTCAGCGTCTTTCTCGGATGAACGTGAAATCAGGCTCCGACTTGGACATCCCCGATGATTTCGACTTCGACATGGACGCATTTGACCAAATGGACGATGATATTGACGAGTTGAAGCCGGTCAAGAAAGAGCCCGTGGTTGTATCTTTACCCAAGAAAGAGGAAGCAAATACTCTACCATCGTGGCTTTCAGTCTATGATTCTCTTGCCGTCGCCGAATCTGACACGCTGGGTCCTTTGGACTCCTCTTCATCCGCCGCCAGTAGCAGTAAAATTGCAGCCTTAGAGCCAGACGGCTCGCTACGTTTCTTCTGGCTCGACTACCTTGAACACGAAGGAAAATTATATTTTGTCGGCAAGCTAAAGGACAAGACCACGGGACTGTGGGTGTCTTGTTGTGTCACGGTTGAAGGGCTCGAGCGTAATCTCTTTGTTCTACCACGAGATAAACGGGTACAAGTTGACGATGAGAACATGTACGAGACCGATGAAGTCCCTTCATTGCAGGATGTATACCGGGATTTTGATGCGATTCGGAAGAAGGTCGGCATCAAGAGCTTCAAAGGCAAGTTTGTCAAACGAAAGTACGCGTTTGGGGAGACGGAAGTTCCTCGGGAAGAGCGTCAGTGGATGAAAGTGATATATGGTTTTGATCGTAAGTGCCTTCCATTATGATAAGTCTCATCAATCGCTCAATAACCGTGTTAGAACCGCAGCTTCCGAATACGCTTAACAGCCCTAACATCTCAAAGATCTTTGGGTCCAATACTAGTGCTTTCGAGCTCCTTGTACTCAAAAGGAAGATTATGGGTCCGTGTTGGCTTCAAATCAAGAACCCAAAGATTGACAATCAGGGAGTGGGTGTGTTATCCTTCTGTTTTAAGTCGCGTCTTATATGTATTTCCAGATATCCTGGTGCAAACTGGAAGTCACAGTATCAGATCCAAAGGACCTCAATCCCTTCTCAGACTCTGACCCCAGCATACCAAAGGACACTCCGCCTTTGACAGTTATGAGCTTGAGTCTTCGTACGATCGTTAATCACGCCGAGAATATGAGGGAAGTCGTCTGTGCGACTGCGAGGATATGGCATAATAGTCAGTCTTATTCTCCGTTTTCAATGATGCTTTGCTGAGACGAATCGCAGTGGCCATCGATGACCCGAAACCGCCGGAGCAACTGCCGTGTACCGCTCAAACTTTTGTGCGCCCTCTCGATCGCTTCCCGCCAAATTTCGAAGTTTGGGCAAAAGCGAAGGGCAAAGGTCATATATCTACCGCGAAGAACGAACGCATGCTCCTCAGTAGTCTGTTGGGTATGCACATCGTACACCTTCTCGGAAACCCCCACGTGTTGACATGCTCTTTCTCATAGTGGTACTGCATAAAGCTGACCCCGACGTTATTGTCGGCCACGAGTTTTTGGGTTCTTCCTTGGACGTCCTTTTGCATCGTATGAAAGGTCTGAAAGTCGACCACTGGTCTAGATTGGGACGATTTAGGCGATCTAAATGGCCCAACATTGGGAAACAAGGGTCGAACATCAAGTTCCTTTCTGGACGCATGCTTTGCGATCTTGCTAGTGACGGCGCAAAGGTTTGTCACTAACTTTTTGACTACAAGATTTTCCTTAACAACTAGTTTGTAGAGCATGATCGCTTCGACGACCTGGTCCCTGACTGAGATGTGTAAGACGCACCTGAAAAGTGACCGGCAGGACATCGATCCTGACGATACCGCGAGCTACTTTGACAGCAGTGTCAGCGGACCCGACAGACTCATGACCTTCGTTCAGCATTGCGAACTGGATGCCCATTACCATATGGCCATTGCCTCCAAAGTGCAGATCTTGCCGTTAACGAAACAACTGACTAACCTGGCGGGAAATTCTTGGTATGGTTCGCCGTCATCGCTGGTTCTGTTGTTCTCTTACATTGGCTGCAGGAACAAGACTCTGAACGGTGGACGTGCCGAACGTAATGAGTACATTTTGTTGCACGAGTTCCATAAACTCAAGTATATATGCCCCGATAAGTCTTGGGGTAAGAAGAGCAAGCCCCAAAAGACCGAGAACGAGGAAGTCGACGGGAATGGGACATCTGCCAAATCAAAGAGGGATAAGTACAAGGGCGGTTTAGTCTTCGAGCCAAAGCGTGGCCTTTGGGACAAGTTCATTCTGGTCATGGACTTCAATTCCTTGTATCCCAGTATTATTCAAGAGTACAACATTGATTTTACTACTGTTGATTCGATTGACAACGAGCACGAGGTTTGCTTATGCCTTCTTTCCCTTGGTATATTTCTGGCTGACACGTAGCTCATTGTAGAACGAAGAACAGCATATACTTGAACCGCCAGGTTCTTCGGTCCCGCAGGGTGTTCTCCCTCGACTCATTGCCACCCTTGTCAACAGACGGCGGCAAGTTAAGTCTCTCATGAAGGATAAAACCGCAACTCCCGCGCAGCTGCTTCAGGTAATTAGTCGCTACATTTTCTTTGAGTAATCTCATTCTGACTCATTTGTTGTTATAGTATGATATCAAGCAACAGGCCCTCAAGCTTACAGCTAATAGTATGTACGGCTGTCTAGGCTTCGAGTATTCGAGGTTCTACGCGCGACCCTTGGCCGCATTAACAACGTTCAAGGGACGAGAAATTCTGACGCATACGAAGGAGTTGGCAGAAAGCATGCAGCTTGATGTCAGTCTTTGATTCGTTCTCTTCCTTCTAGTTGACTCTGTCTTACGATATTTCAGGTCGTTTACGGTGATACTGATTCGGTCTTTGTGAACTCTAATGTCACCGAACTCTCGGAAGCCCTGAAAATTGCCACTGAATTCAAGAAAGCCGTTAACGACCGGTACAGGTTGTTGGAGATCGATTTAGATGGCATATTCCAGCGGCTGCTGCTTTTGCAAAAGAAGAAATATGCTGCTATCAAGGTCGAGGGTGATAAGAGGACGTCGACTGAAGTGAAGGGTCTCGATATGAAGCGCCGGGAATACTGTGCTCTCACAAAGAACATTTCGCAGTGAGTGATATCAAGATCCCCTGAAAGTGCTCAAGCTCATGGCAATTTTAGGTACGTATTGGAACAAATTCTATCCGGAGAAACTACCGAAGTCGTAGTGGAACAAATACATGAATATTTGAAAACCATTGGGGAGAATGTCAAGGAGGGAAAGGTCAAACTCGACGACTTTATCGTTTTTAAGGTTCATATTGTCTTCTTCGCATTAGATGCCTCTAACCAGTCTCCACAGCGGCTCGGTAAAAATCCGGAAGAATACCCAAAAGTTCATGGGCTCCCACATGTACAGGTCGCCATGAAAATGAAGGCGAGGGGTGGGTCGGCAAGAACAGGAGATGTAATACCTTACATCTTTTGCCTGGCTGAAGGGGAGGAGTCGGCGAAGACCGGTCAAGCAGATCGTGCCAGGCATCCAGACGAGCTTCGAAAGGCCGGATCGGAGCTCAAGATAGGCGAGTTATGGGCTTATTGACGTCTACGTGTTATTGACGCACAGACATTTCCAGATTATGAATATTATCTTTCGCAGCAGATTCTCCCTCCCATAGAACGACTGTGCGATCCCATCGAAGGGACAGATCGAACACGATTAGCAGAGTGCCTTGGTAAATCTATTCTCTTCGTCGGATATTCACGATACTCACTCACAACTCAGGTCTGGATCCTTCGCGTTATCGAACTGCTATATCTAGCAGCTTCTCAGAAGAGCGTGCATTTACTTCTCTAGATTCGCGGATATCAGATGCAGAGCGGTTCAAAGATGCCACTCCCTTCATTGTGCGGTGTCCTACCTGTAGAGGGGAACTGGCCTTCGCCCCGCTCAATGATCGCGATGTACGTATGGTTGGTATAACTTTGAACAGCTACTGATACGAGCATACAGTCGTCAATCGTTCATTCTCATGGTACTGCGTGTCTCAGTCCCACGTGCCAGAAACCGATACCCTCAGGAAGTCTCCAGCTTCAGCTTGAAATCCAGATTAGAGGACACATCTCGAGGTATTACGAAGGCTGGACTGTATGCGATGATAGTACTTGTGGTAATCGGACACGTATGATGGGGGTGTATGGTCGAAGGTGTCTCAAACAGGGATGCCGAGGATCAGTGGCTTTTGAGGTTCGTTGTCGTCGTATGATCTACTGCCCAGCACTAATGGTATTTCTAGTATTCCGATGCTCAACTGTACGATCAACTTCGTTATTTCTCCTCCCTTTTCGATGGAGAACGTGCTGTCAAAGCCGCGACAGGAACGAGTACTGAAGGTATGCGATATTCCCTGGCTTTGGTATCGCCGAATTCATCATCTGTCACAGAGGAAGTTTCTGTTCTTGTTTCGCAGCAGGTGGTCCTCTTGAAGACACTGTCGGATTGTGTGGATAAGTACTTAGATCAGTGTAGCCGTCGGTGGGTGGAAATGGGGGCACTATTTTCTATGATGAAAATATAGGTCATCCTGTACTCGGAATACTCCATTTGCATAGTTGTATTTATGGATATATCATGTTGTAGTTTTAGCATCTGTCTGTCAGTTTTTATTCAAATGACACCAAGTCACTGTTTTTAATATCACTTCAAGAGCAGGATATTGACTAGCAGCATCTGCTATAAAGGTCGTCAATTCAGAAGAGCCGAGCTATAGCAAGAATATCGACGATGAATAAAAGAATGCAATGAAATAACAAATGTATGCAGCTGAAATGCCTCGCTCGTGCTCCCGAAATTGTTCCTGGCGAACCCAAGTGGAAACTTTTCCCCTTGAAGTGCAACGAAACATGGGCTTGAACAGACTATTGTGGTGCCTCAGAAGCGCCCATAGCAATCGTAGCTTCGTAAATCTTCTCGGTCAAAGGATTCCCGGAAGGCCTGAGATCAAGTCCTTGGATAGGTTTGTAGGGCCATGCAGGGTTGCATTTCCTGTACTCGATGGCTACTAGTTCCAACGTGACAGACAGCATCCCCAACGGTTACTTCTTTTTCAACTCTGTTCTGCAGAACGATACGAAAGGCTTTAAGTTGAATGTCGTTTCTGAAAATTCTACGAATTTCGAGGCAAACATTGAGACCATGGTCTTGTGCAGACTCGAAGACATAAGTGGGTGGAGGCAGCGTTCATTCTGGTCGATTTTCGAGAGGTCAGGGCGACCAGGAGATCACTTCGACCTCGCTTCAAGAGGTCTGAAGGATTAGTACCGTCCGTCGGGGAATGGAGGTGGCAAACACAGTAGGTTAAATAGAAAGAAAAATTGCGACGGGAAAGAGAGAGCAGTCTCTGATTCGTCAGCGAGTAACGAAGGTTAGGGAGTAATGTTGTACTATTTTATAATACACTATTGATAACAGACATTACGCGTCTACTGCGGACAGACATAAAGCTATCCGCCGCTATCACGACGAAAGTACCACTGGCATAAGACCGGGGTCACGACAGTTCACTAGGGACTTTTCTGAAGACACTCCTTGAAACGCCATCGTCTTGGAGCTCAACATGCCTTTCCAAACGGTAGTGACCCCATTTTGGGAATAACTTGACCCAGAAGATCCAGTATACCCCTCCAACAGCGAACACGCCAACCGAAATAACCACATGCAGCCAGTACGGTAGGCTTTTATATACGCTTTGGCCCGGCGCAGGAGGCACGAGGGGTGCAAATGTGAGGAAGAGGTTGGAGAGGAAGAAAAATAGCACCACGGGCCATGTCGCACGGAACGGTGGTCGCCAGTCGCCTCCCCAGGCACTGTAGAGGAAGAGTAGACCACCACTGATGAAGGCATTGATTATAGCTAATGGATACGACACCACTGAACAGCGAGAGGTTAGCAGGAGAGCACGAATTCACAGTAAAACGTACTGTTAAGCACGAGATTATAGGCATCACCTGGCGGAGGTGCCAATATGATGATCACAGTGACCAGCCATTGTAGAGCGAGACCAGTTGCGGGTGCGTTAAAGGGTTTGTTGGATGCCCAAAATTTAGAAAAGGGGAGAACTGCAATTCGGCCGAGTTCCTGATTGACTGTGAAAGGAAGATGTTCGTTAGACATCTCAACGATTAGACTGCGACACTCACTTCGTCCTTGACTGAATAAAACGGCCATGACGTTCCCAAGCGCGCTCAAGGCAACAAACACATTCAATGCTTTCTCTGCTTTTGTTCCGAACATGTTACGGAAGTAAAGAGCACTAGAGGATATTTGAACACGGAGAGCATCTTTAGCAAAATGACACTTACGCGACTGTCTGACCTGACGTGAGGATATCCTCTTTGGCAACGGCAGCAAAATAGGCAACGTTGACCAGGATGTACACGACCGAGACGGATGCTATGGCAAGGGGCCCAGCAATCTTTAGGGTTCGAACAGGATTCTTGACTTCGGATAACGCATAATTCACGTTCGAGTAGCCTATAAACGACCTAGTGCACACCGTAAGTAACCCTGCGCGCGCCGGAAAGAATAAGGTAGTAAACAGACCAAATAACGTTATAAAGACCGGTGACAAACGCGTTTGCGTTGCTCTCAGTACCGTCGAAAGCATTCCTGAAATTATGGGGCTTTTCATTCTCTGGCAGTTTGATATGGCCTGCAAGAGCAGCGAACCCCGAGAACGTGATCAAAAGCAAGATGACGATCTTGAAGATGCCTAAGGCGTTTTGGAGACGAAGACCCCATTTAAGGAAACAGCTGTGGAGAATGAGAGCAAACGAAACACAGGCGATCCCAATGCCGCGCTGGTTCCACCGGGTGACGTCCTTTCCAGCAGCAAGGAGAATATCTGAAGACCATGCAATCATGAATCCACTACCCAGTCGTGAGAATTGCACTGACATTGTCCGAAAACAACCGAGTTCCCTGCTGGCCAAGGCATTGAGGCCGCATAAGCTGCATACAAGGCAACGGCGAGGTATCTTGGCTTTTGATAAATGTAACTTAGATACGTAAGCTCTCCTCCTGATCGTGGTAGGCCAGTGCCGAATTCGACGTAGACGGCGAGACCTGAGGCGGCGATGATGCCGCCAATCACCCACATGAACAATGCCAGACCAACCGACCCGGAACTCGAAAGGATAGTCGATGGTGTCGCGAAGATGCTGTCATTGCGGAATAAGTCTACTATCAGAGATGATGGGGAGAGCGAGAGGTGTTGCGTACCCGGTACCGATAATGCGGTTAAAAATCAGAAATACAGCAGACCATAGGCCAATTGTTCGCTTTTCCGGGGGAACATCATCGAAAGTTTCGCCATCACGCCCTGCCAAAAAAAAGAATGAGAAAAGATAGAGCAAATAAAATCAAAGTACATACCGATGCTGTCATCCCTCGTCAAAGCAGCGCCAGCGAGTGGATCATGAATTTCCTCTTCTTTAGGGGGGCCCTTGATGATGATGGAGTTCTTGAGACTGCCATGGGATGGACGTCTCCCCAGAGGCAATTCGGCATCACCGGCGCCCTTGAGAATTATCGACATTTGAGTCTTGAGATGTGTGGTATATCAACCATCAAACAATTTTTTATGTACTGAGAAGCGAAGTCCGCGCTATTCCACGCGTCGATGGCGTGATCACGAATCATAGTCTAGCCGACTGAGCCCGACTGGCGCGAGGGATCATTGGATGGGTGGAGCGCGTGGTCATCGCTTGAAGCCATGTGGTGGACGGAGGCAACTAATGGAGAGCAAGCCTGGGCTATGTAGGGGTCAACCTTCGGAGCATAGTTTGCTAATGCGGAACATGATGGTGCGATTTTGATGGTATCGACCGGTTCGGAACATAGCTGCGTTGAAACACTTGGGAACTCGACCCCGTAGTAGGGTGGGGCAAGGCGATGGAACCAGAATATGAGCTGCTGGAAAGCTACATATGATCTCACGTAGATAGGCTCAGAGCGCCTCGTCTCCTTGCGTTTGATAAAAATAGCTATACTGCTTCGTATCAACTTCGTTTTCTGAGGCTCCTAATAAATTTCTGTTACAGAATTTTTTCAATTTCGATTCGGGGCAGCACCCAAGACAGGAAATACCCTTACCCTAAGCATTCTGCAGATGTCCAAAGTCGACACAGATTACGGATATATAGGCCCGCATTCATGCAGCCTCTCGCTGAAGCTGATCGCAAGTCAAACGTAGTGCGTTCCGGACTTTTTGGCGCGTCGCGTGAGTCACAAGTGTCGTGATTCGCCTGATTTGTGACCAACGTGTTCTGTGAACGCACCTATAAGGATAAACATCTCACCATATTGCTCGGTTACATGTACGAGAGAAGAAAACACAAGGCACGTAGCCGCACGCTGTCCAAAGATGCAGCATGCGCCATCATTCAATTGTACCGACGCTCGGGCTCTAAACCACGATATGAATATATTGAAAGGTCATGTTTTGACGTCGCGAATGGAGATGCTGTCTGTCTCTGTGATTTGTGTAATATCTTTGACAGCATGTATCAGCAGGTGATAAAGGACAAATCTTCCTAGGACCTGCCAAAATCGCTACAAGAAACGTTTGAATGTCTTGATGTAGAGTTCGGGGCAATCAAAAACTTATGCTGATCATTTTGCGACATTATATCATAACCTTAGTCCGAGTTTGCATGTTTGTTGATTACGTGCGACGTCATGAACGAGATATGTTCAAGGCCCAGAAGGTGTACGAGGACACAAACCTCAATGTTAAAACTGGATGTTCTACCAAAAGTCAATAGTTTCATCATGGAGTGACAGTTGACCTAGGCAGAGACATGAGTCGTCTTTCCGGAGGAGAAAAAAAGATCATACTCTGAGTCAAGCCTGAAAAGACGCACTTGCCAACATAAGGCGTCAGTGTTATCATACATGCGATCCATAACACCACGCCCAATGAAAGAGATACCTAACGTCATTTCCATCAAATAAGTGCATGCAAGTTCCTGAGGAATGATAGATTCAAGCTGTCCAAAGTTCAACAAGCATAATCGAAAGCAAGGAACGCAGACATTGAAAACAAACATGCAGATAACACTGGAGACCCCAAGACTCGACCTACGCCAACTCATCTTCTTCTTCACCCTCGCCGCTGCTGTCACCACTGGATGCATCCGCGGTACCAGAATTAGCCTTGAGACGTTTCTTGATCATCTTTGCATAGACCAACCCACAGGCATTGCAGAGCGTCCGTGGCCCCAAGGGACCTCGCCGCCATTCAGGCGTAGACGTAGCATTACAGCCGAGACAAACTTGACCTGTCGACGCAGAATCCTCCTTCTTATCGACACCCTCTTTCACCTTCGCCTTTTCCTGTTCCTCGCGTTCCTTCTCAGCACGCAGTCGTTCCTGCTCTGCGCGTTCTCGTTCTCTCTCCTGTTCTCTTTCTCGCTCCCGCTCCCGTTCCCTCTCACGTTCGCGCTCGCGCTCCCTTTCTCGCTCTCGCTCTTCTTCCAACCGTCTCTCTTCACGTTCGCGCTCTCGTTCGCGCTCTCTTTCCCGTGCTTCTTCGTCAGGACCTCCCAGGATCGCGGCAGCAGAGGAAGCAGCATCGCAGAGCCTATCCATCTGCGGTTGAGGAGCCTGCGGTGCAAACGCGTCCAAAATCACACGATACGAATCCACAAGCTGTGACGCATACTGTAAGTACGTAGCAAAAAGTCGCAGCACATAAGCACACCTTGAGAAAATCAGGACCAGGTGGAGGCGCAGGAGCGGGTTCCTCTATCCATCGCGGCGCTGCATGCGGTGACGGCTGAGATAATGGCGACGGCTGCTGGTGCGGGGAAGGTTGGGTTGGATGTGGCGAAGGCTGGCGCTGATTGTGGTGAGAAGATTGGTAGGAGTCATTGCTCCAGTACTGAGGCGGCGGTGGTGGCGGCGGGTACGCGTACTGATACGGCTGCTGCCCGTACTGTTGCCCGTACTCGTAGTGGCCGTGATACATAGCGTCCGGCGCAAACACGGCCAAAGCCGAAGGCAAAAGGTAGCTCCGAAATTCCCGATGCCATTTGCCGGATCCTGAGAATAGCCAAGAATGCGGTGATTGGGGGGAGGGAGAGCGCACTGTTACCTTCTTCACTGGTAGAGATAAATAACAACTCTTGCAGAGCTCCACTCTCAGAGTGTCCTCGTCGTGATTAGACTACTAAACAATCCGTGTTAGTAACCATCCAATTGGCATAAAGTATCAATGGACTCGTCGAAGAGATTCTTCCCCCCCCTTTAACCTATGCACCCTCGTTTTTCTCTAGAGCTGCCTCCACATGTGATGTACAGACTGCCGGAAGCATCATATTTCAACGAATCAAAAAGGTGGAATCAAACTCCTGCCATCTCATGGAAGAAACAAACTAGACAGAGATAATGGTATCGGAATGGGACTTTTATCATCGCTATCACTGCCCAGAGTTCGAGTATCTCGTCTCAACATCTCACCATCTCTTCACGTGTATAATGGTGGGCTATAACGGTGGGCTGTCTATCACTTGGCAAAAAAAAAAGAACGAAGCCGTGTGTGTGTGGCGGCTTCTTTTGTGCGGTTCCCATCGGTAGCGAACATTAAAACGAAGCATGCACTTCTTGGGTATTTTTTTGTGATGATACAACAAAAACGTCGAGAAACGTTTTATACAGGTCATTTAATATGACAGACAGTAGGTATGAACGTTACAACATCGTGTATTGAGCATGTACTTGGTGTGTCCCAAGTAGAGATAAAAACAGCACCCTTGCGTCATCAGTCAGTCCGAGCAAGTCAGCGCACAGAAACGATAGGCGCTCACCAAAATCCCAAGGGAAAAAAATCACAGCATCACCACGTTCATCGTAGGTTCCGTAGCATCTTGATGACATCCTGCATATTATCTACGTTCCATTCCCCGCTCCAGCCCTGCGTGGGTTCACCCCAGCTGACGAAAGAACTCGAGTCCTGAAAGCTATGGATGAATGGCGAATCAGGACGGGGTGGAAGCAGGAAGGACGGCTCTCTAGTGAACTGATTAATACTGTGTGTCGGAGACGTAGCCGAATGAGGCGCAGTACTAGGACGCCTAAGCTTCCCATCTCCGTCTGGTGCCCTTCTGAAGAAGAGCGGAGAATCCGGACTTCGTGGAGAAAACTTCAGTGGGCTGAGAGGCGGCTCCGGCTGCGAAGCCTGAGAGTTGGTTGTTGCGATGCAGAGATTTCGGACGTTGCGATTGCGTCTCTCTAACACAGAAGAAGGTGGATGCATATTCGAGGGTGAAAGGAGCGTGGATTGAATAGATTGAGTGCGTAGCGGAGAGGAATCATATGACAAAGAACGACGATGAGAATGGCAGGGCGTGTCTCCGTAGGAAAGGGAAGAGTCGTAAGAACATTGGCGTGAGAGGGTTGGGCGATGACCGTTCGCAGTCCCTAAGGCAGATCGCTTCGGAAGATGGTTAATCGAGGGTGGTGCGTGAGCTAACCACGGTTCTGGTACAATCCTTTGGATTGAGTCGGAGGGCGATGGCGGGGCTGTAATTGGCCTCTTCAGAGGCATCGCTGCGTCGACGATAATGGGCGACGGGCGAGAATATGTGGAGGAACTATCCGAGGATGATCCGGTAGACGGATACGAGGAAATGATCTTCTGCCCCACTACTAGTGTCTGTTCTTTGATTGGTATGATTAGACACGGAGGGACTGGGGGGATGTCATCTGGCGGCAATGAAGACGTAGCAGATCTTTTGCGTCGAATGCCAATACGACGCAAGAAGGGTTTAAGAGAAATGGAGGACCGAGAGGAGTGCGTTGTGCATAATGATGGGGCGCGGCTTGACATCGATGAGAGAGACGCAGAGTGCGAACTCCGGGAAAACGATGTTGGAGATGATTGGCATGAAGACGTGTCAGAGAACGCGACAACGGGGGGTGCCTTTGTCTTCTTCTTCTTGGGTTTCTTCTCAATTTTTACCAGCGGTTTAGGCTGCTTTGGCTGGCCCATGTCTGGCGCAGCGAACAAGGAGACAGGTGACCGAGGTCGACGAGAGGGTTGCGTCGTACTGGTGCGACTTGAGGACGGCATCGCATAATACACCTCTTGACTGGTCGGGATCTGGTATATATACGGTGAAAGGACGTAAGAGACACCATGCGGAACATACACACTATTATACTAAATGAATAACGCGCACCCAAGGAGAGGAAGCCATGATGCAATCAAGCTGCGAGTCGAGATCCGAAGTTAGATCCTAAATCAATAGTCGACGAGCAAAGGGAAGAGAATAGAAAGCATGACGCCAACATCTGGCCGATATTCTTATTCTACAGCTTCCGGACATGCGAAGCGTCCAACTTGAACAGGCAGGCACAAATAATTCTGAGACGTCGGATTGTTAGCATTCTATCTCGCCGTTGACGCCGGAAGCTAGTTCGACGCGTCGCCGACTCGAAAGACTGACACCCGATAGGTAGGGTAGGTCTGTCTACTTGCCTGAATTAGACAGACCTACTGGTCCTTTTATTAACCCCGCGTACGGCGGATGTCAACACAAATGCGGAGACTGCCACGTATCGCCGATATGGGCATCGGTTTAAGCTGTTCGTATGGATCGTCAAAAACAATTACCAGTTAAACCTGCAGCGGGGTCTCCTTTCCGATGGGCCCAGACATCCGACCGCTTCCCTTGCTAGATTGATGCAGGGAAGATTCGAGACGAGAGAAACAAACCCATATAGATGATCCCACGGCTTTAGAGTACCAAGAGCGAATGGTAGCTTTCGACTCGCATCCGCTTTGTCGGATTGCTGGCGGAACAGCTGCTTAAGAATAATTCGAAGCACGCTGGTATTCAACGTCGAAGGTATTCCGAGGAGGAGGAAGAGCGGTCCGAGAGAAATAGCGAAACGATATTTACAAGCGACAGGAATGGTAAATCATGGAGTGGATGTACAAGTCAGTCGCCATCAATGCCGCACTTGCCGATGGTCCATCACAGTTCGATGTCCAAAACTTTTGATTATGTTGATGCATCATTCGATGGCGCCACAACTGTGAGTGTCTTAATCGCCAAAAATCCTAGTTCGAAGCTGTGATAAGATAGCGTTATTTTGTAAATTTTGCAAATGACCGGTTTACAATCAGTCTCACGGTTTTCCTAGAACCCACTAACAGTTGAGCGGGCAAACCAGAAGACAGTCACCGTACCGCACGGCAGGCAATACTTGATCTCCAAGTCAACCTACTGTAACGTTTAGCACTTCTGCCAAGCAACGGTATAAACAATGGGCCGAGTAAATATGCGAACATAAAAACATACCACGGCTGATGAGACAAACCGGCTTTGGAGAGGGAACCGGGTAACCATCACCGGAACAACTTGAAATAGTTGATTTTTTGGAGTGGGAATGCTTGGGAAGTCTAGAAATATATCTGAAAGACCATTGGTTGTACCTAGTACATATGATCCTGTCAAGCATCCTGAATGTATCACTCTTTGGCGCGTTTTCATTGGGCTGCCGAGAAATTGATGTTTGAATAAGCAGAAAATGTCGAATAGTCATTGAATCATGGGACCCTCCCACAAATAATCGTCTCTGAATAAAACACGGTGTGAGCGACCGAAGAGGCACCGAAGTCAAGAAATACGTACATCTCCGCAGTAGTATTTGTAACCACACCCCTGGCCCTCAAGAGCCTGAAATTCTCGTTTAGGACCCTCCTTAGCGTCTCAAGCTTGTCTCTAGACTCGAAAGAGAGGGAATCTTCGCCAGGCGAATTCCTATCCATCATCGTATATCCCCAGCAAACGATGCTGAGGGTAAACGTTCGTAGTGCCGTAAGCCGTGAAAGCGTAGAATCCATCTTACGCCAAATAGGCTTAGCTATCTCCGTCGATACCGCACCTTCCTCAATGAAGTATTTGAAGGTGATGTCTTCAAGAATCTCTGCTGCACCTATACTATTTATCCACCAATCCAAGAGAGTGGAATCAGATCCTTCTGATTTATCATACAGCTCAACGGTAACACGCCGTAGATTACCAACCTTGAGCCGCTGGTGAGCCAATTCCGATGAGAGTCGCAACGGTAACGCTATTACGGCATTTTTAAAGGCGTTAGAGATTGAAGAAGGCGGAGACGTACATGACTTGTTATGGATGATATGAAGATTTCGAAGTGTGTCTGCGCAAAGATTTGTCAAGGCTTGCAAACGTTCAATATCTTGTTTTTCATGGATGGGAAAAACCAGATATCGAAGCGTCCCGATCGAGACAGGGCATACGCCTGAACTAATAATGTTATCCAGTATATCTGTGCGCCCGTAGGCACCATCGACATCTAACCATTCCACCAGTGGTCCAGGAGGGTGCTTGTGCTCACATGGCGCTGTGTGCGTGTACATCTGCCCTGAGCACGTAAAGCTCTTCAGGGTCGGCCACGCGCGCGCAAACGCACACAAGTGTTTAAAATCCGCGAAGCGAACACTGTGCAATTCCAGCGAGGTTAGGGAGCACGAGAAAATTGGTGATAGTGGCGAGTTGGTGTCGCTGGGGACGGGGCAGAGGATAGAGCTCAGATAGAGTTTTTCGAGATTACTCGCCGCGCGTATTATGGGTTGTAAAAGGGGTTCGTAGGTGATATCCCATGCATCACGATTAGGCGTGCTGAAACCACACCGCAGCTTCAGAGTCTTCACATTTAACGGCAGGTGAGACGATGACTGGATCAGGGAATGGAAGGTGACACATTGGTGCTGATGAGCGAGTGCAACTGTTGAAAACAGATGTACTTGGGCGCGTGGAAGGAAGCGGTGGCAAACTAAGGAGCAGGCAGTCAACGATGCCGTATCGTCGCGAAGGGTATCAATGATGTCATCGACGATTTCTTGGGGAAAATCAGCAAAAATTCGCGTCGACGTAGCAAGGCCCATAGCGGTGAGATGGCGGGAAGAGCAGTGAGAGGTAAAAGGGGCCTATACGATCGTAAACATTATTTTGTAGGGAGCCGAGACTTCGCATGCTGGCAGTGAGCGTCCCGTCCGTGACAGCCGAAAAGCCTTTAGTTGTATCCTCCTCAATACCAACCCCATTCTCCACGTATCGCTTCCTTCAAACCCTTGCCACCAATCGCGTTCGAAAAACGTTTACGGTCTTTAGGGTCCCATCGAACAAAATACGGTTGCCTCGAGGCTTAAGACGTTCCACAATATGTATAGTCCGGCGTGGCTACGTGGTGGCGCTCCATCATGTCTCGGGTTCCATTGATTATCGACGGTCAATTGAATGATTCTGTGAATTTACCGCTCCGCCAGCGGCGTCCGTAGTTAGGACTACGTGGCCACCATTAGAGCGAGGTGAGGAAGCCTTGAAATTTCTAGCCTAGACGAGGACTGAAGTACTGAAACAGAGCATCTTGTGGGCTTATTTGCCCCTTGAAAATACAAGCCTGGATCTACATATTTTCAATTGATGAAGCCACTATTGTTTGCTTTGCTCTTATTTCAGATCAGCATTGCCTACTCGAATTGAAGAAGCTCAAAGAATTCTCACCGTGTAAACAGGGTTCAAATTGACCGTGGTGGGAGATATGTGGATGAGAAAGACGTTCGGCAACTTCCGAGAAGATTATTCCAGTACCCCCAAAAAAATACGCAAAAAGAGATAAACAAACCAGAGAAAGAGAAAGGAGAAACTATGTACCGAAAAGCAGCCACGAAATGATTAATGAAGGTCGGACATTTGGTACAAATAACAATGCTTCCCAGCTCCGTGCACACTGGTCATTGAAAGTCAATGAAATCGCATCCTACTACAACGTCCGCAGCGTCCTAGGTGATCCAGGAACATTCAGATCGAAATCCATCCAAGCAGTAGATCCATTTTGTATGAATGACGATAGATCAAACCCGTCCACATTCAGGTCAATACTCGCCGTCATGTCCATCATCCATTGGTCCTGAGTAAGTGCTGGATCATTCCCAATCGCTTGGGCACTATTCAGATAATTCATGAACGACTCATCGCTCCATCCCCAAGTTGGATCCATCGAGGAAGGAAAAGGAATCCTACTCATTCCAGATGCATATGGGACCTGGAGCGGATCTGCCGGTTGCAGGGGAAAGAAGAATGGGTCCGCATTTTCATGTCCTTCTCTTTGTCCACCAAGAGCGTCCACTACGGCCCCGAGATCTAGGGTAGTGCCTTCCGTAGGTTGCATTCTGATCAATGTGGTCGAAGCACCAAGCAGATCCTCAGGTTTGCCTCGTACATTCGATTCCGGGAACCTTCCGTTTGGTCCCCCGTCGGTTTCATGCCCGTTTGCTTGCCGCCAGCCCTTCAGGACATCTTTTGCTTTTCCAGCTAACCGCCCTACCCGTTCCCGGGCGATCTCTGCCATATCTCCTTCAGCGACACTAAACAGTTCCAGTGCCATCTGCACAGAGTCATACGCCAGCGGTGCAAGAGGATGAAAGGGTGTCACAATGACGAGAACTGCTAGGCAGACCGTGGCGGTAAAGGAGTGGAATAAAAGGTACCACATTCGGCACGTCAATCCTTACAGGACAAGATTAGACTTAAAGACAAGGAGTAAAAAAAGAGACTGCGTACTTCGATGTAGTGTGAATAATCCTCGCGATATATTTATAATTGCACGAGCGGCCTCGAGGAACCTTAGCAAGCACTCGGGACGACGAAGATGAATCATCCTACCTCGGTCAAACTGATAACACTAGATTCGTATCTCGATTTCAGAGCCTCTCCCGGGGTGTGCATCAGAGCCCTGCAAAACGGACCTCGATGTAGATGCAACTTCGTTATAAATATCATATTGGCCAGGGAGAAGATCTGAGCGTCTTTTCTCAGGGATGCCCGTTGACCGATCCCGAACCCAGGCTGCAGATCTTTTATGGGGTCCGTAACGTTCTCGCACAGTATCCACTTGGGTAGTTTGACATAAAAATCATTAATCTCTCTATCCAGCTGCATGATAACAGAGTATGTTGGATGTTTTGCAGCGAAGGCTTCATCAACAATGCGTCCGAGGAGGAGAGCGAAGCGGAACTTGTGGTGATGCCATCGTGTATGAGAAAACTCCGCATCGATTGGTGACGTATCGGACGGAAGAGGCGTGTCGCAGCTTTTAGGCATCTCGCAATCATCTAGAACAAAGATTAATCAATTGAATGGTAACGGAAAGAAGAGGCCTACGATGACTGTCGCTCAGACTATATGGTCGACCAAAAGCAAAGGATTGCAGTCGATCGTAGGTGTGTGTTTCCCAAAACACCCGCCTACGTTCCTCCAAGTCCCGTTCAGGCAAATTCCAGCGTGATCCGTCTCGGTGACAACCCTGAGCCTGTATAGACCTCATAGCCATACCAAGAAGCTGCCATGCCGCCTCTCCATCCCCCCTTCCCCTTGTACTGAGTTGGTACAGTACCATCAGGTGAACGGTCTGCACTGCAGGTATTGTATCCAATTTTAGCGCCCCATCCTGGGGTATATGCGCAGATATCCACGCTACAGCGAGCGAATGAAGCTGCGCGGCACGCTGCTTCACTACATTAAAAGAGAGATCAAGGTCAAAGAAGGCACCCAGAGCAAGAACAATGGCGACAAGAGCAAAAACGTCGTGAGGCATGGGTTTCTGGGTAGGAGAGGCCGTCGTTGGCCACACATGGGGTAGGTGGACAGTAAAGAATATTTCTCTTGGAATGATCTCATACCTAATAGATAATTCGGTCAAATAAAATAATACGCCAGATGTAAGCGGATTATACCAACATCCAAGATGCATTTTCGAAATATAGATCTGCTAAACGGCGTGCTTCTGGGTATGGGGGCAACGACGAGCTATCTATGGGAGGGGGAAGTTCGACACAAAAGACAGATGGAGAAAAGGTGTAGACATCTGGACTACATATGAGCCATGTAGAGGAAGAGCGAAAATAAACACATACCTTGATTAGATACAGGCTTCTTATCTGACAATAATAGGTCTTCCGGTGAATTTCTCCTACTTGGTACCCGACTCTGGCCCGTCTTCCAAAAGTCCTCATTGAGATACGCCGAGGCTCCGGACAGCCCAATGTAACGCGTCTTGTTTTCCACATCGATTGTCAATGTTCCAAACCCCAGCGCGACGTCCGATGATTCCCCCGGTATCTTTGGCGGATCTGGTGACGCACTCGAGATGTCTGTGCTCAACTCAGATACTGAGGAACGGCGTGGTCGTTTATGAGAAGCATTGACCGCCTTCGAGAAGGCCATTGGCGCGCCAGGTATAGGAATACCTGCGCTATAACACATTTAATCGACATTAATGAAGGACGCATGTTTGGCTCACTTTGTTAACAAGGCCTCGAGCTCCAGTATTCGCTTCGACATAGCAGCATCCCTAGCAACGAACATAGCAACCTCCGAGCTCTCCCCGTCCTTGCCGCTGTTATTCGACGATGCAGACGGTAGTGACTGCTCTAGTCTCCGAAGAAATCCTCGTTTGCCCTTTTCCAACGTTCCATGAGGACAGAGATTGGCGCAGCCCCTACGAATGCAAGAGGCGCAAGGAAAGACGCGGTCGCACCTGAGTGCGAGGCGTATTAGCCAGACGTATCCAACAGCAAATGTTGGCAGCCTACTTCAACTTGAGCACATCGGTTAGCCAAGTACCCCACAATAAAAAAAATCGAAAGGGCGCTTGCCTTCAGTCTACGACACTCTTGACACGAGACAGCTTGAGATTTACGTTGCCCGGAAGACTGCTCGCTGCTAACGTCAGCCATTCTGTGACTCCTAGCTCCTGCAATAGCACGGCCGTGGATGGCTTCCGTGGGATAAGTAAGAGAATGATGATGGTCCGATTTAAAGACGGAGAATTCCAAAAATGGCCAGAGCACCAGTGGGGAAATCCAGGGACGGCGATCTGGGGAATGATTGAAATATTTCATTCTTTCAATTTGAATAATCCTTCGCACCGCTTATACACGTAAGTAATTGCGTGGCTCAATAGGAAACGCTGCGGTGTAAAAGCTCTTTCGTATGCATTCGAAAACAAAGAGCAAAGCCAAGTTACATAAGTATTACTTACACCAACTCTTCCATCTTCGTTAGAATCCTTCGAACGCAGACTCCAACACCGCCTTCTGCTGCGCTTGATACAACTTCCCAATACCCGGTGCGGGAAGCGCACTCTCCTTCCTTCCCTTATACACCAGCTCGGCATCCCCAGTACCCACCATTTCCTTCAGCACCCACATGATCCTCTCCTTTACATGCCCAAACGAGCCTTGATTTCTCGGCTCTTCCTGAAGGTAGAAGAACTCTTTCGCGCTCGTATACCCTTCTAAGACTGCCGCCAACTCCGCGAATGGGAAGGGTGACAGCTCCTCCAGTCGGACAAGGGCAATGTTAGCATCCAATCCCCGTGCATGCCTTTCTTTCAGTAGATCATAGTAGATCTTTCCTGAATGAATGATAACACGAGATGCAGTGGTGACATTGTCATAAGGATCCGCAAGGACTGGCCGGAAAGATGTACCAGCCTCGAGCTCCGAAAGAGAAGAGGCAGCAGGCTACGCAAAAATCAACTGGGAATGGTCAGTTCCATAATAACAGACGACTTACCGACAGACGTAAAAGACCCTTCGGTCCTGCCACAATCAGAGGTTTACGATAATTCCGCTTCATCTGGCGCCTCAGCAAATGGAAATATTGCGCGGGTGTCGTTGGGTAAGTAACATGCATATTGATATTGAATGAAGGGTCTTTGTCGTAAGTATACCTATCATTGGATAACTAGAAAAAGTGAGCGACCAGGCTTGGGAATCATCAAACGCCATCACCTGGAGCATCCGCTCAATTCTTGAAGAAGAATGTTCAGGTCCAGCGCCGTCGAGACCGTGCGGGAGAAGCATGACGATAGCACTTTGCTTCAGCCATTTGCCTACGTGTCCAAATTAGCAGATGAATGGTTAATGGTTCAAAACGATCTAACTCTCTGAAGATGATATGAACGTATCAATGATAATCTAAATCGACCGTCAATTCTGACCTGACAACCTGACGCAGCAATCTTACCTGTGCTCCATTGAAGAAATCCCCAAACTGAGTCGCAGGATTAGTTTTCATCCAAGACCTTGATAGGCCAGCTCACCTGTGCCTCCCAGATGGGTAACAGGTCCGGCCGTTCCCAACTTGCACCATATTCGAACTGTAAGCGACTATGGTCAGACAGACAACCGTGGAAGAGTAGTAAAACTGATCTCACTGATAACACAGCCATCTCGCTCAGGGAACCTTTCAAAATGAAACCGTAAGCGCGACGCCGACGATGTGGTCAAAAGCATACTATTGGCAAGCTCGAGCTTCCCAGGAGCTCCAAGCTCATCATTTAGCGGAACAATAGTATTCTCGTCCTTCTGGTTAACAAGCATCGCATGGCGTTGGCTAAAAGTTCCTCGTCCTACATCCTGTCCAGATATCCGCACATCATAACCCTCCAAAAGTAGGGATCCAAAAGCCAGGGCCTATCGGGAACTGTCATGACAGAGGACGATACGAAAGAAAGTTCCAAGCGAACCTCTGCCGTGGCCCAGTCTAAGCCCTTGCCGTTCGCCAAGCTTGTGAGACGGCTCTTGATATGCCTCTGAAGCTTGTGATGGATTTCCTAAACGCAGCCGATTGAGGACACACCTTTCAGAGAATCCAAGGTCGAAACTTACAAAACCTTCCGGTACCTGCACACTTGCCTTGCCGACTAGGATAAGAGTATCCCTGTCGACACCAGTATCTGGAGTCTCAACCGCACTCTCACTTATAGGCCAGACCATCCCAGCCCACTGGTCTTGTAGCATTGATGCAGTCGGAACGTACGAGGGTACTTTTTCGAGTTCGTCGCTGAGATGTAATTTGTGCTGTTCCCTAACATTCGTAATATCCTCCGTCATGAGGGTTTGTTCGTTCTGTTTAGGGTGCATATTTGCAAATAAACATTTACTAGAGTCAACAATTATCTTACCACGAGTTTCTGTTCATAGAGTTGCGGGATCGAAAGCCTGGACTGGATCTTGTCATACATAAGAGGGCTGGTGAGGTTTGGAAGATCAAGTTCGTTATGACTAGAGGCGAGATTCTAGTCAAATAGTCTACTGTTCAAATTAAGAGGACTTACCCCCTAAATCAAGAGATGGTATTAGTCAACTTGATGTAGAACTTGAACGCCGAGGCACGACTTACCATCTACGATAAACCAGGAGGTCGACGATGATATCCTGTGTAATATTGAGCGATCAAATCTGAGAACACTCAATAAAATTACCTTTCGGAAATACTGCCGGTACTGGAATGCGATGTCCATAGCTTTGAAGACATCTACCAGCAGTCTTTCAGAAACCAGCAAAGGAAAACGAAATCTAAAATACCTTCCGGATAGTCACCATTAACATGAAGCACTGGTGTATTGATCATTTTGCCAATATCGGAGCAGTATAAAGAGGAACGGGCTTGCGACGCGGGCGTAGTATAACCGATGCTGATAGAAGGGATATTATGAAAGATCTGAAGCATATCTGGAAGAACACGCACTTATTACTAAGAAAGGAGCAGCTTAACCAGGGTGACGGAACAACAGTAAGAAGAATGGCTTACTCCACGACAAGATGCACAGTACCGCCGCTTGTAAAATGAGGAAGATTGCCTGTAAAAATATTTGATCGGTTACTGCATTAGCCTTCTAAAGAGGGAGCGTACTCAGTCCCAAGCTTTCCATGACAATGCCTTGACCGGTGAATGACGCGTCTCCGTGCAATTGGACACACATTACTCTATCGCCAAGTTTACAATCTTCAGGCGATATCTTCAAAAGGGAGTACTGCTTTGCGCGGGCCTTCCCAAGAGCAACACCGGCGACAGCCTCTAAAAATTGGCGGCATAAGCTTTGATACACTCAGCCCGTATCATATTGACTTGCCCAGGTGAGAAGGGTTTGGAAGCAAAGAAACCTTGACAGCCTGATCATCATTACCATATTTCAAAACTGTTGACGAGACTATTAATTGGTGTCAGCGCTATGTGATGACAGTGAAAACGGGACGATGACCGAGATGACTGAGGACGTCTCCTTCAGCACCCAAATCTTCGGGGATCTCTGCGCCCCCTCTGACTTTATGGAAAAGAGCCGTAGGAGAGAAGTTGAGGAGATCAGTGAGAAGGTTGAGTCGACCGCGATGAGGCATAGCCATGACAATGTGCGACACATTAGCTGGATCCAGAAACATGAGAAGAGTGCGACGCGACGCGTGTAGAGTGAGAGAAACCTTGAGCCGCAGAAGAAAATAACGAGTCCAAAGCTGGTAGCATTGATTCTCCACCTTCCAGTCCGTACTAAACATTTAGGTGAGACGTGAAGTACAGAGCGCACAAGTAACGTACGCGTTTGAGATTAGGGAACTTGGCTTGCATGAAGTTATCAAAGACTTCGCTGCGAGCCAGAAGTCCGTGTATCCGTTGCTTCGTATCAACGTTCAATGTCGTTGGTGTGCTCTTCGACTCCAGACGATGTGAGAACCAAAGGCGTTCGGATTTCGAAGGTGAATGCATGTACTGACCCCTCCTGCGTTAGTGAAGGCAGAATGTTATGACTAATCCTACCTCGTAAGCGATACGGTCCACGTAGACAGACCGCAGATGGCGAACAATCTCTCCCAAGGTCCACCATTCTTCAGTCGTGTTCTCACCTTGAGACTCAACGCTCGGATGTGTCCATATGATTCCATTGACGTTGTATTTTTTCAAATCGTCGGTTAGTCCGTATCTGCTGGGGTCCAGCGCTGCAACCTCCTTCCGGTGTATGAGGTCCAGCGGGTCGATCCTTGCCGCTCTGTGCCCATGAGTCCTGACGGAGTCAACGTAGCGCAACAAAGCTGCATTATGTGCTCTATTTTTGAGCTGAGCAGACGTGTCTGCGAATCCTCGTACTGTGGTAACAAAATAACAAGTAGAACACGGCTTACAGTCAGGAAATACGAATGGTCGTGGCTTGCGATATCCGAACGATTCGTCGTGATACAGACGACGCAAGGACGATTGCTGCAGTCGCAGCGTCCGCAAAGAATACATGGTGATGGTTGCAGTTCAAAACAAGAACATTAGATTTGAAGATGTGGGGTAAAAGACTGCGAATCCTTGTGATCGGATCTTATATCGACCCGGCGGCCTCATTTACGAGCACATGACGAGACGCGTTTAACCGGTGGTGGTTAGAATTACGTGAATTGAACGAGTCAGAGTTTACAGACTGGAGAATATGCCTCCATATAGAAACTTTTTGTATTGCATCTGGCCAAAGGACCACCGATTAAATCCGAAGCATAGAGGACAGACCAGGGCAACTCAGCAAGGAAACAGAAACCAGATAACATGCTGATTTTCACCCTTTGAAAAGGGACACAAACATTCTCTATATCCATAAAAAAAGTGCATTGAGCTCCAGAGCGTTATGGAAAGAAATGAAGGAGTACGCCGTGACAGAACGGCGAGGACGACACGAAAGTGGAAGGTATGGAGGGACGTAAAGTTTGCGGTCATTTGGGCACCACCTGAGGGGGGCTGGACTTTTCCAAGTCATCTGATTTTGTTCGCTGTGCTCGCAATAAAAAAACTGATAACAACTAGTGGTATTCTTGTGTCAAGTAACACTTAGGAGATAGTTAATCGCTATCGTCAATGGTTACCGATTACCATATGCCATTGAAGCTGATGTTGGCTATATCTCACAGAGGATGAATTCAACCTCAAGGAAACATCTCCAGCAGCTACATATTTTGAGTGCCATGCCACACAAGGGGAGAATTGCTAGTACAGAGAGTGAGCACTTGGAGGAGCTGTTAGGAATTGAACTTAATTAGAGAAATCTGCATGGATGACAAGATGCAGGGTTTCAGTGAGTATATATGGCAAAGAGGAACATCCCTGGGCAGAAAGCAGTCAGGAATTAATGGAGACAATTGCAGACGGCAAGCCTTAAGAAGACCGGAAATCAGCCGATCATGGCTGTGTCAAGCACTGCGCTTGTTTGCCTGTCCCGACCAGGGCAAATAACGACTTGGTTGATACCAACGTCGTGGGCTCTGCATGAGCAATCCTCGCATCTTATGTTTCCCTTTACATTCAAGATATCCGTCCCAGGCATAGTCAATCCATTTTCTGCTCAGAACGGCGCTCCACCATCTTCCAATGTCTTTGCTCCTGGTCAGCCGAATCAAGTTCCAGACATAGCAGCGAGTATCAACAACAGAAAGAGCGTCCGTAGACAGCGCCCACCGACAGGGTCGACATCGCCGGTTCCTCAAGTACTGCGGAAGAGAGGATGGGAACCCTCTTTTGCCGAGCCGAGCCTCTCTACCACCACTCTGGCATCATCAAGCGGATATCTTGACACTCCTTCAAAGTACCGAGACATGGCAGAAGATGAGTTTCATGAAATTGAAGCGATGGCCGCAGGTGTGTTACCCTTTATCCTCCAGTTCAGTCTGGCTCTGTTTCATTGCATGTGCTTGCCTTGCCGCAATCAAGGGCTGACTCTAGTCCAGCTTCTGGCCCATGCCACATCGTGTATATTGCATGTTGTGGTTGGATATATGATGGCGAGCACCCCTGGTACATCTTTCTCATCACTCTCACATTCGTTGTTGACCAGGCCGTGCGCTAATGCCCTCTTTTGTTTTTGTTATCCATGTAGAACTTCCACCGCCTGCAAAACGTCGTCGCGGCCTTGCTGGCACCATTGTCTCGACTGCTCTCAGTGCTGCATTGATAGGAACCGCTGTGGGAATCACTGTCTATCGATTGTGAGTTCAATTCATTCATTGCTGGACGCAGCTGAAGTGGTCTCGCAGGTGGCGAGATCGCGGCAAGGAGACAGCACGACTACTACAACCACCTCCCCCTTATCAAGAAGGCGAATGGTCTGCACCAGAAGCACCTGTGGAAGAACCCAAGGCCCTCAACGTCATTCCTTCCACTCCGCGCCGTAAACGGCATACAGTCGGCTCCATCAAACGGACACATAGCCTTCGTCGAACACCGCTACGGGCCAGCGCATACTCATCTCCTCCATCACAACCCGCTCCTTTCTTCCCTTCTACTTCACATCGTCCTACTCCGGAAGACAGTGTAGAGGATCAGGTATGATCTAATCTGATCTAGCTTTGACCTCATCTAACTTCGTCGCAGATCGATTGGATTGGCGACAAGCTTACCATGCTCATTGAGGAGGGAAAAAAGGCACTTGGGCGAGAGGTTGTCGTTATGAGCGAAGACCCAGCGGACGAAGTGGATGATGGCAATGACGACTGGGAAGAAGACGATGTCCCACGTACATCACGAAGATCTGCCTCTCCACGGAAACGGCGGCCCCACGACATCTTCGCACCTCCGTCATACTCATCAGCCCCCCCCTCTGCATCTCCTCGTACCACTCGATTTGACCTCGGTTCGCAGCCAATCCCGATCGCTGGGTCAAATTCTCGATCAAAAGACGGTGCCGAGTTCATGTCGACTCCAAGTAGCTTCAAGTTTGGTGACGACCCTCAAGTGTCAGAGAGTCCACTGCTTAGGGAGTCCATGGAGCAAGCTCGAGCGCGAGTCCTGAGAAATCGGGGACTGTAGAGACTGGCCCCACCTCTCGTCCCTATCAGACTCCGGTGGAACTGTCTCGACCCTTCTTCCCTTGTCTTATTGCCATCGAGTCTGACCGAATGATTGCTTAATTTATCATTGACGATACTCGCCTATACGCTCTCTCTATTCTTATGCATCGACATACACCCACCATGCTTTATATATGACTTTGTTGGAAGAATATCATGGAATTAGCATCTATTGTATCAGTATTTTGCTTTCGTACTGTGTATGTAGGCTGGAATGAAGGGTCGCTCTAGCAGAATACCCCTTGTTTGTAGTTGTGCTTGGACGCGTTTGTAACGCACGGACCCATAAGTACTACTCCCCGGACAATATTCTCGAACTCAAATTTGAACGTTTGAAAACAGGTTTGTATTTTCCGTGAAGGATGCTGAACGAGAAGGAAATGACGGTTCTGCGTTGCAGTCAGCGGGGTGAGTGTGTTGAGTTGCAAAATCTGTTGGATATATAGATTTGTTATGAGTGCTTCGTACATCTACCTGATGAAGAATTTAAGATGGTAACATATATATCTGAGCCATCACGATGATTTGCGAGTGGTAGGTAATTTGTGTGAAAGAGAAAGAATGATCAGGGAGGTTTGTATCTGCTGGACAACCCAACGTCGATGCGTTGAGAAACCTTGTATATTAATGACCGGGAATAACAGACTATCAAGACCAGGAAGTATGATACTGTTCTGGCCACCAGTATTCTAATTTCTAAGACAGACGGCCATGTGAAGCGTAGATAGATTCTTGCCAAGAATACTAGTGCTTCAAGTCCAATTAGGGAACTAGCAACGGTGATCAGTCATTTGACTAATTCTAATGGAATATCAGTGGTGTATCGAGTGTGTATGCAGAAGTATATCAGATACTCAATCCCACCTGAACTCAGGGTCGTGTTTTCTCTCGCCTGACTGAGGTCCAATGGGGAGAATTCGCACTTATGGGACAACCTCAGCCTTACCGTAGCTGTCACACACGAGAGACTAAGAATCTTCGTCGATTCTTCGAACCGGGAAAGGAAGATAAATCCTAGATATCCTATTTGATGTTCTTGACAAGTCAGGCCAGGAAAGTGTGGAATGAATGCCAAAACTAAAAGGCGGAACCGCATGGGGTTTCATACAGTCTCCAACTTCGCTTCTGGCATATGTTCTGCAAGCTTTCTCAGAGGATTGTCAGGATTAATTTCCTGCCCTAAATGGGGACGCTACGCGACGGCAAATAGAATTCCACCATCACTGAAGCCGACACCCCACCTCATAGACCTTGCCGCAAAAAGAGAGCTATTTGGCAGAGTGCTTCAATGCAGAACAGGCCATGGATACATAGGCGAGTACTACTCACAATTCGTGCCAAGTAAGAACATTGACTGCCCTTGTGGAGAATTGTTTCAGACACGGGAACACATCCTGCGGGAATGCCCCCTCTACGAAGAACAACGGGGGATCCTCCGGAATGTGTCAAGGACTATTTACCTACCAGACATCCTTGGCACCAAGGAAGGAATCACAGCACTGAGCGAGTTCATGGAGAACACGGGAGCATTCACCCGGACGGGACAACCACAAAACGAGAAGCTCGCTCCAGAGCCAGAAGAGGAAGGAGGAGAATGGTGGGAAGAAGAAGAGGGCGACACGGAAGACGAGCATGGATAACTGCCGCGCACCCACCACACCATAGACCATGTCCAGCACAGCCAGCACCCAAGACACGCTCGCAAAACACCCCAGGCTTCAGCCAACCGCAGGATCAAACGAACCAATTAGCCCACCACGAGGGCACAAAATACCATACATGTCCGTTACTCTACTCCACACTACACGCCAAAACACCCGGGGAACTCAGAAGGAAGAACGGAGGGACTGGAACAAGAGGGAAAGAGGATCCTGAGGCCCTGTACCTCCACCGCGTCTTAGTAGTTAGCTTACTTGTTGCGGTTAATCAAATGCTGAGGACAAAAAAAAAAAAAAAAAAAGGATTAATTTCCTCATTAGGAAACATTACACTGTGTGACACCGTCTGGAGTGCTGAGTGTCATTCCTTCATCTACACCACCAGTAGCTGCTTAGGGGACCGTTATTACTGTCATCATCCTCGTGCTTCTGCCACCATGATATAGCTATCCATCCCTCTCGATGACTTTTTTGCACGACCAGGATTTCCAAAGTGAAGCGACGACAAATGGCTCTTTTATTTCCTTTAATAATATTTTTTCATTATTATTATTTATTTATTTTTACTCATTTTATCCTTCCAACTGTCGTTCGGACGAGCAGCGACAACACGGCCCACAAAAAGAGTGGGTGCAATACTCTAGATGTTGCATTTATTAGTCCACTCTCAATGCGAAAGAGAAAACCCACTTTAATCGAGGCAGTGATGATGTCGATATAACTGTTTGCTAACGTGTTATGTGAAATGAAGGCAATGTAGATGATCAATGCGACGGAATACAGTGCGGCTGACTCCACGGCAACCTCCATAACCCTACGGTATGTCCGCAGACCGGCCTTGACTCCTCCCACTGACAAGATACGGTAAACTATGAGCGAAGTGCACATTAGAGTGGTGGCGAGGATGAGAGACAGGTATAGCATTGTCCAGTCATTCCTGCTAGCGAACTCAGAAAGCTCATCGTTTCCTATGACATCGTGAAGGTCGTGCTAAACTAGAAGGGATTTTACGACTATGGTGGAGGTCAGTGGTACTACTAAGCCTTCCGACAAGTAACGTACCTGTCTCAGCGATTAGATAGGATGGGGATGAGCACAATGAACCATCGTCCACCCCAAACAACAAAGCAGCGCCAAATCTAGTACGAGTCGTAAGTTTGCTTTCTTGGAGAGTGCCAATGGGACGGGGAACCGGGATGGACTTACCATAGTCCCATCAGCGATGATGGTCCCAATGATGCTCGTGACACCGTCAGCTATCTGAGCGACAGTCCACCGGCTATTGAAGCCAGTCAGTCTCGCGAAGACGGTCATGACGTCTTTATCATTATCGATGAAACCGAACCGGACGTAAAGGAGGAGGATGGCGAAGACCATGACAATTCTCGATGTCCCGCTCTTGGATGCTTTACTAGAATCTAAAGAATATCGTTGGACATCATCGCTGGCCGCTAAGGAGAAGTGGACGAACAGATATTCAGCAGTGTCATGGCTAAAATGTAGGTATATATTCCATTGGTACTTGAGTCAGATCTAACGAAACACAGTGGATTGGGGGCTTATCGTGCATGAGCGCATAAACGATTATTTCGTTGAAGTAAACATTGGGAACTCCAAAAACGATTGCGGCATCTTCACCAGTAAGGTCCGGGGTCGAGTCGCTCGCTGATGACATTGAATATGAGCGGAAGGCGGTTGGGGCATGCGCACGTTCCAAAAAGACCCATATAGTCGAAACACCTATAGCCACTCGACCTCAGCTTCAGCCATCTAGCAGCTCTGAATAGATGCGCGAAGATATGACCGCAGGATTTGCGTCAGAGATCTTTGCTACAGCCTTGAGTATCCGATTCATGGGCATGATCCTCAAAACAAAGCCACAGATCATGAGGGGGATGATTGTGAAACAGTGTATGAAAGAGGTATACTGCGTGCAAATCTGAAGAACAGCCGACATCAGACCCCAACAGATGATCCACCGTTATCAACCACCCCCCCCTCCCGCCCCCGAATAACTTTCCACCATGAGCGTCCTCGCAACTGAAACTCTCATACAGATATTCGAACACCTCGACAATCCCAGGGATCTCTTCCACGTTGTGCAAACATGTTTGGTCTTTCATGGCATCGCTATAGAGCTGTTGTACCGGCATATTCAATATAGGAGCCTCAAAAGCTTCAACGCTCAGACAGCGCGTTGGAAGAATGCACAAGATGGCTTGTACAGCTTTCCACAGTCGGTAGTTCTCCACGACGTGCTAAGAGTCCCTCAGGGGGCCCGATGGATGTGGAATGACCATTACAAAGGCACCGAGGCGCTTCAAGTTCAGCCTCAAATCGACCTTTGGGTCCGTTTGCTCTCCTTCACTTTCTTGCACACACTCTCCATATCGCACTGCCTTCTCCCGGACTCGGAGTCCTTCAGTTATCTCCTCCAAGGCTGCCAGAGCCTTCGCAAACTCTCCATCGAGACATGCTCCTTCCAGAGGAAGCCGCGGGGCTTTAGCGTGAGTTATGGGTTATTCCCATGGCTTCCATTAGAGGAGCTGTCTCTCTTGGGAGAAAATACCGTGACGGACTATCGATGGCCATATAGACCGCCCAGTGACGCAGAAGCAGGTTCCTTCCTCCACCTTCTCACAGTCAGGTCGATTCGCACGTTGAACATCGATCTGGACTACCAGAATTGTGCTTTCCTTGCCAGCCGCACCTCCAGTAATGTCATATCCTTCGGCAATCTCGAGAGGCTGCGCCTCCGTATCAGCAAGCGGTGCGCGGAGGGTAACATCCCTGCTTTCCTGAATGCGCACTGTGCTTCTGTCAAGACACTAGAGCTGCTTGACTTCGCTGACCTTCCATCCGATCATTTGCGATTACGACCGGGGGCACTGAGGCATCTGACAAATTATAAGGGTCCAGCTGCCCTCGCTCCCGCTGTTGCTGCCGCAGGATGCCCGTTGGGCCGCCTGGAAACTAGTGATCTGATGATGAGCGTATCGCAGGCATCGAAAGTATTGGGAGAGGTTGGCGGTCACAGGCCGCAATTGGAGGCGCTGGACATCACAATCCAGGAATGGGATGTGGAAATTCTGTACGCAATTTCGTATCTGTTCCGGCACATCAGAGAAGTGAAGATCAAGTACCATAGTGGGTGCCCCGATGAGGTGTGTCGGTCATTCCATTGATCGAGTTTGAACTTCTGATTGATTTTCAACCCCAGCCAACTATCGTGAGCATGGCATCGATATTCTTCGACGAGATGAAAAATATAACAACGTTGCATATCTATAACCCGCACACTAATCTTGCCCAGGGATCGTACGGAGGGTATATCGATTTGGATCGCGCGAGCTTGCCATATAACTTAGGTCCTTCAGGATCAGATGAGGTACTGAAGCTGATGGCGGGGTGGATTGAGGCTTGCCCTACGTTGACTGAAGTGAAGTGGAAAAAAGAGAGCCTGTTGTGCCGAAAGTCAACAAGGAAGGAGGATAAGTGGTTCTTTACAATAGATTCCCAGCCGGTAGAGGTCAATACACAGCAGCAGCGCAGATGACGGATGGTTTATTATTTGTAATTTTATTTTATTCTGTGTAAACTGAGTATTCAATTTTGTGTATCGTGTCTAATGCCAATTGTTCATGAGACAAGGCGAATGAAAGGGCCGAGAATAACAGTTTTTGAAAATTTGCCCTCTGCACAGCCACCACGTGAATTCCAAACTAGTAATGCGATAACGTGACTGGGCACAAACCGACGCCGTGTCGGGACATTTATTAGTTTTGTGTGAATAATACTTGAATAACACACCAAGTTTTCATTTTATTGAATTAATTTGGATATTTCCCCCTCCTCTGCATTTCCTGCCCCCATGTCTTCTATACCCTTCAATGTCAGCTGCTTCCAATTGCAATGAAGTATCCCAGTGCTTCAGCTCTCCAAGTCATCACCATCACCTTGGGTGCCTGATTGTGCACTGTTCTTAAATCAACATGACACCCCTTCTCTCATGGCTGTCTCTTCATCACCTTCCTATTCCCAGACTCTGGTTCCATCACTTGCCAGCACTGAGACACCCATTTCCTCCATCAATGAAGCCCTCGACCAACAGCTGGATGCTGCAACTATCAACCTATTGCATGTTCATGCCAACAGAGAAACTCCAGACACAGATCAGCCCTCAGAACTCAAGCCTGACATATCTAAGTCTCCTGAGAAATATGGATTTCAGCAGAGCATTCCTGCACCAATTTCATCAACCTCTGTGCCTTCTTCTAGGCATCATCATATGACCCCATTGCCTCTGCTTCAATTCTAATCCATGTTTAACCCAGGTTCTACCTCATCATCATCTTTTAACCTTCAATCTTCACAGTACTACTATTCCACCAGTTATCCTCCAATTTCTACCCAATATCAGATGTCAGCCTCTTCATTTAAATGATTTTAGATTATTTTCCTGTAGATTTAATGCCCTGACTCTGTCTCTGTCCCAATATGCAATGAAATCTGTATTTGTGCATGCCACCTGAAATTTCCCTTCACAAAGAATTCATTTAATTATAAGTGGCTAGGTCAAAATAAAATTTATTTATCTGTAAATTATCGCTCTATGTACTTAAAATAAATAATATTTTGGAGGAAATGGTGGGAGATTCAGGATGGGATCGCGAGATGGCACCATGGTTTCCATTTTGAGGAGCTTGCATCATCATCACGGAGGGCAAATTTGAGACAACTGAGAATAACTCACCTAGGTGGCAATATTTGTTGGAGTAGATTACTAAGTGACAGGGAACCCTTGAAGGCAAATGCACAAGGGTGTCCCACTCTACATACAGCTTTTATACTACTTCAGAGAGAACACACTAGAATCTTCAAGAAAAGAAAATTGGCTGAGTAACGCACAGCAATCCTGACGGTGAGCCTGGCGAGAGTGGTGCTTGTGATGATCAGCACCAAAAATAGTACAATATTCCCATGAGGTAAAGTTGCAACAATTAAAACTGTTGATATTGTCTTGTTCTAACCTCCTCCCCTATTTACGACCATGAATGTGCTCGCAGCAGAAACTCTGACTGAGATATTCGAGCATCTCGACAAATACAGTGACCTCCTACATGTCATGCAGACATGCAAAATCTTCTACGACATAGGCATCAGACAGTTCTACCGACATATTCGCTATAACGACCGCCGCCAATTTAGAGCCCACGACGCGTCCTGCTTCAATCAACGAGACGACATGCATTGTATTCCACGGTCTTTAGAGCTGGCCGGCGCCATATACCCTGATCCAACAGCAGACCATGATCTCAATGACAATGAGGGAGATTGTGTCCACTTCCAGATTGACATGTGGATTCGGATTCTATCCTTCACGTCCCTCCATACGCTCTGCTTCAGAGACAGCGATCTCCCAGACGCGAGGTCCTTTGGCTATCTCCTACAAGGTTGCCAGAGTCTCCGAAAACTAGTCATCGACGAGTGCACGTTTCACGAGGTGCCAGTGGACTTGAGCGAAGGTTATGACGTCTTCCCGTGCCTTCCTATAACGGATCTCTCGCTCTTTGGCTGCAGCACGTTGCCTGGCAGCAGCGACCCATATTCGTTTCTGCGTCTTCTTACTATAACAGCGCTTCGCACTCTTTCCGTCAGCGTATCCGACCGTGTCAACTCTTTCCTTGCCAGGCGTGACAAGCATAACTTGCCTTTGCCATGCAAGCTCGAGACCTTGCGCCTGCATTTCACCTTGTTAGTAAGAACGGGTAGGCAAGACGAAATCGCAACATTTTTAACCGAAGAGTGCCAGTCCGTCCATGCGCTGGAGGTGTTCAACTTCTTCTGGCCTGTCCCCGAAAATCTACGACTGCTTCCCCGGGCGCTTGGCAATTTGACGAGCTACAGGGGTCCACCTAACTTCCTCTTCCCTCTCATGGATGGAGGAAGCCTGTTGAAGTATCTCGAAATTAGTTATCCTCCGATAAATATTTTAAGCGCGTTGAGCCTGTTGGAAAAGGTAGGCACCAGGTGGCCATATTTGGAGTCACTGAGCATCACAATCAAGGAATGGGACAGGGAAATTTTGTATGCAATCTCGCATATCTTCCGAGATTTCAGAGAGGTGAAGATCAAGTACTGCAGTGGGTATCCCAATGAGGTGCGTTGTCTATTCCCTTATCCCAGACTGTCTCACCAGTTTGATATTAGTTGTCAATGCTGAACATGCCATCCATGTTCTTCAGTAAGATGAAGAACTTGAGAACACTGCATATATACAACTCCATGGACCCTCCTGTCTCCGCATGGTTCAGTAATGGGGACGATGATGTATGCGACCTGATGACTGGGTGGCTTAAAACATGCCCAAATTTGACGGAAGTGAGGTGGGAAAAAGACAAGCTGTTCTGCCGCAAGTCGACAAAGAGGGAGCATAGATGGTGTTCTAGAATGGATTTACAGCCGGTCGTACCAAATCTCAAACGACGAAGACAGCATCATTAGTAGTAAAGTACGCTAAAGTAGCCTGGGAAGGAAACCAATATATCACGTGAATCACTCCGAGTTTCCGGCCAGTTTTCTTGACTCGGATCAGTTCTTCAAAGCTTCAGGCTTCAAGCTTCAAGGCCTCATTGTTAGCCATCCTTCTCATTCGAATATACATAAGGATCGTCAGTCTCATATTTCAATATGAATATAATGAGGGACACCCATGACGCATTTTGCAGCCACTCTGCGCGGTAGTTATAAACACCTGTTCCGGAATCAAAGCAAATATGAAGTCATATCCTTCTGCGGCCGTCTTATTTCACATTCTACGGTTTTCTCTTTCCCTGGCTGTGTGCTCATAAAGGTTATCATCTGCTGTGCTCGTTTTCGATAGCTGTGGAGTATCTGACTCCCATTTTCGACGTACGGTGCCAATAACTTTCTTGCGCTGCGAGCTTTTCTCTGCTCATGAGACACATTAACAATCATGTTAGTGGGCCCTACGATGCCATTTTGTGTGCCTCTCTTTCATGAGGTAAGAACCTTCTAAAACTTGTCAAAATCATGGCTACGGGATCTCGCAGCTGTCAAAGCCCTGAAGATGCTTACTGTTGCGGTAAAAGAGATTTCCACCTAATGCTACCTGTTTGCCTGCCTCCATTGCCATGTACGTTTTGTTAACAACCGGGTCTTTCAACCCGCCAAATTCAAGCCCCTACCGACTCCCGCCAGTTAGCACGACCCAAATTATCAAATGATACGAGATAATATACGATACAACACCAAGCGTCCATGAAATATAACTACGACAAAATCTGATGTATTTCCACACAATCCTCCGGAGATCTGAAGACACGAAAAGGTATATGCTTCGGGATCATCGCTCTCGCACTGTAAATGCGCATCTGCAACTCCAGTTTCTTCTTCTCTGCCTCCATCAGACGTGGAGGCGTAGAAGGCATCCGGGAATTTGACGTGAAGAACAATCCGGACGACTCTTTCTCAGCGATCGAATCTGGTTCGTCAGTTAGAGGATAAGCAAAGTAGTCGTTGTTGGGCCGGCTCGAATCTTTGCGGGAAGTTGTAGGCGTTCGAACGGCGTACGTCGCTGAGAACGCTCCTGAAGACGTACGTCGAGAAGCGCGCATAGTTCCTGACTCGGAGCCGTACGCTGGGGGTGCCGAACGAAACTCGATGTCTCTGGTGGGATGTGATCCCGTTGGATCTTCGAGCGGTTCTCCATTATGTGCATGCCGAATAAATACAGCCAGAACCTGTTTAGGTCTCTGACTGGCGAATCTAGAAGTAGGGTGCCAATTAACTTCGATCCTAACGTTCTAATGAAGACACCCACTCTGCATAGAGCTCCATATCTTGCTCGCCGGTATCGCCAATGAGTATGAAGTGAGAATGGGAAAATGAATCTAGAATTTCCAGGACTGCATTGCGTTTACGTGCGGCGGGAGCCGATAATAGACCACTGAATAAGGAACGGCCCGCATAGGACTTGAGTTTTATTGACCCTGAAGTTAATCAGCAGTCCATTTCAAAAGTAGTTGCAAACTCATACCCGGAGGCAAGTGCGCGACGTTGAAAAAATCCCCCAGAACAGGCAGTAGCTCAAAGGGGCCGTTTGACTGTACCAGAGTGCTGTATTGAGTGTCGGGGTCCCACAAGCAGGTAGATGCGTACCACGTAATGAAAGCGAACACCTTTCTTCCACATCCCGGTATACCACTCTCCCATTCCCGGTATAACAAGATCGTCTAGATCCTTGACAAAAACATTGCGGAAAACGCTGCGGGCACCTCCAGGCACGTCCGAATGTTTGATGGTATCATCGATATCCGATATAACACGAATAGGGCTGTAGGTCAAAGGAATTCTAGCAATTATTATAGGCGAAACAGGTTCGGGGACGACCAGATCTACAACCAGGGAGGCGGAAGGGGATGGAGGAGGCAGAAGTCGAGCTGCAGCTATCAGTTCATGTTCGACATTGCGTTCTCCGAACGCTATATGGAGCGCCCCAGGGTGCTGACACATATCTTCCCATCTGATGGTAAACCGCATTTGAAAACTTCCATCTGCTGCTGTAGAAACGTCCTGAGATGCGAGAGGACTGTTGCTCGTTGGATCATCCGCTGCATTGAGAGGTTTTGGAAAGAGACAGATGTTCACCATTCGACCGGGGAGAACTGAGGACCAGAAAGGCTGCAGCCTGGCTTCCAAATTGGCGTGAAACTTGCGAAGGTCGCCTGATAGTTTTGTTGTCGACTCATAGTCAGCCAGAGGTGGTGTGTCGTATGAGGAGGACGACCGCGATGGTGAATGAGTGATATCCACAGAAGACTGGCTCTCATTGAGACGCCGAAACTGTCTCTCGAGTGCCTCTACTTCGAACTCCTCCGTGATTTCCTGTGGCCGCGGTGGTAGCTTGATGGTGCCCAGCAGTTCTTCAGTAGACGCGCTGGCTCGACCTAATGAACCCTCTGCTCCACCTTCAGAGTCCAGCTTAGGCAACGAGGCAAAGCCTAATAATACTAGTTAACAAGAAATACAGGTAAAAAGTTGACCGCACTTTTTGCTAGACTCATAAAAGCTTTCTCAGACCGACTTGCGGACTCCTGCGACCTATGAATGGAGGCGAACCCTGAAACGTAGACGTCAACCTCGAATGGACCTGACGAGTAATGTAATTACTACATGAGAGAAGCAGGTATGGAATACGAATTCGCACCTTCATTCTCATTGTCGGATAAATATTTTCTTACCGCCCATCCAGGAAACAGAGCAAGCTTCTCTATACCCGGGCTGCTGTTCTGCAACAATTTATTGCTAATCTTCTGGCCAGCCCATTCTTTCCAAGATTGCCCATTGTCAGTGTCTACGCCGAGCCGTCGTTGAAGGTTAATATTTCGAGTCCGGAGGTCTTTCTGCGCAATGTACCCCTTTAAGCGATTGGATGCAGTACTTGCCAGCGATTTCCAGGAGGTAGGCATCTCTTCAGACATTGTGGTATCAGGACATGTTATGATGGAAGCTGTTCAAGGCAGAGTACGAATACCGGCATTGTCGCGTAATATTGCTACAGCCCACGTGGTAGCCATGCTATTCTTACTCTCATCAGTCCCTGCTGGCTACGACTATTGCCTAAATCCATTGCAGAACTCTACTGATCTTTTGTCATTCACCCTGATTCTTCATCGAGTTTCCGATTCTCATCTCTGTGTCGTGTCCAGATGACGACCATGTAATCAGTACCCGAGAAAAGAAGATAAGGAATACGAAGTCGCACCTTCATTCTCATGGTCGGATAGATACCTCCTCGCTGCTCATCCAGGAAACAGAGCAATCTTCTCTATTCCTGGACTACCGTTCTGTAACAGTTTATTGTCAATCTTCTGGCTAGCCCATTCCTTCCATGATTGCTCGTTGTCAGTGTCTACGACAAGTTGCCGTTGAAGGTTAATATTTCGAGTCCAAAAGTCTTTCTGTGCGACGTATCCCTTTACGCGATTGGATACAGAGGATGCCAGCAATTTCCAGGAGGTAGGCATCTCTTCAGGCATCGTGGTGGTAATAGAAGTTGTTCATACAAGAGTACGAATATCGGCATCGTCTATGTACAGCCGGCTAGATTCGTTGCATAGTTTACTTGAAACCGTTGCGTCCCCGCACGATTCTTTTATAGATGGGTAAGGACTCAGCACCCAGGCCTCAGGAGCCTCTATCGATGACAAGGCATGGTGGACGAAAGTATACTCGTCATTTCGGCTTGATGTATTATTTTAAATCAATTTACAGATATTCTTCATCGGTAAATCCTTGTAACAAGTCACCCACTCACATACATCCAGTGGATCTTATCAGACCAGTAACATATGCGTGCGTGAGGAATTCATTTCATCTGGAATAATGACTATCCTGTTTCAACAGACACTTTACACATAATCTAAAGATGCTTTCTCTTTCCCGCGCTGTGGATGCTTTGCACCGGTCCATCTTCAGTATTGCAAGCTTGGCTGGTGACCTTCTCCTTCCCTGTGCCTGTCCTCTGCTTCTTACTAGCTGGTGGAGGCTCTGATCGTTCTGAACCTTCAAGATCAACATGAGTTTGCTCGGCAGCGCTGTCACCGTCATTACCCTTCTCCTCCCTATAGACTGGTTGCTCGTGTGGTAACTCTGGTTCATCAGATGTATCTCTGAGAGGTGGCGATTCGGTACCGCCAGTGTACGCTTCTTTTGCAGCTGTTTCAAAGGCTTCAAACAGATCTCTTTGGACCAGAGAATCTGGTTGTCGATGATAGACTATGTCGAAATGTGCATGCTGAGGAAAGTCTTTCTGATTTTCCACTTCAGCGTGGAGTCTGAGTAGTTGCGCCCATATGCGATGAAATGCGTGAGCGGCAGGAGCGTATTCCGGGAAGGCATGCCACGACATCATGGATATCAGATTGGAATAGGATATCAGTTCGATGAAGGCAACCCTCAGGACAATGCGAAAAGATGCGGTCGAATATTTCGTGTTGCGCACGACATTCCGCGAGTTGAGTCTTCGCATATGATACCGATATAGTCGAGAATACTACGTGATCCAGAACAGAGACTCGATATCATGGAGGTAGTTGTGCAAAAATGGTGGTACTTTTACGCACAGCTCCTTCCGGAAGTAGAAGAGGTACCTGTCTGCCTGCACTTCCACAGCCATATAGATAGGGGTTTCCTGTTCAACAGCTTGAGGTCAGGCGGAAAGCCAAGAAATGTACACGCACCGTTTTCTCATTTTTTGGACCAGAGGGTAAGAAATATTTTGCGTACTCACGGTCGGAGATCCTCGCTATTCCATTAACGAGGAGAATATTGCCTGATGACATGTCTCGGTGGACATAGCGGCCTATGGAGAAATAATAGAGTCCTGCAAGCCTCAGTTAGTAATGATAAAGGAGAAGAGCAGACAATGTAGTACCCTTCAAAGCGTCGCTGAGAGCCCTGAAAATGACATCGTGCCGTTGAACATCGTGTAGGGACACACCTACATCGGAAAATACTACACGGACATGTTTTTTGCCCTTGTGAAGACTACTGTTGTCGGCGGATTCTGGGTCGGCATTCCTTACGCTACCTCCCTTAGGCTTTGAAGCGATTGATCCCGGTAGATCCGACCGGCTGACCCCATTTCACTCCTGCGAAGTCTAGTCCGTCCTTAATCCCTACAAGATCGCGCACGAACACCAACATGTCATCGGCGACGTCATTGGAAGTCCATACTACTGTGCATTTAAGAATTTCCATGAAGTAGCGTTGATAGTCCTTGTCGATGCCTGACTGGTTCTTCTTGATGCTACCAAATATGTCTTGCTGGATCTCCAACTCGGTTCTGGCGTCAGAAGGTATCCAGACGTCTTTTAGTGCACGTTTTGGGCATTGAGGATCGTTCAGATGGCGAACGTTCCAGACCTGGGTCGCACGAGAGACCAGGCTTGTTGCACGAAACGAGTTTAAATCTTGCACCGTTCGATAGATATCCCTGCCGATACGATAGTCATATTGAATGATGTGAAGTGAAGGATCTTCGTCCACGGGATGAGCAACGCGAGTGACAGATAGGTCATAGCCTAGTTCCTCTTCAGTCCCGAAAGACAGCGAAAGGATGTAATGCATCAGAAACGCACAGTCCTATATATTATTGGTTGGTACATCTACGGTTAGACATTAGGGGTACCTTGATGAAATCGAATGCCTCGGAGACAAGAACGATAGCTCGCGAGAAGAACCAAAAGCGAGTCATCGTGTTTTCAATCGTCATTCCACACATGAAACGACGGGTGGGGTCTGAGCGTATCACCTCAATCGTATTCTCTACTAACTTTGTGATGTTCTGTTTAATAAATCAGGTGAAGGATACAAATAACAAAGTAATTGGCTTACATCATTCTCGTCGCTAATATGATCGTTACACGTGTATTCTTCTAGCACTGGCCAATTCCAGGTCATGCTATCCTAGAAAGTGTAGTGAGCCTAGTTTGACCCAAAGGTATAAGAATGTCACCAACTGCGTCTATCTCAGCGGACATTGGCGCGTCCACGACCATCATGGATCTTGCATCTGGAACATATGTTGGAGACCTGGATTGTACAAGTCTGTAGTACCCATCGGGGACTAGTGATTTATGGCGCCCTTCTGAGACAGTCGGCGGATAAGCTCTGCATTCCATCACGGTTGTAGGTTTCCGCTCTCCTGGAACAACTTGCTGAGCGACTCTAGGGATAGCTGCGGCAATAGTTGTCATACACTTGAAAGTCTCCTGTTCTGCATTTGGGCTGTACCTTGGGTCAACAGGAAAGTCAGCCCACTGCAGCCCAGATTTGTTGTTAAAGGCCTTCAAGATCCCGTCAGTCTCGAGGATATCTACAATCTTGTCTATATGGTCCGGGAGCGAATATCTCTTGAAGTACTCCAGGGAAATGTCCGGAACCGTTTCAAGTTGGTTGAGTACATCTGCCCTGCCATGTCCCTCCGAATCCATGGTGGAAAAAGGCTTCTAGGTGTCGGGGTGCTTCGCGACTATTTGGTTTATGTGCATTTATCTGCTGGTGATAATGTAGTGAAACGTTGCCGGAGACACTGACAATTATTAATCAGACTGTCAGTGTGAACTGGAACCACAAACTTTTGAGCTTTCCGCACGTGATCGGACAGACGACCCGGCTCGAACACCATATTGACTCTTTGCCTCGCAATTTTTTTGCAAGTGTTTGTGTTGGGATAGCAATCCCGAGCGAGTACGAGAACGTACTCGAAGATACGATGCCAGTCAGCGGCAGCTGACTTGGATCATGATCCAGACTTATTTAGTATCTCGTAGAAAGATCTCAAAGTAATACGAAATGTATTTAAGTATGTTGGAAATCCTCGGTGATGCGCAGGGTAGACTCCAGGCTGGTAAGGCCAGAAGGTATGAACTCCTTATTCTGCAGCTCCTACAGAGCTTGTATTTATACTCTCCAGGCTTGTATCTAGAATTTACTACAACTTTCTCTTTCTCTCGGGCTTACTCATCAACTCTCGGCATGATGCCGGATTGCCCTTTCTAGAACTTTCCAGCAAAATCCCAACACTCCCCTTCAATATGGCATCCTGCCGCAATATTCCAGAATATCCCAATATATCCTAAAATGTCCCAATATCCCAAGTCTCCCCTTGAAACTTGAAATAGTCCGAAAATTCCCAATTATATCCCAAGACTTGTGACCATTCCCTATCCTCACCCATGCTGCAGGAGCCCCAAGTGCTACTTACAGCCAGCTGATCCCAATATCAAGCTAGCTGGACCCAGTCTAAACCACAGCAGAAACACATTCCTACCAAGGGGCTAAGGGAATTCACAAAGATATAACCAAATTTCCACCAAAGTTGCCTCAAAAGGCATATTCCATTTCTTCATCATCGCTCTGCACAATATTTGCAGCATCAGCACTGTTGTTCCATTTTGTGCCACAATCATGACTAATATGGCCAGTCTTGCCACATGCGTAACATCTGATGTTCTGCTTCAGGCCACTTGATCCCCTTGATCGTGCGATCAGAGCTGTTGCACCAGGTGCGCCGCCCTTCCTTCCTTCTTCGTCAATCAGAGCATTTGTCATGCTACTCATAGTAGGTAATGAATGAGGGCGAATTAAGAAGTCGAGATACCGTAATCAGAGTCTAATCGTGCCGGGGCCCATAACCTGTTGGAAATTCTCGGTGTTGTGCAGGGTAGACTCCAGGCTGGTAAGGCCAGAAGGTATGAACTCCTTATTCTGCAGCTCCTACAGAGCTCATATTTATACTCTCCAGGCTTGTATCTAGAATTTACTACAACTTTCTCTTTCTCTCGGGCTTACTCATCAACTCTCGGCATGATGTCGGATTGCCCTTTCTAGAACTTTCCAGCAAAATCCCAACAAAGTAGAACGTTTCTCTCTTGAGAGGCCAATTCTAGTTCTCTGTTACATTACTCTGCTCTTTACTTACAACAGGTTATGGGCCCCGACCATAACTGAACTTATGTCGCTACTCACTTCACACCCTTTCGTACTTTACGTACACACGTAGAACTGCATGGATAGCCAGTCTGTGTATAGAATTGACCCTCTTAAGGGTCCGGAAAATTATCCGACATGGAAAATCAAAATGATCGATATCCTAACCGATTTAGGACTAATTGATTATGCAGATAGAAGCATTCCGGCCCTGGCAGACATGACACTGGTGGCAGATTGGAAGAAGAGCGATAGAAAGGCTCTTTTAACAATAAGATTGCAGGTTTCTGATGGCCCGCTGGTATATATTGCTGGTTCAAAGACTTCGGCAGAAGCCTGGAAAGCTCTGGAAGATATGTATGAGTCTAGGGGACCCATGGGAATTGTCCTTGTCAGAAGGAAATTCTTCAGAGCTCAGTATGAAGAAGGAGGAAACATAGAGGAGCATATTAAGACTTTGAGGTCCTATCAGGAGGAGCTGGCATCCCTTAAGCAGAAAGTCGAGGAGGAGGACTTCTCTATCACACTGCTTACATCACTTCCAGAATCATGGAATTCATTCATCTCATCAGTGGATACTGCTGACTTGAAAGATTCTTACAAGTTGATTTCCTGAATTCTTCAGGAGGACATCTGACTAAAGGAAAAGACTTCTGATCAGACTACGACACTTGCAGCACATGGCAAGAAGTCTAATTCAAAAGTCATATGTTACAGATGTGGGAAAACTGGTCACATCAGAACAAATTGCCCAAATGGGAAGAAGAATTCTGGAAAGTCATGGAAAGGAAAGAGAAAGGGCCAGACTCAGGCACATATTGTCAAATCGGACTCAGAAGAAGATGACTATGTATTTTGTGCAACAGACATCACACTTACTTCACTCTCAGGAGTATCATGGCTAGGAGACTCTGGTACCACCAGATATATAGTCAAAAATAGATTATATTTTTCTGACTATGTTGAAACCCCAGGACATGAAGTTATTGGTGTAGGAAAAACTAAGGGTTTAGGAAGGGGAACTGTCAAGATTAAAATGGTTGAAGGGGAAAAGATCACTCCAGTCACACTAAAGGAGTGTATCCACTGTCCTGATGCACCATTCAATCTTATGTCAATAGGGCACATTACAGATGCTGGATTTGAACTCAGATTCAAAGAGTCCAGAATGGATATTATCTCACCACATGGCAAGATAATCAGCTATGGAGATAAAATATCAAAGCTGTACAGCCTTGACATCATTATTCCAGAAATAACCCAGGCTCATGCTACAAAATCAGCCTGATCATAGCAAAAGTGGCACAAAACATTAGGCCACTTAAATATAAGATCAGTAAAGAGACTATTTAGGAAGAAAATGGTCAAGGGGATGGATATAGATGAGTCAGCCAAGCCTCAGACAGATTGCATAGCTTGCATAAAAGCCAAACATCATACTAAGCTATTTTCACAGAAAGCTGAAAGGGACTATACTGAAATAGGGGAAATGACATTTTTGGATCTATGGGGGCTAGCCTGAACTCAGGGTATTCATGGTGAAAGGTATTACATAAGCTTCACAAATGGAAAATCCCAAAGGACAATGTTGTATTTTTTGAAGTCAAAGCAAGGTATGGAAATTTGAAAGAAGATCCAGCAGTATCAAAAATACATCAAAGTCCACAAAGGGAAGGATCTGAAGTTTATGAGGATTGACAATGGAAAGGAATATGTCAATGAAGAGGTAAGGGAATATCTCCAGGACAATGGCATACAGTTGGAATTGACTGCAGCATACTCTCCATCTCAAAATGGAGTTGCTGAGAGAATAAATCAGACTCTTGTAGAGCATGCATGTGCTATGCTAGAAGAACATCACTTACTGAAGTTTCTATAGCCTGAGACAGTGGCATATGCCACATATTTGAAGAACCGATCACCAACCAGGGCTATCAAGAATGATCTAACCCCAGAAGAAGTGTTTCAGAGCATGAAACCAGATATTTCAGCACTTCAGAAATTTGGAGTAAAGTGCTGGGTGTTGCAGCAAGATAACAAGAGGTCAAAACTGGACCCAAAGTCAAAGGAATTTATTTTCACAGATCTTACAGATGAATCCAGAGCCTGGAGACATTATAACCCTCAAACCAGGCAGATTCAGACCTCAAGAAATGTTATATTCCCTGAAAACAACACTACAGAGCCTATAGACACTGACTATATAGTCTCCCACCCTTTGTCACTTGAGAGGGAGTCAGAGAGCAAAGTCAAGCAGACTCTGGATAGAAATGATGGCATTTCGAACAATTCTGTGGATGCCAAAAATGCTGAATCAAAAGGGGAAATAGTCCCTGATGTGTCATTGATCAAATCAAATTTCCCAATATAGTGTGGGAAAGTGATCAAGCCATGTGACAAATTGGTCCAGATTGCATCAAAGACTCAACCGAGTTACTGGACACTTCATAATCCAAGTGTACAAGCTGTAAAAACATCAGAACAACAGCGTACCTCAGAAGAATCATCTTTGAAAGCCATAAATGTTGCAATAGACTATGCATGCATTAAGGAAACTGCAGACAATCTCAGTGATGAGCCATTAAGCCTTGAAGAAGCTAAAACAAGGCCAGACTGGCATCATTAGAAGAAAGCAATGGATGAAGAATACAATCTATTGACTTCTCTAGACACATGGCAACTGGAAGAATTATCCAAAGACAGATCACTTGTGAATTGCAAGTGGACTTACAGATTGAAAAGGAATAGTAATGGGAAAATCACCAGGTACAAGGCCAGACTTGTTGCAAAAGGATTTTCACAGGTACCTGGCATTGATTTCTTCGAGACATATGCACCAGTTGTCAAGCTGGACACATTTCACCTACTTATGGCAATTGCTGCTCAAAGAAACCTAATCATTCATGGAATGGATGTTGTTGGAGCTTACTTAAATGGTAAACTCAATGAATCCATTTACATAGCACAGCCACCTAAATATTCAGATGAGAGTGGAAAAGCGGCACACCTCAAATTAATGTTGTATAGACTCAAGCAATCTGGCCAAGTTTGGAATGACAAATTAAATGCTACATTTTTGAGACTTAGTTATATCAGATTGATCAGTGATCAATGTGTGTACATCAGACAAATGAGTTCTGATCCCATAATCATAGCTGTACATATCAATGATATGATATTACTTGCCTCAGATGATGAAACCATGTCTAAAATGAAAGAAGAGCTTAAGAAGAAGCTAAATGTCACAGACATAGGGGAGATTCAATATATATTAGGCATGAAGATAGACAGGAATAGGGACAAGAGCACTATCACTCTATCCCAGAAGGCATATATTCTCAAAGTACTTGAGCGAATGGGCATGAATGACTGCAAACCGGTCAAAATGCCTATGGATTCGAATGTACGGCTAGAGAAAATTCTGACAGAAGATCCACGAGGTGTTGACATAGCCACCAGGCAATATTACCATACTGGTGTCAGATCACTAATGTATGTGGCTAATGGATCCCGGCCTGACATTGCATATGCTGTCACCAAATTAAGCAAGTATGTGCAGAATCCAGCTGCTGAGCATGTCACAGCTTTGAAGTGAGTTTTCTGCTATCTGAAGAGAACTCTAGACTTCGGAATCACATATGGAGGGACTATGGATGAGCTGATACCTTATTCAGACTCAGACTGAGGAGAAGATGGAACAGATAGAAGATCAACATCTGATTATATCTGTACCTATACAAGAGAAGCTGTTACTTGGAGTTCAAAGAAACAGCTCACTATAGCCTTATCCACTATGGAAGCAGAATATATGGCCCTTATGCATACAACCCAGGAAGTAATTTGGCTATGAGCACTCTTAACCAAATTAGGATTGCCACCTTACAAAGTGACGACTATTTTCATTGACAATCAATCAGCAATCAAATTTGCCGAGAACCCTATATTTTATGCACGATCAAAGCATATAAACATATGGCACCACTTCATTCATGAGCATATGGCTTCAAACAAAGTCAAAGTTCAGCACTGCACATCAGAAGAGAACTTAGTGGATATATTCACTAAAGGCCTATCAAGACCATTACATGAGTATTTATCTGCAGGTATTCTAGGAACTCAGAATTGAGGAGGAGTGTTGGGATAGCAATCCTGAGTGAGTACGAGAACATACTCAAAGATACAATGCCAGTCAGCAGCAGCTGACTTGGATCGTGATCCGGACTTATTTAGTATCTCATAGAAAGATCTTGAAGTAATACAAAATGTATTTAAGTAGAACGTTTCTCTCTCGAGAGGCTAATTTTAGTTCTCTGTTACATTACTCTGCTCTCTACTTACAACAGTTTGCAGTCCATGTTTTGACATGATATAGACGATCCATGCCAAGGACATGGAGGATAGACTTGCAATATATCAAGAGTCTTGGCAGAAGGAGTAACTTATACATACTAAGCACACCAGGAGCTTCAGTGGTCGAGGTCGATGTGGCTACAGCAACGAAATGGCTGTTGGAAGCCCTCTCTCTGTTTCAAGTTATACAGGCAGCCTAAAATGCAGTAGAACACAGATAGCAGGTTCTTAGAAAGTCACATTGTCAGAATATAAGTAGAGGGCCTCTCATCTCACCAGCATTGTCTCCTCCCACTGGCCTGAGTATCTACTGCATTCTTTCTCCTCAAGTAGGTGTGCGAGTATCTGCCATCTTTCTCAGAGCCATGAGCATTGGCAAAAAGTGAGGAGTGGCATTTGGTACCATGAATAAGGAATCTAGTTTCAAGCTGCTTGATGTGTATTTCGACATGGTGGAAACTTTATCAACTCTGCCAACAACTAGTATGTTTCTCTTTGATGATTGGTTTCATCTTATTAATCTTCCTGCAGGTAAGACAGTGAGTGAAAGATTCGTAGGGGAATGGGCCAAGCAACGCGGTATTTGTGAACAGCTCATTATTATTCCATTCACATTTGCTGTGTCATGCCATCACTGGCATTTCTTCTAGTACACAATGAACTACCACAGGGACAATGACCACATCAAGCAAAAAGGTGCTGAAAGGTTTGTTTGTGAAGTTGGCCCAAAGAGCATCACCACTGGTGTTTCACCTTGTTGGTGCTATTGCAACTAAGCCTGGGTCATTCATTGAAAGCCTTAATCTACAGGCGATTATGTTTGTGATAAATCGACATCCCTACCAAGTACATTGACCATGCAAAGCTAATCTAGATGCGTGAAACACAGTCTTAGGAAATGTAGGATTTGCCACTTTGGAATGCATCATGAGTGCAAACTGAAAGTCTATGTGGAGATAAAATTGACAAGGTAGAGTTTGAGTATGAGGTAAAGTAGCCGACCTAACCCTAAGACTAGAATTACCTTGACGATGATCTCGGTTTTAGATAGAAGGTTTCAATGCATCGTAGAATAGATCCTGACTTCGGAATTCACCGGCCCCCAAGTTGGTAGACCGGAATAGCCGGACCGAGCGGTGAAGCCATTTATACCTTGCACCTAACCTCCGACGTCGCTAAGCTAACACCGACTACGGGTGACCTTGACACAATGTGGACGTAACCATCGAAGAAGACGAGCGCTCTGCATGTTCTCGAAGACTGCCGCCGTTCGACACGTTCCCCACGGATGTTCCATTAGTTTATTTGCGGCGTCGTCCTGTACGCAGGCAACCCATTATCGATGCATCTTGCATTCACGTTTCCGCCTTACTAAGCACTAAGTATTACTCTTCGACATGCACAGAGCAAAGTCGATGCTTATCCGCCTCCAACGACCCGAGTCGCCCATGTCCGACTTGCAGTATGACCTTTTTCCTCGCCGTTCGAGGTTGCTGTCGTTGGAGAGCCTCATGTCCTTTGGGATGGGCTCAGATCCCAATGGAGGGACGTTATCGGGCATCATGTGTGCGAATCAGAGTGGCTGGATGCACGGGTACAAGGGCTGCATGGAGCCGGGGCTAATGTCTTGTGCTGGGGTACGTGGCTCAATCCCGTCGATCCAGACAATAGCCGACTCAGTTCACAGTGTTTTCTCGTCAAAGTCGGTAACTCGACTCTCTTTCTGACTCGGCTGACCTTTCATTCAGTATTGCTCGGAGCGATGTCAAAAACAGCATTGGCCTCGCCATCGTACGACTTGCAATCACTTGTACCTCAAGCGTGATTGGCAACCGGCTTGGGTACTGGAGAAGAGGAAGCCCAGGTTTCGTTCTAGAGATGTATCTACTGAACACCTTTGGGGAGATATTCCGGCTATCGACATCTTACGATTAGATTTCAACGAGGGTGACCTGGCGCATTCCCAGAACTTCAAATTATGCTTTGCTGGTATGTCCTCTTTCTCTTAGCGTACGCTGGCCTGATTGGTATCTTAGCTTCTGGAGACATTCGCAACCTTGTCGAGACAGTTAATGGCCTCCCTAAGCATTACCAGGGAAGGTGCGACATCTTGCTCAACGACATCGATCCTATCGTGGTGAACAGAAACCTCGTCATCTTGTTCTCACTTCTTGGCTCTGGTCCGTCCATGGACGAAGCCGCCGAGCTCGCGACGCATCTCATGTACTCTGCAGCGCTTCCTGCCGCCGGTGCTTCCTTTGTGCAACGTTGCATCGACTACGTCTATGGCTCCAACTCTGACGGGGATATATCTTACCGCGTTGCCCTCTCGACTAGAGGCTCAGGGAAGATTTACTCATTACAGACGTCTGCCGGCATTAAGCACCCCGTAGAGATGTTCAGGTCTTCTTACGACCTTCCAGTTGCATTGAAATCCATGCGCAGAGTTTCCGAGGCCTCAAGGACAGACAACCATGATCAGTTACTATCAAAGCTCACTCCTGGACACCGACTCGCTATGAAACATTTCCGGGAAACCGGCGTTCTTGCGGCTTTTTCTTTGAACACGAATACATTCATGCATCCGAATAGGTGCGCTACAAGTTCCCTGTCCATCAATCTAAAAACTGATCTTCTTTCAGATTGTTATTCTCAGTGAATGGAGATTGGCTGTCATCGGGAACCGCGAATCCTCTATGTGGCTGGGACATGTCTGCCGTCCAGCTGTCTGGCGAAAAGCATGGTGTGGAGTTTGCTGACATCTTCGGCTGCCTCTTCTTCCACGTCAAAGACCAACTCCGCGAATTCGCAAGAAGGATGAAGGACTTCAATATCCACCTCCACCTCACGCAGTTCGATTCCAAGATCCTGTCGAAGGGTTTATTCGCTGGAGTCGTACCGGCGTTTGAGGGCCCTTGCTTTGACCGGGTGGATGCCTCCAATACGATGGACTCTGCGGGTATCAGAGCATCCTTGAATGATTGGGGGCCTTTGTTAAACAAGCAGAATGAATGTTCTGCTATTCTTATCCACTCGAAAACGTGGCATGCAGGTCGCCGGGACGGATCCGCACAGGCTCATCCTCGTACCGTGGAATGGCTAATGAAGAAATACTGCAATATTCCTGGTCTGGTCAGTACCATCGACCCGTCATTTTCGACCTAAAGACCCGCTCATTTTCTTTTGACAGCCGAAGCCGAATAATTTGTTCAGCCAGGGTTTGAGATCACCGCTATTGCTGCACATGATTGAATCCGTGGATGCGTTCTATGATCACGAGCCCGCGTTCCGGCGGTATCTGCAGGAGCATGACATGGATGTCTCAACTGCGGCGTTGGAGCTACGATGTCGGGAGGCACATACTATACACCCCAAGGTAAGCTATGACTGCGAGTTTACTGGTGTCATTGTGACGAATAATATATATCCATCAGCGCTTCGGTATCACCCTGGGCCTGACTGATCAACGACTACCAGACCTGAGCAAGGACGAATTTTATCGGCTATGTACGTTCACTTTTTTTCTATACCAACAATGAACGTTCTTACGGCCGTCTCCAGTCACGCTTGGCAATGCGAACCTATTGGTGCGATTTTTGGAATTTGAGAACACGAAGGCATGAATGACGATTGGGAACGATTTTACGCGATGAGGAAACGTTTTAGAGATGGATAGAGACGAACATCGGATTCTATGTAGGCGATATACCCTGTACCTATGGATGAATGCAAAAACTATGGCTACCTCCCGTATGACAACCTGCTCATAGGAAATTCTCACAATAAGTCAATGCCTCTCGCCAGTCTGTTCCCACAGAAAGACGGCCACTACTGCCCCTGAGAACATACTCTAACCTCTAACCTCTACATAATTATGAGGGCTTAGTAAACCGGTCCTCTATGGTGGACCGAACCTCATTACCCGATACCTTTTCTTGAGGATTGCTGGCCATTTGAGCCTGCTCTTCTGCTCTCGTCTATAAAGAAAAGCGTCTAATAAATGTCCAAAAGAGACGCGGGATGGATTAACTGTCTAGAGTATCACATTCAACCAGGAGATGACGTCCTCGCATTCGCCGCCCCCACCAAACTAAAACCTAACGGTGGACTCCTCGTCACGCCGCCCGGGACTGGGGCATTGGGCATCAACACCGGCTGCAAAGGCATTGTGTACCGCACATCTAGCTCCTCCAAGATGGTCTTCAGATTCCTCATAAACGCTGTCCGCCTAGTCCATCTCCCTCCCCAGTCCTGCCAATTCGGTCGATCTAGTGAAGAGGAAATTCACAAGGAGCCCGGTGGTTCTCGGGAGAGAAATACACGTACGCTCCATAGCCACGATGAGATGGATCGCGTTCTGGTTCACCATCTTGTCGATGTTGAGATCAAAACCAGACCATTCACGGGAATTGTTGTTGACGTAGGTCTTGAGTTTTGCTTTTAGCACCTCGATAGTCTCTAAAGGCGTGTTGTATGAGACCATTAAGGTCGTCGTCTCCCACCTAAAAATACTAGATCAGCAATAACACGCGGTAGACAAGGGACAAGGAGAGCGCACATAGAGTTGCTACGCCTCAGGTTGTGCACCAACTTTGAGCTCGCCAGGAGTTTATTGGGCGCAACGATTTCCTGACCGTCTACACGGCGAAAAGTGGTCGAGAAGAGGCCAAATTCTCGCACGAAAAGAGCCTACGAATAACTTCAGTGCATGACGTTACATCAAGGACCGGCATGGCATTACCTGTTCGTCTATGAGAACGAGGTCGCCGACATCAAATACGTGCGTGGCAAAAATGAAAATGAGCTTAGAGTGACATCGCGTTAGTAAAAACGTACAGCAAATAACCGCACGACTCGCACCGATTCGAACAAGGTCGAGGCGGAAGTGCCGAACACGAAGGAGAAGCCCAGGAGGATTGTTCCGAGGGGCACGAGCGATGCCAGAGTATTATTTTTGTTAAATATGAGTAGGCAGATAAAGATGATGCAGACGAGTGCGACAGCAAGAAGCACGAGATCGAGTTTGGACACGGCGGATCCGGCATCCTTGATACTGGAGTGAGTAGGGTGATGCACTGAGCAGGGAAGGTTGGTACCTTCAGACTCGCTACCAACGCCTTTCTCTCCTTGTAGATCCGTTGAACCGCTTCTCGCATTTCCTTCTTGCTGATATCACCATTCCCATCTTTATCAAATATATCGAAAGCTTCTTGAGCTTCCAAGGTGGAATGGAAGTATGGGAAGAAATCTGGAAGGATATGTTCGGTAAGCTCTTTAAATACGAGTAGTAGGTAGTTTACCATCCACGATGAGATGCTGCCTTGGAGGATAAGAATCGTTAAGAGCGCTGAACAGCTTCTTGGCTAATTTGCGCGCAGAATGCAGATTCCCTAGCTCTCCTGCCCGATTGAACTTGGAATCTTTCAACGCTACTTGTCCGATTACCCCACTGACTTGATCCACAATGACGCTCGTCATCGCCTTATTTCTCGTTCTCCTTCTATCACGGCCCTTGAAATTCTTTCGCTGAGTTTTGTCAGACTCTTGTGCCAAAGTGCTGAGACCAAGAGAGCTTGCAGAGCCCTTATGTCCTTTCCTGACGTTGGGAGCCATCTTGTTCCAAGTTGAAGGTTGAGAATTAGATAGTCGATCTAGCGCTCGCAAGGCAAACTGATTCTCATTCAGTCTGTCAGCAAGGGCCTTCTGGTGGAAGTTGATGGCGACGAAATGGAGCGCGAGTTTCTCGACGAGGAAGATGATCCCTGCGGCGAATAGAGCAGATATGACGCGGTTGACAATAGTCCAATAAGACCCGGGAGGGTGATACACCCTGCGAATGACTGATAAACTGATCCAAGCCCAGGAGATATCTAGCGCCAGTTTGAGGCAGCCCGAGACGGCGACTGCCAACTAATGAAAAGTCAGAACAAGAAAAGAGCTGATTTGTGCGTCCGCACCTCAACTTGAATTTTAAGACGCTCCACCTTGCCTCCCAACATTACGACGAGGGCTATGATAAGTCGGGGAAGTAAATCGACAACCAAATATGTTGCGCATCCAGCCGCCCAGATGATGGTTAACCACAGAGACCAGACATGGACGTGAATCCTTGCAGGACTGCTTCTAAACCGGAAGTGCACCACCAGCAGGGGAGTGATCAATATTCCAACGCCCAGTACACCAATCAACAGGGCCCGAATAGGCCTGGAAAGCTTCATGAAAGCGACATATATCGCTCTTCCCCTTCTAGCACGAACCTCCGTCGTCTGGTTCTTCTCGACAGCCTCCTCGTTTTCATCCCAGTCAAATTCATCGGAAGTGTTGGTGGCAGTTGTATCACTGGCGGCGTCCGAATCGTTCACAATTTCATCGCGGTTAGTGTCGTCCGTGTGCGACGGCGGCGGGTTAACAGGCTGGGGGACAAAGTCGTGCTTCTCGGACATCTTCAAGGCATCGTCCTCGACGCCCATGGTGGTGGGAATGAAGAAGGGAGTGATCCGCTCATCGTCATTGCTGGTGACAGGGGAAAGTATGGAAGGTTGGCGTCGTTACGAGGCAGCGTCATATGTCGCATATATTTATAGAAAAGGGTAAGAAAATCAATTTTCATTTCTTCAAAGAACACCGTACTACTGACTATGTTGCGATGCAGCACAATACCGCAAAGCAGCGCCCGATAGCCGCAGAGATGGCCGAGGTCGTCAGTGATCAAAGTTATACGGTGCTTAATTGATGCCTGTCGAAATTATTACAGAAAAAAAAAGACATGGAATGAGTCATTTCTCTATGTACCAGGTCCTCTGCAGGTACGTAAATGGAGCGCCGAATGGCTTATTTCAAGTTCGACGTCGGGTTTCCGCGTCGTCGAAAAGGAGACACCGGTGTCAACAAGACCAAATTCCGCTCTTGCTTCTTTACCATTAGGGCTGGCCAGAGCTGCGCCTCCGAGATTATTCCTAGCGGCTACGAAGCCAGTTCTTGATTACATTATCTTCCATCTACGCAGGAAACAAGACCGAGTCGCCGGTTCGCGGTTTCCCTGCGACCGTGTGAAATCAGGCGCTTTGTCAGTGCGCGCCGCCCAATCTGATACGCTTTCTCTTTTCCCCAAGATTTGATCGCGTCGACATTCAACGATTCACAACATGCCCACGAAGATTTGTCTCCTTGTTTATCATGGTACATGAGTCTTTTATTTTCCTTGTCGTTTCTGACTCGTCAAGTGATCAATAGTGCTTTAAGCTTTTGAATTCTATGCGGGATTTACTGTTCAACTTATTCACCTCTCACTTGTCGAGCAATACGATATGAATCAGCCCTTCGTAGCCTTTCATATCACGAAATGTTTGTGATATCTTTCGAACTTGTCTGGCGGGCCGGGCCGACATCTCCGGTCGAAATTCCCGAATTCCGAACCGAGTCCGAACTTTGGAGTCTGCTTCAACTTTCGCCCACAAATTCCCAAAATAGCGCCTTCAACAAACCCTTGGAGGGGAAAAGTGAGTCAAGAATGACGGGACCCCGCTTCAACGCTTTAAAACCCTACCATCAGACCACCAAGGCTCCACGTCCTCTTTCATTCGACGATGCAACCTTCCGGTGGAGAATTCTTTCCAGGCGGCAGTGGTCCTACTCCCAATGATCCAGAGCACCCTGAAGGACTCTCGATAAAATCGCTCAAGGACGTCGATGAAGCCAGTCTTGACCCACGACTCAGCTTGTCGGCGACGATATTGCCCGCCCCAGATGACCTTGACGTTCCTCTATCACGCCAGTTCAGTCAGCTGGTGCAGGGCCGCACTTCATCTGACCGTGATGTGGAGAAGAAACCTGACTATCCCGACCCACTATACGTACGTCGGTGCCCTCCATCTACCTTGTGTAATGTTCACCCAGAAAATGGCTAGGTCGAATTCGAGAAAGGTGATACTCGAAATCCTATAAATTTCTTGCCAAGAAGAAAATGGGCGATCACTATGTTGTCGAGTTTTGCAACACTTCTGGCTGGTACAGCTTTTTCTTTATCTTTGAAGCACCAGCTAACCATTTATTAGCTAGCACGGCGGCCGGGTACAATCTAGGATTCGACTCTATGACACGGGATCTCAATTGCACGCGGTTCCAAGCAACCGTCGGATTGAGCACATCTACGCTCGGGTTCGGTGTCACCCCCCTCTTTACCGCCTCCTTCAGCGAAGAGTTCGGTCGACAGCCCTTGTACTTCGTGTCCGCAGGGGGCTTCTTCCTCATGCACATCATGGTAGCTTTGTGAGTTCGTTGTGTTTCCACCCTTTACATTCAATAATTTCGTGTTTCATGTTTCAGAGCAAAGAACATCCAAACGGTGATCATTGCGCGATTTTTACAGGGTGCGTTTGGCTCAACGTGGGCGACCATGGTGGGCGGAACCATTGCGGACATTTGGGTCCCTGAAGAGTACGCGCTAGTCACTAGTCCTACTCGTTGTAAGTTTAAATTCTGATGGGGCGCTCCCATCTTTAGCCGGGGTCTTCCCATGACCATCTTCACCGCAGCCGCTATCGGTGGCACAGGTGTAGGGCCCATCATTGCGGGCTGGATCGAAATGAACGGACGGCTTGAATGGAAATGGATCCAATGGATCCAAATGATGTGGATAACTACCTGCTTGCGGATGATGTGCGCGCTGATGTATGCTTTATGAAGGATGTGCGGATTGTACATTGTATTATTGCCGTTCGTCATGAAAGAGACGCGCTCCTCGATCCTTCTCACCCGTCTCGCGAAGAAGATACGGAAGAAGACAGGCGATAAACGATATCGGGCACGTGTTGAAGACGAGCGGGCAAGTTTGCGTACGCTGATATTCATATCGTGTACACGTCCAATACGTAAGTGTCCATTATTTACACTTCTGCGTTGGTTGATGTAAATATGTGTAGACCTTCTGTTGACAGAGCCCATCGTATTCAGTTTCAGTGTAACTATGTACTTCTCGGGTTATGTCTTTTTCTGACTAACAAGCCTGTCAGCTTTGGGTCGGATTCTGCTGGGGTGTGGTCTACGCACTGGTCGAGTGAGCTTCATTTATCATGTTGAGTTTACATTGCTGACGTCCGCTCTAGGTCGATTCCTTTCATATTCAGAGACTTGCACGGCTTCAATGCAGGTCAGTTGGGTAATGCATTTGCCGTCATGATGTACGTTGTTTCTCCCGGTGTTTGCACGTCCTGACCGCTCGTAGCGTTGGAAGTTTGCTTGGCGTTATGACAAACTTCTTTCAAGAGAAGTTGTATCAGTAGGTGGTGGTCTTTTTTGATTTCATACATCGTGTTCACGCGTAGCTTGACAGCAAAAATTACCCTCATAGAGGTCCTGAAGCTCGATTGTACATGGCCTGCGCTGCGGCCATTATGCTTCCCGTCGGCATGTTCATCTATGCATGGACTTCGTTCCCGTTCGTGCCGTGGATCGCGTCTGCCATCGGTATCACGGTATGACTGCCCTTCTCAGGACCCTTCCTTTCATTAAATCAACGTAGATATTTATGTGGGCGATGTTCATAGTCTACCTGGCTGTGTTCACGTACTTCGCGGACACGTACGTTCGCTCCTTTTTATTTGCATGCCCTCATAACTTGGCTATCAGATACGGTCCATTCGCCTCGTCGGCACTCGCTGGTCAGAGCCTTTGCCGTAAAACCTTCTTACCTCTTTGATTTCACTGCATGTTGACAGCTTCCTTCAGGAAACCTCGCAGCGACGGCCTTCCCACTTTTTACCACGCAAATGTATAACAATCTGGGGTATACATGGGCGAGCACGTTGTTTGCGTGTATAGCAACTGTTATGATTCCCATACCCTTTGTGCGTTGTGTCGGATCCCGATGGGTTTGGGTGCTGATAGTATTTTACAGGTACTGTTCTTTTATGGACCCTCTATTCGCAGACACAGCAAATTTTCCAGCATGGTTTTGCATGGTAAATCAGCCACATCGTAAGAGATACATATCCATGCATGCATCAATAAGACTGTTAGACGACTAGATTTTAGAGCAATTATAAACATGTATACATAAGTACCGCTGACAATATCTCTCCCCACCTCATCGAATAACTTATTTCTGATATGTTCCAGAACAAGTCAGTGCAATTACGACAACGCCGTAGAATAAGGCCCGGACCCCGAGACATTTTAGTAACTACACCTACGGTGTATAGTCAATATAATATTTCCGTACCTTTTGCCTCAGTTTGTTCTTGATGACGAAGCTGGACATCAACTGTCAACAAGGTCATGTCTCTTCTCAAAAGTCTCCGTCATGTCCGACGCTTGACTCGAAATCTTTCCACAGCTGTATCTGCAGAAGAGACAGTGAAGAATGACTTTCGGGACCTTATGCGGAAGTCAGCGCAACCCGTAGCGGTCGTGACGGCCTTGACGCGTGACGGCCACCGCTACCACGGCGCGACACTCTCGTCATTCACGTCCATCGCCCTCGACCCCCACCCCCTCGTCGCCTTCTCCCTGCGTATGCCTTCCCGCCTTGCTAACGCGATAAAAACCGTCCCCCGGGACCGTTCCACACCGCACCTGGTCGTGAACATCCTCGCAGAGGACCAGCCTCACAGAGCAGAGGACTTCGTCAACGCGACGGAGGGTATGTGGGATCGTATACCGCACACTTACAGCGAGGAGAAGATACCCATACTGTCTGGGTCGCTGGGAGCTGTTTCGTGTCGTCTGGTCGCGCCGCCGATACCGTTGCATGATTTGGACTTTTTGGAGTCGGGTATGGGAAAGCCACTGGCCGACGCTCCAGTGCTGTCGTCGGAGCTGTATCTTGCTCGAGTGTTGAGAGTAGAGAGGGTTGACCAGGAGACTAGTTTGAAGCGCGAGGTGCTGCCGCTTATCTATCGACATCGGACTTATACGACGTGCCTACCTTTCGATACTCCTACGTGACCTTTGTCAAGAAGGATAATTGTTTTTTTTCTTTGGCAGGACCGTATGAATGGAAGAAACATGACGAACACATCGGTTGCGTAGGTTATTTCGCAGTGTTCAGAACTTTGATCATGATTCCAAAGCACTATATTCCATGCCAGCCCGAAAAACAAAAAGATCGACACAAAATCGAGAGATTGGCAGTCATTTGAAAGTCGGAGAAAGTGGAAATACATGAACTATAATGGAGGTACATCCGAAAATAAGACACGATCTAGATAATGTGTATAAGTCCCAAAATAATGAGGAATAACGATAGGTTCTAATGTCAGAAAAACAACGGAAACGATAAAGCAGCAGCTAATGCAATAGCAGTTTCGGGCTGCAGGCACCTTGCCTTCTTGTCTCTACGCAATTCATAGGCGCCTAGTAGCGTCTCGTGCGGGATACACTGGAGTTTTGACATCAAACGCGAAGGTTCCTGTCCAGTGCGCGAAAGGATACCAGATGGCATGCCTGGAAGTACAGAAAGGATATTGGTTGTGGTAGCATTCTGAGCTTCCTCAGTGACCATGACCAGGGAAGGCAAGTCTGTAAGGTCGAGAGACGATGGCAATCCTGATTGTACGGGTGATGTTTCCTCACTTTCCTGGGCCTGCTCGACATTAGTTTGTAGGACGGAGGGTGTTGCGATGGAGTTGAAGTCTTCGACTTGGCCATTACCAGAGAAGCATCGACGGCAGGCTGGAACAGTGGGTTTCTATAAGAGATCGGTCAATAGAATGGGCGCCAATTATTATGCTGTACTTGCCTCAGCTTGTTCTCTCTGAGAGGAATTGTCCATGATCTCGTCGTAAAATGCCAGCTGGAGGTCGGCCGTATACGATGAGCGAACGACGGGCCCAACAATAAGGACAGATTGAAGAAAAGACGACAAGCAAGTCAGAAATGACGCCTTAGTAAAAGATGGTCAATAGATGCTGGGGACCAGACTACGAATGTCAGGTTGAGGGCCGGAAAGCCGGGAGCGAAGTGTTTCTCGGGGAAGGATAGTGAATATGACACACTGCAAAGAACCTTGTTGGGTTGGTTCCATATGGCAGCGATGGTGTGTCATCTGAGCGAGTGGCCAGGTATAGCTGAGCGCGCGTATACGGAATTTTGCAACGATATCATTCTGTGGCCAACAGTCCGCTTGATACAATGAGGTTTCCGTGACTTCCAGCGGTCCATTGTTGAGTAGTAGCCAGAGAAAGGTCTTTGATGACTAAGACTGTCGACTGGTCAACCGGTCCGTACCGATCTTTCTTTTCTTTGCTACTAGCACTACCGTCCGTCTACGTCTACGCTCAGAAATGTCTTGTCGTTTCGGTAATACTTTAGGAAACCAGTTACTCATCTATGACCTTCTCAAGCGTTTCCCTGTGGTGATCTGTGAGATGGACCGAAGTGTCCCTTGGGCCGCGCCTCTTACATGTCGAGTCCTTGTACCTCATCAGTCCTTCCATGGAAAAGCTAGCAATGGAACATTTGCAGAACTCGGTGGCATTATGACTGATGCTAATGATAAATGTATGGAGGACAAAGGTGAGCATCACAGCCTGTGAACCATTATTTTCGCTAACTCGTTTCTTGCGCCGATAGTCGTCGTCCTGCAGGAAACGGCTCTACAGTCCTTTTCAGAGGCTGAATCGATGTTATGCCTGGTTAATTATTCAAATGCCTCGTAACTGCCTGAGGCCTGCATGTTGAACAAGAATTAATGGCTTCTGGTACCCACTAATATCTGTCCGGCAGCATTGTCAAATCATACATTTGACGCCAGTAACACGGATAATCATCTGTCTATTGGGTCGAGGTGGCCGTACTGTCACGGTTTCTAGTGATTCTTCTTGGCCTCGACGACGTTGCAGCAACATATTACTATCTATAACTTCTATACTCCGTATACCCCATTTCTCTCTGGGATCTTTGGATTTTCTTTTTCTTTCTGTTTCTCTTTCATAAAACCCTCGCCAATTTGCATCTCTCCTTCGAGGACAACCTATCGTTATTACATTCCTATACCTCATTTCTCTTCGGGCTCTTTGGATTTTCATTTGGTGTTGATACGTGGATTCTCAGGAATACTATCATTTTATGATAAACAGCAAGTATTGATTTAGTCGATGGAAGTTCCTCGGGGGCGCGAGGTGCCGGGACCAGGGCCCGTACGACCCTTCCGCTCAGATGGTTGCCCTCAACGACAGCTCTAACGGCAGGCCGAATTTCGTTCTACCTCACCATTGTCTTTGCAGTGAATTGGACCGCGTTTTCTCTTCGAATTAGTTGAAGGAGAAGATGACAACCTCCACGAAGGCGAGTTTAGGGAAGAGGTAGAGCCAGACTCCATTCAAGCCACTAATAACGAAGAGTTCGATGATCATGCAGTTCGTTGACCAAGTAGACGGAGGAATCAATTATACCACTAGCAAATTCGTATCTATCGGCGATATATTGCAGACTAGTAGATATTCTAAACGTCATATTGTCCTAGGGTATCTAGAGGCCAATTCATGAGATCCGTACTCAGTGCAGGAGGCATTAATGATCCCGCCTCACTGAACAGATTTGTGGAATCCATAATTGCAACGTCGAATGCTTGACCTTCGCATGGCTGTTCCAATTGATTCGAAATCCATCCTAGCCAGGGTGACCATCGCGCATCAAGCGCAGAAACAATCCTTGCTGCCTCATTGCCCCACTGCTTTCTCACCCACCACGGGCCATCCTCAGCCATCCGTTTCATCATAACGCAGTAATGTGCCAAGATGATGAGTGCACGAGGTCTCCGCTCGGCCAACAGGCGAAAGAATGTATTGGGTACCTGTGACCACCAGATACCTGATGCATGCATGCAGTAGTCTTTCTGGAATGAGGCTGTCCATGACTTCTGGAAGATACGTATTGAATCTTTATACGTGGCGTACACCGATACATCGTGCAGCTCTTCAACGTCTGGTGGTGAGTCCGCGGTGCTCAAAAGCGTCGACAAGGGTGATGGGAATGGTTCTTCCAGAGGTGTAGATATGATTGTTGGTGCCAGGGTACCCAACATCGGACGCAGAACACCATTCCAGAGCTGTGGCCAGACTCTTGTAACCTTGGCGGACATAGTTCGGATCATAGTGTGCCATTCATTCGATTCGGAGTATAAGGAGACTATGGATGCCGTTGCGAACTCATAGAGGGCGATAAGAGACAAGGTGATAAAGATGGCATGAACATCCATCCTCCCGTCCATTTCTGCCCTGTGTGACTCTGTTTTGGCCTGCCAGTGGTAGTTGCTCGCGGCTACCGCATAATGACCTGCCGTGGGATCAGCATGGTGAGCATGAAGTGCCGACATGGCGAGAATAGCGTGGAGGAGACACTGGTTTCTAGGATCGAACGCGATTTTGGGAACAATGGTTCTCCAAACATTTGCCGTAGCAGGATCAGAAGAAAATGAGTGCGAAGTAGCGGTGGCAAAGTGGTGGATTAATTCGAGAGTCAGCAGGTCGAATGAACCTGTGCGAGTACACCTCGATATCGTGGAAGGGGGATTTTCACGTGAACACGATGAAGCATAGGTAGATGTCTCTGGAACCACCAAATCATGCCGTGGGGTATCGATCCAGACGCACTCTATGCCTCTCCTCGTACAGTTCTTGCACATAGGGAGTTCTTCGTCGCACTTAATTCCAATATCTGAGTTAGCTGTCCAAGGGCTGACAATGATTACGCACCTTGACTTTGCGTTGTTTGCATGTTCTACAACCACTTCGTGTCTTATGGTGTGGGCGAATTGGTGGCATAGCAAACGCTATGGTCACAAAAGCAACTCCAAATTGTCAACAATTCCAGCGTTAGCTCCGATCCCAATTAACCTTGAAATGACCCGGATGGATAAGGCGAGCAGGCAAGTTCCTCGGTGGCGGTGCAAGGTACCTTTCTTCTTCCAGCCACGACCTAGGATGACGGACTCAGTATCTCGGGGCCACAAATGACATCGAAAGACAAAGGTATCATTCTTTCTTCTTTGTGTCACCAGACATTATGCTAACGAAGCCTCGACATAGCAATCCTCAAATGTCTCTAACTGTCCGGCGTCTATCATTATACCAGCAGCAAATCGACCAGGAATCTCTGTTATGTAGTGCTAGTCGACTCGCTCCCAAAAGGGAACTGGACCACCCCCTTCCTCCGGACATTGCGCTTGAACTTTGATGCTCAATGGGAATATGCCAATTCCCCGCCAGTGTTCAATGTGGGAAAACATACTCGTGGGCCACTCAGAGACTGGGGCGATTTGGAGCAAGACGGAGACGAAGGAAAGGACTGGAAGAGCTTGAGGAATGGGTGCCGTGGTCACGGGAATACCTACGTTCCCGGGTGCAAGAGTACAGGGACGTAGAAATGGAAGAAGCTGATTATTCGGGGCCTGGTCTCGTTGGACGCCGAAGAGGATGGCGTTGTAAGTGGTAATTCCAGGTACACTGACGAGTTTTCAGTAAGCTTTATATTGTGAATAGAGCTTTATTCTCCAAGACGTATACTTGAACAAAGCATGCTTTCCTTGCCAGTCGTATTTGAACGACAAAGATGAACATAATGGATGTGATATAAGAAAACGAAGTCGGCTATTTTCGGCCCGAACTCTCTTTCTCTTTCAACTTCGCGCCTCTGGTCTCCATAGGGCCAGCTTCCTTGTTTTGGACGTGTCTTCCTTTCCTTCAGCCGACTTATAATCTGGCGTTCTTCAAGTCTTCAAAACATTAAACCTCTACCCGTGGTAACAATGGACCTCTCGAGATCAGAAAGACAATCTCGAGGCAGATTCTTTTAACTTACTACGAGCGGCTGGTGAAGACTTTTCAAACCCGGCAAAGTCTTGAAGATAAGGCAAGCATTGGAGTTGACTTTCTATCATCGACTACAAGGGGTAATCCACTACTAGCATCGGCTATGAGTTTGAAAACTCATACCATATTACGCTTTGCAGAGCTATCGATACACGCGCGGACTGCTGAGAAAAATAAATTATCTGTGAATCATACATGTATCCTTCTAAATGCGAGAATGTAGACGTCTTTAACACAATTAGCAGGAACGATTCGTCTACGGCACCAGACCACATTTGTGCTCTTGCTTCCAGTGTTGTGACAAGTTGCTCAATACGAAGATCATCATTGGGGTGGTCCTCTTCGGTGTTTTGCGAGAGTCCTGTCTTATCTACCTTAATGATTTCACCTGCCTGTCAGTTAGATCATAGGTTACATGGATATCGGTCACGCTGTTTTCGATAGAAACTGAAGGCCCTTGAAGACGACTTCAAGTCTCAGCTGTATCACTAGTGATTCATATACCGAGCCTTAGCTTAATACCATCGTCGCTGATCACGGAAGAAAACAGGGAATGATAAATGAACGGTGAACGGCAGAAGAAGGTTCAGGAATCCGTTTGATATCGTAGCTCTGTCAGGGTTCCTTTCCTTGCCCTTTCAGAAAACACATGCTGATTTCCGGCATTCCAGGTTGCAAGAGTGGAATTATCATGAAGCTCCCAAGTTCCTCCTGTACACGGTTCGGAAGAAAAGAGGTACGAAAATTATCACGTGCCATTGCTCATTAAATAAATCCTAAACGTCCTTTTCTATCCTCAGGTTAACATGTATGCGAAGCTTTTCGTGCGAATTTTGCTTCGACTTAGAAGAGTGGTGATCCTGACAGGGATCATTGGTAGTGGGGGTATGAGTATGACATGGACAAGTCAAATTCAAGAAGACTAATTGGATTTATGGATAGGATATTGCGCAGTGAACTAGGATTGGGCCTGATGATACTCGAGTTGAGAATAGTAATGCAGAGTTGCCACAAATGTATACTCATTACGCACATCCATTAACCTCCATGCTTGCCCTTTATCGGCCATTTTGAACACGGACACTTTCTCAAACCTTTCTTCTGACAGTCTTCGTCAAAGAACCCAATACTGCGTCTGGGTGTTGCTGTCGTGGAGAGTGTTTGAATCAGTACCAAGCAGTGTGTAGGTGTCCTCAGGTATTGGGTACCTGTGGAGCGCAATAATGTTGAATGTACGTTCTCTCCCATCCGCGTCTTTAACGATCAACTCTCCACATCGATCAACCTCTTCCGTGCCTCCCGCGGTCAAACCCCGCACAAATCCTCCTTCAATGCATGGCCCTCCGTACCAGTCGACATCTGTATCCTCATCCTGATCCCCTAAGGTTGAATGAGCCATTCACAGGTGGAGGCTTCGTCATAAGCTGGTCCCACGATGGTCTCCATTTTTTGTCTGTATCTCCCGGCTCAGGATACGATTCGTCCCACACATCTGAAAATACTCTGATATGAATTATAAATCTATCGGGTTTGCATGGACGGTAAATTGATTCCCAGCTGGAAGTATCGATACATTCGTACCGAGTCCAACAAGTATCATCACTGAAAGCCGTGACTCTTTTTGGTCCCAGTGAACACTAAGGAGAGACGTCAGCAAGAGATATTCAAAATGAATCAGCGATCTTACGTACGTATCCACCGACTGGACAACCGCTCCGTACCGATCTTCCTCTCTTTTTCTTTGTTAGCACTACCGCCCGTCTACGTCTACGCTTAGGATGTCCTGTCCTTTCTGTAATGTTTGAGGAAACCAGTTGGTGATCTTTCACTTTCTGAAGTGTTTCCCTGTGGCGCTCTGTGAGTTGAAAGGAAGTGCTCCTTAGGCCACGCATCAGTATGCATCCTTATACCCCACCAGTCGTTCCACGGCAAGTCTAGCTATGGAATATTATGGAACTCAGTGGCATTATGAGTGATGCTGATGATAAATGTATGGAAGACAATGGTGAGCATCACGATATGTATTATTTTCGTTAGCTCGTCTTTTGCGCCGTATTAGGTAGTCGTCATCCTGCAGGAATACACAGCCCTACAGTCCTTTTCAGAGGCTGAATCGATGTTATGCCTGGTTAATTATTCAAATAGGTCGGAACTGCCTGAGGCCTCCATGTCTTGAACAAGAATTAATGGCTTCTGGTACCCACTAATATCTGCCTGGCAGCATTGTCGGATCACACCTTCGACGCCAGTAACACGGATAATCATCTGTTTATTGGGTCGAGGTGGCCGTACTGTCATGGTCTCTTGTGATTCTTCTTGGCCTCGGCGACGTTGCAGCAACATATCTTCGAAGATCACGCAGTGACCACGTCGTTTATAACGAGACTGCTTTTCCTTGGTCACGCGTCAGTCTGTCTTCGTCGGGAAGCCAATAGTCCTCCGTGGACAAACAAGCGCGCTGTATTCGACCCGTCCATGCGACACCTCACTTCGACGACCTGGTTGGGCTGGATCTGAACGTGACAGTGAGTACACCTGTCAATGGTAGTATCATCAACCATCATGACCCCACATTGTTGAGGCTCTTTCGCTGTGCGAAAGAGACAGACGTTACGCCCGCAACTCTCGTTTCTGGGACTGAAGTCCATGGATGCAAATGAGCCATGACGTGCAGCGTTCATATAGCAAGAGTGGATCTCTTCACGGCTGTAATCGAAAACGACGGCAATCGGGCATGGGTGCAGGTAATCGATATAATGCCCACATTCATAAGACATGAATAGACGGAAGCACATGGCCCTACTAAAACTTAGACAAGAGACAAAACCCAAATCGCGAGGTCAGCTTACGCTTTGTGGGACATGAGAACCGTGATACCAAAGGAGATGGACTGGAATTCTGTTTATCATTGGGTTTATGTGAGCTGCACGGTCTGAAGGCGTACCACGGTGGGACTGCAAAGAGAAGCGTCTATGCCAAGGAACGAAACGATATGGTAAAAAGGTCCTTGAGCGCTGAATAGATACCGTTGCTTTTACAGAGAATTTCCGTGGCCGATGATTGGTGATTAATTGATACAAGAACTCCGTTTCCCCCCCTTAAGATAATCAAAGTACCCCGGGGTATGTGTCGGTATTGACACCGTTGGCGTCAAGAAGAACACGGTGGTGTCAGGCGATGACCCATGGAATCAATGATGATATGGCTATAGACAATCGATTTATATGTGGCAAAGAAATTGAAAAACAACCCAAGTCGCTTCCGATAAATTCAGTCTAAGGTTCGATGCTGTTTGATGATAGAGGGGAACGATCGGTGTTATCGATACTGAAGTCAAAGATAAGACCCAAATTGGAGACAAAACTTCAAAATACCTAGGCATCCAAGACCAATAGTCTTCAAACTCGGAATCATACGTTCGTCCGAACCACCATTCGTCCTCCGACTTCACCAGCAATTTGCATCGCGACGGCCGCGCTTCAGCCAACGCAGAAGCCGATATATTCTTGACTCAGCCACGGGTGGGCTCTAGCATCGATGCCGTCTTTGCCATCATCTCTGCGACAGAACCAAAGGCATCCTCCAGGCACCAATCAATGAGCTGAATGAAAGGTTTGGGAATGGCCTCTTCACAACGGATGGCGTATGGAGTACCAAACAAGAAGAACTCCTGCATTGCCATAGCCATGTTATACAATGCATGAACCGCACTACCGCTCCAGATGCCCCATCTGGAATATCCCAGCGTATGTGTCTCCAAGTCTAAGTCAATTATTTTCAAACCCTCCGTCGTGAGGAGGATATTTGGGGTCTTTAAGTCTATCGTATAAATTCCACGTTGCTCAAAGTCAAGCATGGCATCCATGAGCATGAGAGCTAGACAATCTTTCTCCTCAATGGTCCACTCGGTACAAAATCCAAGACACCACTGGGAGAACGTCCCGGCGAAGGGAATGAGAAATTCGTCAGTTACGGAAGCATCTTTGTCGTATGGATCGTCGTAAACAACGAAGTGTCGGGACTCTTTCGACAAGACCGACGATGGGGAAAACATAAGGTGATCCATGGAGGCAGCTGTACACTTCCAGCTCGCACTGAAGGATGTCGCACTGGCGACATTCAAGTTTGATGTTTTTGTCGAACTCCGATTCAAGAACTATTCGCTTATAGACAAAATGCGGCTTATCAACTCCACGACACTCACAGAGTCAGGCAAACCAGGCACAAAGATCATTTGCATCTCTGAATGCTGAAAAATAGGAGGACTCGGTGTATCTGGAAGAGGCGTGTAGTGGACGAAGAGGGCTTCATCTGGGGGAATGCACGTAGAATCGACATGGCAGGGAAGGAGGGCGGATGTCGGGGATACATAGATATCCCTCTGGACTGTGTTTCCATGGAAAGGTCAATGGCGCTACGAACAATATCGTTCTGAAAGTTGTTAGACTTGTGTCCAAAATACATCACTGGCGACTTGAGACAGTGTGAGATTTTAGTCATAAAGCCGAAGCCAATGACACATGAGTTGCATGTCCTTCCTTCCAGGCCTGGTCCGGATAATCGGATTCATACGGATAGGTATAAATGAGGGTGTCATCGACTTGGTCAATTGGTTCTACGAAGATATCAGCAGAGCCACTTATCATGTATTTCTTACAATACCTATGTCCACGCTTTTCCACAGCCCAGGGTTAAGGAGGAGCTCGGGTTGCCTTAGAAGTTGTGCAATTGAATGTCATCAACTGTAACACTGTCAATTTTACACGATCACATGACAACACGTTTGGTAATCACCAAGTTCAACTCAACGATCTGTCACCAATGGCATCTGGCTTTCTTAAGTCTGCTGCGATGCATTTCACTATCAGGATCTCCTCATCAACTATATCAGAGTCCCATCTCCAACCATTTGATTCGACCAGGAGAGACCACATCCAGAACCTGGTAAAATGATCGTAGATAGCCGCCCAAAATTTGACAATTGTAGGAGACCAAAGACATGCTGCTTCAATGCTTTTGAGTCACGACATGTTATATCCACAGATGGTTGGTAACGAGGTGATAAGCACCCTATCAGTGATAGAACGGTGATTTTGAAATGATACGCACATGCACGCAGGTTTGTTCACACAGAGAACTAGATTCAACAACTCCATTAACGCAAGATAAGCCGGCTCTCGAAGATTCGATGTGGCAAGAAATTAAATATTCACTGCGTAGTACCCAGGCTCGGACCATCGCAGACTATGTAGCAGCTGGCATGAGTTATAGCATACACAGGCAGCTGTTTACCGAAATTTGGAATTCGAAACCTGATATTACTTTAAGAGAGGTAAAGTATTCATTCCACTTCGTGTACGCAGCTGGACTCGAGGCACTGATCCTGGACTGACTTTTATCTCAGGGTTTGATATTAATGATCTTGACAAGTCGTCATAGGATATTATAATCACAGCCTTGCTTCTAAAAGGAGAAACAAAGTATTCTTATCCTAGAATGATCCCATACATGCCGAATGACTCGCTACCTCATGCTCAAAAAGGCTAAGAGCTGATTCCATCGTGTTTTTCACTACGGCCATGCGGAAGTTTTACAATGAAACAACTCATGCTGGTTCTTTCTGAATGACCGAAAAGTTTGCATCGTCCAGTAAAAAGCGCCTACCGTTATAGAAGTGTCTGGCCAAAAACAGATATCACAGTCCACAAATCATCCATGTGTCGATAATTAGAAAGGCAAGCCACAAAAAAAAGATGGAAGGTCTCAGGTGTCTCAGCCTTTGAAATGTTGAGCAAATCCGAAGCTCCGGAAGGAACACCTGTTCCTGGCGCGTACCTGCTCATGAGTTCCGCCGACTCACTGGTAACAAAAGGCCTTTGCTATTTGTATAACTAAAAGAATCGGATGGTCATTAGCAACATCGGCTGCTTGTTGGTTACCCGTATGCCGGACCTCGGCTACCTATATTATTAGCGGATTGCATGAGGCATAGCTCCTATCTAGGCTTTGCTGATGTTAACGCTCAAGAGCAAGGTCAGACCATTTGTCGTCCCTCATTAGACCTCATTATCATTCTTCCAAGTCTGAGTTTTGTGTTTCACAACCGAGGCGTGGCTCACGCGTGATCAGAATGCGTTGCAGAGTGAGAATCATCAAGTTCGGAGGCTAATTTAGCCCACTCAGTGGCACTTTCTCCAGTCATCCTGTTGCGCTCCTTCCGTAGATTGTGTCTTTGCGAAATACTACCGGAAAGAATCAAGAAGTGGCTACGGAAGGTTGTGGGAAAGGTTTGAAGACGGCTGTTATTTTATACTAGTCATTCTGGCGAGCCTGCGGACTGTCTTTAGCTTGACTTCTAACTGATGGCAGCCTCTGATTCGCACCTACTCTGAGGCTTGAGCATGTGATCGCTGTGTATATGAAATTTCTTTGGCATCTTTAGTTGATCACTTGGAAGTGTGCACGATTTTTGCTCTCGCTGAAACAGGTCTCAGATTGTTCATTCACTATTCCGTGCCGCCAGTACTTTCGCAGTCATTGCATTAATGAATACTTTGCAATGTTCCTTTGTACACGTATCATGGGTTTTTCTGTAGAAGGTCACTGCGACCTTCAAAAAATGGGACAACTTCTCTGGCCCTTTTTCGGCTACTATGCCAATAGCCATGTCTCTACTTTCATCGCAGCTTGAGAATGTTGTTCCCCCGCTCGTGTTTATGCAGAGTCATCGTGGAGAATGTCTGTTACTATGTTACCTTGGCGCCGCATTCGCATTACCATATTGATAGGAACCATTTGCTAGCGCGGCTACGACCGCTACGACTAAGCTGCGACAGTCTCATTTCGGTGGCTAATAACAAGCGTGTATGTTCTCCGTCAATGAACAGTCCTCTTCATTCTGTTCTGCCCTTGGAAACTGTCCCGAGCTCCTTTTCCCGACCGAATCGGTTGTTACTGCGCTTACGTCTATGTCTGAATAAGAAGTACAAAACTGCATGCTTGTCATTCCTACTTGTTTTAGATGGCATACTTCCCGCTTGCAAGTATTCCATCTAGTATCTATTACAATACGCAGTGTCCGCTTTGACCCGAGACGGGAGGTATTATATAGTTCTTCTACATATTTGCGTGTCTCTGTTCTCAGATATTTGCATCATATTGAGAAACATACAAAATACACGCCACCTTGGTATCCCCATTCTCCAGTTGCTATTGACTTGTGAGAAAAGAGGTAGTGTGTCGCAAACATGACCAAATTATCGTAGCCTAGATGACCGGGGATGTCCGATACCAGACGTACACGCACTCCTCCGACTTTTTGTTTCTTGAAATAATTGCTTTCGTAGTCTGGCGACGGTAGTGAGTACTCGATTGGCGATGTTCACCGTGAAGCTTGTTAGGATCAGAGGACTGATTACAAGCCAGGTAACAGCCTGTGAAAGAGACCGCTGTGGTGGCGAGACCTCCAAGTCGAATTCATTGTGAGGCCCCCTTTCTACTCGACGACAGGCTTATCTGACTGGATGGATACCCTGATGTCGTCTCAAGACATAGACGGTGGAATCCCAAAAAAAAAAACACCATGTCGGCTTATTCACCACCTCTGACTCCTCCGCTACGCAGGGTCAAGCCGCTCCCAAAACGCCAACGCACATCGCCCTCGTCGTCTCCGCCTCTTGCACCTTTGCCGCTCGAGTACTATATGCCGATTTTGACGAATCTCCTTGAGGAATCTCGCATCGAAGGTGGCAATGCCAAGAAACGCAAGGTCCCCCATGTGGTTGGTGGCGAGGTCCAGGGACGTGTCTCAAGGATCACTGCTGCTGGAATGCAGTTCAAGGAGAGCGTTCGAGTTCGCCGGAAACATCTCGAGGGTCTGGTAGAGGAAGGAGAAGCAGACGTAGTCGAACGAGCATTGATGCTTGGGCTGCTTGGAGACAGGGAAGGGAAACGTCGACGCCTCTCGAAGAGGGAAGTGGTCAGAGCGGGAAGATCTGTCGTTAAACGACCTCCTCTCAAAGATTTGGAAGGGTTTGCGTTTACCTTCAATTACCCTTCTGAAGGTTAGTTTGTACTGGCTTTGTAAATCGACGATATGCTGACCCTGCGTCAGCTACCACGAACCTTCGAAATACGAAAAGTGCCGTAGATCTGCTTCGGAAAAGGTTATCAGCACCAAAGAAGAAACCTACTGCCGCTGCAAATGCCATCAAACCTCTGCCACCTCCTCCAAATGCGAAGAAGAAAACGAAAAAGCGTAGCGCCCTTGCAAATGCTTCGAACCCCCATCATTTGCGGAACTACGTGCCTTCTCGCGTTCCAGGCGCTGAGCAGCCCGTTAGCAATACCAATAGCGAATTCGTGGCGGTGAGGTTCCTCACTGCAGAAATACCCCCACGGAAGAGTAAATCGAAGAACGGCACCTCTACCCCTACTTCTCTTGCACAACAAGGTACGAACGAGTGGATTTGCGCGTACTGTGAGTATGAGCTCTTCTATGGCGACGAGGAAGGGTATCGACGAGCGATCCGAAGACGGAAGAAGATTCTCAGAAGGCGACGAAGAGCCCGTGAGAGAGCTGCCAAAGGGGTTGCTGGCAGACGGGTTGAGAGAGAGGATAACGATGGTGATGAGCCTGTCAGTGAGGAGGATGATTTCATTCAGCCCGTTGCTGTTGGCCAGCGAAATGGCGTGAACGGCAAGGGAGAAGGAGGTGGAGAGACTGGTTATGGATGATGTCGCTTTAGTACTGTATCTAATCAGTCTATCTCTGGAAACCTAACTGCTGTTAATCAGGATCTTTGTTTCGTGATAGCATCAAGAAACTGAGCTGGTACTCTCCTCTAGCTCAGTCACATGCATTCTTTCTCTGGAGCGCTGCCTCATAACGACAGGTTAACATGTCGGGTTACTTATGTAGTATGTGCTTCATTATATTCGTCGTACATAGCTCCTTGTCATAGAAAAGGTGACATGTATACATACTCACGCTGATCTTTGAGAAACGAGTCAAAGCGCATTTTCATTTGAAGTACGTAGTACTCCAACTTCGTAGAACCATCGGTCCGTCGATTTCATCTGACAACTGCGCTTCCTCGAATTCTGAAGATCTTTTTGACGATCTCTCAATCCTGATCTCGAATGATTTTCATAAACAACTGGCCCTTGAGGTTCTATGCGCGAACCTGCTACGGAGCTAGCGTTTAATGCCTGAGCGAAGGAGAGGCTAATAAACCATGTTCTTACTAGTACACTTAGCTTTGTTCTGCAATCAGCTTCCTTTGAACGATACATCTATGTCGATCCAGAAGTTCCCAGCATCCATCAGGAAGCTGTTGTCCAAATAATGGAAGAAAGGAAGACGCATTTATTAGTCGTCGTGACCAGATATCGTTCTCTTCCAGCAACGCACTGCCGACATTACTTAAGATTAAAGGATGTATGAATACAGAACTTTTGACTTCGAGGTCTGTTCATTCACAAGCAAGAAAAATGTACCGAACAAGCCTTTAGATTTACGACGCGTACCTGTGTTTTGACGCGTTAAACAGCAAGAACTGCAGTGCATCAGCGGCTCTACAACTCATCATGCCGCACCTCCCCCTCGGTAGCCCCATGTTCGTGCAAGAAAATAGCATGACTTCCACCCTGCATCTCCATCCCAGCATACGCAGCAACCTCATGTATCCCACCCGTACCCCAGCCATCCCATTCAAGAATGCGTACACTGGCGCAAGGTTCGGCAATTTGAGTGCACGGATCGTCATCTGTAAGGAGTATCCAGACTGATTCTACTGGCACGGAGAATGACTCCTGGTCCGAGGAAGGTAATGAAGACTTGGGGAGTAAGTCGATGGCGTGAGCTTTTCCTCCCGAAGTTGGAGTCTCGTAATACTCGGCTTGGCCGCTAAATAGACCAGATGGGGAGAGGGAAAAGACGGCGATGTAACCTGGATCCCTCGACGTCGCGCCGCGAGTGGTTGCGAATATCTGGTTGGCTGAAGGCGTGAGTAGGAGGGTGTCACCCCGGTAGGAGTGGGCTGAACCGGAAGCGTAGAGAGGCTGAGAATTGACGAGCATGAGAGACGGTATAGGCATGGTACTGAAGGTGTACACGTCCAGGTTGTTACTATGTTCAGCCACACAGTAGACAACTTCTCCGTTTGGATGCACTTTCACATGCCGTGGGCCATCTCCGGCCTGCCCCTTGGCTTTCCCTACCCGTTCAAGCGTCCCATCGACTCGAGATTTCTTGAAGATATGGATCTCTTCCGTACCAAGGACAGGAACAAACCCATAATTTCCATCACTTGTGAACTCTATCGCATGGGAGCCGTATCTCAACGCTTTCCTCGTCTTATCAGCCTCTGGTAGCTCATCAGGTTCGATGAACAGGATCTCTTGGATTTTCTGTCCCCACAAACCAGACACCGGGTCAAGTAAATGCACTTCTCCTGTGGGTCCACCCATGGAGTAGGCATGAGAGTCGAGGGTTGCGATATACGACGATGTTGCTGTAATGGATGTACTGCCGATGTGAGTTAAAGAAGGCAGTGCCCATGCGTGTAAGGCTGGTGGAGACGCCCATGTCGTCGCATATACTGCCCGAGGGGTCTGGGAAATATATTGATGCGGCCCAGAGGCGGGTATAATCCGAAGGAGACGGAGCGAACGGTTCACCGGGGAAAATGCAAGGAGGAAGAGAGAAAGCGAGGTGAAGGAGCCAGAGAGGATGTGGATGTCCATAATGTGTACTAGTGATTCATACATCTGATGAGTAGTACGCTGAGGCACCCTAGGAAAAAAAAGTATCAGCACCAGAAGACTTCGTAACGAAACGTCTTAACGGAACTTATGAACCCGGACTGGCGGAACAACTTAGTCGCGATCACGTGCCAATGTGTCGTTAATATGGCCGGGGTTAACTTTTTTTAACGCAAAATTTTTGGCGAGCGTGTTTCTAGGCAACATCACCAGCCTAAGGTCACTGGGCTCAATGTTTGACCACACTGAAATATAACTGGCTATTGATGTTGCTCTGGTGTCAGGCTGTCAAATACAATAGAGCAAGCTGCTACTCCAAACAGGTTCATCTTTGTTTGCTTCAAAATTTGCACTTCAAACACTTGACACAGCTGTCTAGTGGTTGGCAATCCAGATGGATGAGATTGTTTCTTGACAAGTTTGAGTTATTCAAGGTGTTGGGATAGCAATCCTGAGTGAGTACAAGAACATACTTGAAGATGCTATGTCAATCAGCAGCTGACTTAGACTGTGATCTGGACTTATATAGTATTTCATAGAAAGATCTCAAAGTAGTACAAAATGTATTTAAGTAGAATGTCTCTCTCTCAAGAGGCTAATCTAATCCTCTGTACTCTACTCTACTCTATATTTATAACACAAAAGAATGGCTATACTATTTATGGTGTGACAACAATAGCATTATAGATCTCACACACTCCATGAAAGGTCACAGAAAATCCAAGCATTTCTTGATGGACTACCACTGGATTCATGATGCCATTCAATTAAAGGAACTGGACATCAAATATGTCCCATCAGAAGAAAACATCACTGACATACTCACTAAATCAGTTTCAAAATCTTGGGCAGTAGAGTTACTATGCAAAATAGGGATGATGGGTATTTGAAGCTATGAGCATAGATTTCAGGAGGAGTGTTGAGGATTCTAATATAAAATGAACAATGTAATCAGAACTAAGAAGTGAGTAAGTAAAGTATGCAAGGTATACAAGCTAGGTAACACATATCTCAGTCAGCACAGTACAGGTGAAATGACTGAGGTTGCAGAAGTAACTGCATAGTATATATACTGTTGTTAGATCTAACTGGCATGTGATCTGAATATATGATAAACTAGCACTGTATTGTGTTCATACAGTCACGCTAGAGTCCACTGAATATGTTCTTGGTAGATTTGGTGCTTCAAGGCTGGAGATAGACTAGGCTTGAGATGAGATAGTATGAAATAAACTTATAGCTTGAAGCTGGATTACTACAGTGAGAGCTATCCTACTTATATACCATCCTGAGCTGTGATAAATATAACTATTGCCTATTGTACTGTCCTGCATTACCCTGCTTATTCTGCCTGGTCATTGGGGAGTAGACAATGAGGAATGGTTCATAAATGAGGCAACCAAGTACAATAGCACTGTCCATCTGTTGTAATTACATAATCTTTCTCATGCTCTTGAGTAAGTGCTCAAGATAAGATAGACACTCTGATAAGACAAGAAGGAAAAATGATAGGATAAGAAAAAATCATAACAACTGTCAGAATGAAGTTTAGGGGTATGGAAAAACAAAAGTCTGTAATGAATGGCATATAATATAGTTGAGACTGCATTGAGTATTACATATCTTGTTCAACACTCCTCCAGGCATGGGTGGTCAATCCATGAGATTCAAGTCACTGAGATAGAATAATGATAGTTGCAGTGAAGTGATTTTATAAAAAGGTCTATAGTATTGATCTTTCTCTGAATAAAATTGATCTTGATCTCATCACTATGCACAAGTTTATAAATATGATGTTTGTGGATATCAATGTGCTTGACTTTATGGTGATTGTGTGTTGTATTTGTTGGCAATACCACACCATGGTTGTTGTATTTAAGTATCTCCAGCTTATCCTGTTCCAATCCAACCTCCTTTAACCAAGAAAACATCCACTTTAGCTGTTAGACAGCTTAAGTGAGTGAGATGAACTTGGCTTCAATGGTAGAAAGAGCAATAGTTGCTTGATGCTTAGAACTCTATGCTATGAGACCATCAGACATCATAAATACATATCCTGAGGTGGATCTCAGAGTATTCTTGTATTCTCCATAATCAGCATCAACAAATTCCATCAGCTTGAGGGGTGCATTTTATGAGTAAGTGATGCCATAGTCAATAGTGAACTTGATATATCCAATGACATGCATAAGAAAGTTCCAGTGCACTAATCCAGAATTATTTTGAAATCATGAGAGCATACTGACTGAGTATGCAAGATCTGGTCATGTTGCCAGTTGCTCTCACATCATAGATCTAAGGACTTGATGATAGGGTTTTCTTTCTATTTCTTCTTTCTCTTCAAGAAAGGATGGTACTATTGTCAAGTCAAGTATGATTTTCACAGGCATCAGCATCAATCAAAAGAGTATATTTTGCAGATCAAACCTCTCAATAATGTGTTTTCAATATAGTTGCTGAGATAGTCACACCATGCTAGTATTTGAGTCTTAATCCACTTGCATGTCTAAGAAGTAGCTCTTTTCTCTCATGTCTTTTATTTTCCAGTGTTCAGCAAGCTCCTCTTTCCTTCTGCTAGCCTCTTCAGTACTCATTGATGCCTCTCATATATTGTTCATATACATGTCTATTATGGTAAAAGATTCATTCTCATCTCACTTTGTTCAAATGCAAGGGTCAGCTTAAGAGATATAGTATCTAAGATTATTGTACATCTTGGCTAGTATCTCAAACCAATCATATGCCTCTTACATCATTGTATAAATAGTATGAACAAGTTTGCAGACCTTATCTTTTTCATCAGATACAACATATCTCTCTGGCTAGTGCATGTAAATATCCTCCTTTGCTTCACTATTCAGATATACTGAGATGAAATCAACTTGCCAAAGATAGAGGTTTATGCTTGCTGTGATTGCAGCTGTGATTTGGACTGATTTGAGTTGAGTTACTGCTGCTTAAGTTTCATTATAGTTGATGCTAAGTTGCTGAATATATCTCTTTCTGACTAGTCTTGCCTTGTCTCTGATATAATTTCTATCACTGTCCCACTTAATATTATAAATCCATGTTGAGTCTATTATGTTTATCTCTGATATCACTAGTATCAAATCTTAGGTATGCTTCTGAATGTGCATATTATACTCATCATCCATTGCAGCTCTTTATCACTTTGAATCCAGTCTCATAGCCTCTTTGTATATCTTTGAAATATGGTGGAATGTCTTGGTATTAGCAAGAAATACAACATACTCATTGAGGTCCATGCTAAGTTTCCTCATCTGTGTGACTGCTGCTCATAGATGTATAGAGTCAGTTGCTTAGTTCTCTCTTATATCCCTGACATATCTCTCAGATTGCTGATACTCATGAGATTCAGCAGCTGCTCAGATCAAGTTGGATATTTATGTTGAGTGATATGGTGGTTTTAGATTCTAATGTACTGGCTCATGGACTTCAAGTACATTTAGCTGAGCACCATCAATAGTAGTATTGATCAATGTTTTATTTAGATTCTTCAAAGTATCATGAAAAAGGTTGCCATTCACTTCAGTCTCCTCTACAGCTAACAGTGTGCAATATGGCAGACCTTCTTTGAAAACAATATCATGAGAGATGAAGATCTTGTCAGATTCATCAAGTAATTTGTAATGACTCTCAGAAGCATATTCCAGTAAATATACTCTGATTGACCACTCATTTAATTTGCTTCTGCCAGTAACTTGCTATTCATTCACTATAAGAATCTTCATCCAACATATACTACCAAATATATACAGATGAGAGACATTCTGCCATTTGCTTGTCCACAACTCTGCAGGCATGCTGTTATGATTTTCTTCATATTTTGTTCTTTTTCTTGTCTTATCAGAGCATCTTCCTGAAGGGCATGGGGAGAATTAGATAATCACAACAGACAGGATGCCATTGTACTCAGTTGCCTCATCCATAGACAATTCCCCATTGTCTTATCCCTGATGACCAGACAGAATCAGCATTATAGCACAGAATAGCATAATAGGCAGTAGCTATATTTATTACAAGCTGAACAATATATAAGTAGGATAGCTCTTGCTGTAGTAGTCCAGCTTTGAGCTATAAGTTTGTCTCACACTATCTTCTCTTGAGCCTAGCTTGTCTCCAGCCTTGAAGCACTTTGCCTGGTATAACATATTAAGTGGACTCTAGCATGACTGTACAAACATGATACAGTGCTTGTTTATTATATGTTTAGGACATATTGTTAAGCCCAAATTCCATATAACTATCAACATGTGATAAACAGTTCAGAATCTTGCACTTTGGATTAGACTGACTGAGTTCATAAGATAATAGTGATAGTGGTTCAAGGCATGGCAAAAAGCTTGAGCTCAAGAGTAGATGGTGAAAAATAAACTTTAGCTTAATGCTGGAGCTACTACAATGAAAACGGTGCTACTTAAATACTGTTCTGTTATCTGGCTATTAATAACTGTTCACAAAAGATATTGTCTGCTGTAGAGCTGTTACCCCTGCTGTTGCCAGGCTCTCCACAAAAGCTGTTGTCTTGCTGTTGTGCTGTTACTGTTGCACTGCTATTGGAGAACAAAAAGAGTATTGTCTCTCCCTTCACAGCACACAGCAGTGCAATAAGATGATGACTGACTGGGTTGCTGAGCTAAGCATTCCCACAGTCCTAAGCACTGGCCTAAGTGCCCTGACTAAGCAAAGATAGGGGCCATTTCTGAAGGAAAAAGAAAAGAAAAAAGGAAAAATCGTAATATTACTCCCTCTTTAAGACCATTGTCCCGATGGTTAAGTTAGGGTAAGTCCTCCTGACCAGTCACAGCATCAGCATCTCCATCCTCCCTGGAGATTGCTCTTCACTGTATATCCTCTGGTCTGAGTTCTGCAGATGGTGGATGGCTTGGTCCTATTGTTGCACCATTTCTGGCTCATCCATCGCAGTATCAGCCTCTCTATCCTCTTTGATGTTGTTGCTCCATGTTCCTACATGTCCTCTGCTGATCTTAGGTGGCTGATCTGCTGAACCTGTCATAGAATGTCTTTGGTTCACAAAGACTTTGACTGCAGATCGATGTATTTGCTCAGAGATAACATTGAATATGACC